CCGTGATTGACGAACAGAAACAGGCTTGGGAGTACTTTGCTTTCTTTTGGATCTGCAGTCCCTTGCAAAATGTCCTTGCTTATTGCAGAACCAACAACGCTTTGCAGCTTTAAATGCAGTTGTATCACCACAGGTTTGCATATGGCGTTCCTCATTCTTTCTGGAAACAGGAGTGCTTATGGCACAAGCCTCCCTTCTATCCAACTCGCCCATTAATCTTGCCGTTACCCCTTCCACAGTTAATTGTGCTGGTGGAACGGCAGATATCTGGCTAGCTATACCATCAAAGTCCTCATTAAGGGAACAAAGAATGATAAAAACATACTGAATATCAGGTATCTCCATGTCCCTTCGAATTAATTCGCAGCGTATTGCCTCCAGACGTCTCAAGTGTGCTGCCAAATCACCACCAGGCTGCAACTTCGTCTGGTACAACTGCTTGAAAAATGTCAATGCAGACGCCGACTCTTTTCTAACATGCACTGCTGCAAGACTGTCCCACATTTCTTTGGCAGTTTTCTTATTTCTTATATAGACTACTTGCTGGTCGCTGACTGCCAAATTAATTATCGCCCTGGCTTTTGCATCTCCTTTCGACCAAGCATTAGTTACAGGGTCAGGAGGGTCATCAGTTACATAGGTCCATACTTCTCTAGAGGTCAAAAGCGCCTCCACCCGAAAAGACCATAAGCTATAGTTCTCATCTGTTAGCTGTGGGAAGACCAGAGCCTTCTCAGCTTCAGGAACCCGGTCAACCATTCTGGAACTCTTCCAGACCCACAAAAACTACGCTAACAGGAGAAGGAGTTTTCAAACCTTTCTCAGAGTCCAAAAATATGCAGTCATCCACTCAGCAGCTGGGCCCATAACCAAAGATGTTGGCTTTTTGCAGTATAGTGACGCTGCAGAGAGCTTGCTGGGGAGATCATGCATTAAAAAGAAAGGACTCAAAAATAACTTAAAGAAGGTTTTAATAAGAAAAACAAAAACTCCATTAACACTAAATACATCAACAAACCAGACCCAACCACCAACCCATCCCCCAGGGTAATGGGAGAGCTAGGTGCTGCTCCTTATATACTACACCCAGATGCTGACACACCTTAATCAAATACAACTCAGCAGCACCTGCTATGTTACACAGCTGTAAAGCTGGGTCTCGTTAGTTTGCTCTGGCCCTTGCTCTGGCCCCTTAAAGACATACACATGGAGTGGAACAATGATGAACCTTTACATTTAAAGAAACCATTCAACAATTCTCAGTCTTTCCTTTCATAAATCTTCAACTCTTTCCTGCTCCCCCCCCTACCCTCAATATCCTTTTGCGGGGGAAACTATCAAAATCTTTACAGAAAAACCTCCTAAGGCACTTTTTTAGGAGCTGAAAAAAGGGCTGCATGCCCTCCAACATGTCCCAGAGGAAAACAAGGATGCACATCTTTCAGGACTACCATCTCGCACAAGACCACACTGCCCCAAAACAGGATGCCCCGATTAAATCAGGACAGTTGAGGGGTATGGAGTGGCACAGCAGGCATAATATCTCTCTGTGCTCCAATTTATAGGGTTACACTATTTATACAGCAGCACAGCTAATTCAACACTAACGAATGGCTACTGTCATCTAGAATGTGATGTGTCCTTAATTCAAAGAACAGTCTTCTATTTGAAGCTGTCTTCTATTTGCAGAGCTGGTCCAAGTCCAGTTTTAATGAACTGTAAGAAGGGAGAGCAAGGCCTTGCATGCCCATCAAGTTAGCACCTGGAGATGCACTATATTTCTATAGTAAATTATAGTATTTGCATTCATGCGTATAAAGTAGCATGTTTACATTTTATGCACACCTGTGTCCTCCTTTTTATGGGGCGAATGATGTATACATGGCCACCCTACATATTTAATAGAGTTAAGTCAAATTAGAGTCCTTATGCTGGTCTTTGGCATTTCCCCTTACTCCTCGACCTCAGCTTAGCAGTTCCTGCAGCTCATAACATGAAGGACGACCCTTTATCAAAAGGCAATCCAGTAGTGGCCCATTTTGTTAGATACAGGTGAAATACAAATTGTTCACACACTCCAGTTACGTCTGTTTAATAGACACAGTACCTGTTTTCCTCACTAAGAGACCACTTATTGATATTCATTCAATTTGTACCATAATACATCAATAGATTTGACTTCATGTTAGTAGTCTTTTCGGCTGGCATTAATACTGCCTACCTTAGGCATAATACTGCCTTCCTTAGGAATCACATCTCTCAACTTTGCTACCATGTTCTGACTTCCAAAAGTGGTCTGATCCAGCATGCTCTTCTTATGGTCTTAAGAATGTGAATACTTGAATTCTGACATACATGAAAACGTTTCTGTGGAGGAAGTTCGCTCTTGTGAAATGTGACTTCATGAACTGTTTGCTCTTGTCACACTGTAATGGACTCATTTCCCTTCTGTCAAATGCTGACAGGCATGATAGGCTGACCAGAGTATGGGAGGGGATGTGGCCTCTGGCAGGAAGATGGGATGAAACATTAAATGGGTCTCCAGCTGTTTTTGGACTACAATTCCCATCAACCCTGACCACTGGTCCTGCTAGCTAGGAATGATGGGAGTTGTAGTCCAAAAACAGCTGGAGACCTAAGTTTGGGAAACCCTGCATTAGCGCAAACAGAAAACGGGCCCCACCAACCTCAGTCTATCCTTAACAAGCCCCACCTGCTGACCTATGTACAACCAATCCAGGGGGTGGCACTGCCTGTCATCTACCTCCCCCTTAGTCTCAATTGTTGCAACATTGTAATAGAACTTAGCAGGTAGAAGATGGAGACAAAACTAGAAAGTGCCTTTCTGGCTCCACCTACTGTTGGTTTTCCTGTCTTCTGCCTGTGTCAACGGGTACCACCTCCCCACTCAGATACCATAAAAAGAACTTAACTACACTTTACAACCCAACTAGAAACACTCAACCACTGCATTGAGTACACCATAGTCCTATTACACCAGTAAGTCACAGATAATGTATTGCAAGCCTTGAGCATTTATCCTAAAATAGCAAATTAAAACCCTCCTTGAGAGTCTATCTTCTGCACACAAGCCATATTAAGTTTATCGTCTGACTATTATATTTTAATAAGGGGTTCACCCCCAACTTTCATAATAACACAGGGCTAGTATTTTGAGAGTTCTCTTTTGATCTCTCATCAGTTAATTTTCCTGCAGGAAATCCAGCCTTTTATCAAATTAAACCACACTCTTGCTTAGCTTATGCATCACACATATCAACCAGTACCAAAAAGAGACATGCTTTAGGCCTGGAGCACACTCTTCCTTTTGTGCACTCACAAACCATGGACCTGCAAATTCAAAAAGGCCTACTTATTTCTGGGAAGTTCTATACAGAAGTATGACTAGGACTTACTCTAGGTTGTTTTCGTGACAATTGAGCCAACACTTTTAATGATAGACATTTGACTGTGAAATACAGTCACATCACGCGCAGCTCTGTTACAGCATACAAGCTTCCATTTCATAAAGCAATTGATGAAAGATCCAACACCACTAAAATCTATTTAAATAAGGAAAGGAAGGCAGTATTCATGAATCCCAAATCAAAACATTCAAACAATATATAGGTCTATACAACATAAAGCATACTGACATTCCTGATAACAGATCTTATATTTGGGAAGTTTTAAAAAAATGCGAAATGCTCTCAAATTCTGACGACAGATACTTTCAACATAACCCTATAAAGTGTATTAGAGCTTTTTTGTGTTAAATTGAATAGTTATCCTTATTTGCCATAGGAGCCAGCTCCTAGGGGCCGTGGGGGCTTTGGCCTCCACAATAAAATATGATTATGCAGGGCGGGGTTTACCTGGGCCCCCACAATATTTTATTTAAGTTGGCACCCCTGTCATTTGCTCATATATAAGATGGTGGTTGCACAATAAAATTACAATAAGAAAGGTGTACAGGGCAATGTAAATACGGTAAATATATTTGCCTCACTGTTTAGGTTTACATGCTATATACAAGCCAGGAAAAGAATTCCAGCAAGCTATTTTTTGCTGCTGTCGTTCTAATGTGCGTTACATTATTAGGGCTACCTGCAGTGATTATGAACTGATCCTTATTTAACCTGTCTTAGCAGCGGTTACACAAGAAACGTAAATTGGATAACAAATACAGCACATTATGTACCATATTTACGTTACCCAAAATTTATTGTATAATTCCCACTTAAACCTCGAGCGCTTTGTATCAGAATCAGTTCATAACCCTCACAGGTAGTGCCATTAAAGCTATATACTAATGGCCAATGGTGCTCTTCTTTTTGTTTGCAAATATACAATTGAATGTAACATGTTACCAAACTCCCCATCACTGGTAGGGGTTTTCGTACATTTTGACCCAGAATGTGCAAGTGAGTATGTGGTAGGTTGGCTGTGGGTTGTACTGCTGCAATAAGAATAATATGGAAAAACTGAGATGATATGAGATAATCCTTTACAATATGGGTGAAGAATAAGAGGGAATCTCCACTGAAACAAACAATAGATGCTCTTGTGCCATTCCCATTCATTTCAATGGGGCTTGCACAGAAAACCTTTCCACTGGTTTGTGTCTCCCTTATCAAGTAGAATTGGCACCCATTACATTAAAGCTTTCACTCCCCAACAATTCCTCATTTTTGGAACTCCTCGTAGGCTGTTAATAGAAACATCTGACTTGCATAATGCCTCAAAATCTAACAGCATTTTTTTTTTGGCAAGGTATAATTTCTTTTTAAGCAAGCGTGCCAGTCAAATTGCTCCACCGTGCATCCAAATAGTTAATAAAGTAAATCCTCTTTCCATCTGTCACTTAGAATGAAATGACCACATAAGATATTTAGTGAAGAACAAATCCCAAAGGAATTAAAGGGGGGGCTCAGTGCATTGGAAATAGAACAAGCTCTCCCAACTAGCCAAGCAGCCCTGCACGGTGAACTCTCACTTACCCTCTGGTTTATGGACTTGCCTTCCTTGACTTCCACCGCCAAGCCAAGATCAGACAATCGGCAGTGGCCATCATCATCCAGGAGGACATTTTCAGGCTTCATGTCCCTGTAGACAATTTGGATGGAGTGAAGGTGCAGCATCCCACAGGTGATCTGAGCCGAGTAGAAGATGACCCTATCCATTTCCAAGCCTCTTTCGCCCACATTGTAAATGTGATATTTAAGATCCCCACCATTCATCAGACTCATGACAAGACACAGGGCGGCTTTGCTCTGATAGGCATAGGACAGCGTGACAATGAAACGGCTGTTGACTTTCTCAAGGATCTCCTTCTCTAACAGAGCCATCTTTTCGCCACCTTTTTTCTTTAGTCGTTTTTTGTCCAGTTTCTTGCAGGCATACATCTTGCCAGTATTTCTCACCTGAATGGCACAAACCTAAAGCAGCAAGTTTAATGAAAAAAGGAAAAGTCTTAAGTAAGCGATGCAGACTCGGAACTGGAGAGACTATATGCCCCTTATTGCTATTTTCACCACAATATCCATTGCTTTCAGTTTTGATTTTTAAAAACACACACAAATACCCCTTAGATTATATACTGCATTCTTGGAGACTATTATGCCATTTATGGGTTCTCTACAATGCTTTGTAGATTATTTGAAAGGAATGAATGGAGCCGCAGTAGCAGCCGTGTTTCCATTGGGAAACCTATTTCATCTCATGTCTTATTTGCATAATTTATGTTCTTAACACTTACTGTACATTGCCCAGAGAACTTTTTACTGGACAGTATAAAAATACTGTAAATTAAACAAGCAAGCAAACCACATGTAAGACATTTTGAGGAACAAGGAGGAAGGGATAGTTGTGAAAAATAAATGAACCCCTGCCTAATGCTCCTGAGTACATGTTAGTGCAGAGGAGATTATCAGAGAAAAGGCTGAAGAATATGGGCTTACGTCACAAGAGATCTTGCGCATGCAGAGGACTGGCAAGTTGCCCAGTGCCTGTTGCCTGCTAAAGGCCATTCATTGCATGGCCTAGGCCTATCTGCTTGCCCAGGAGATGAAAGAATAGCTCCTTACCTCTCCAAAGCCTCCTTTGCCTAGTACTCGGAATTCGTCAAAGAGCTTCTCGTTTATAGGTTGCCGCTCAAAGCCTTTCCATTGCACAAACTTATCAAAGAATGGGCTAGTCTGGTAGTCATCAAAGGGTTTCCCCTTGAGATAGGCATTTGTCTCTTCCCTGGCTGATAATGTGACTTTTTCAAAATCATCCTTGCCAGCTGCCTGGCACTTGCTTGACAAGTCTGCACTGAGAAATTTCAGGTAGCTGTTGCTGCAATTCTTCAAGTACATGTTGACTATGCCTTCTAGGTAGCTGTCCTTGATGTGGTCCTCTGCCAGCTCCCAAGCGACCACTTCGTCCAAAAACTCTCTGGCCTTCAGGTACTCAGGCACCGTTTCCAAGAATTCCCGAAAAAAACTCTTGCCTATGGGCTGTTGCTCGCAAATGGACTCATAATCCATAGTCAGAGACTTTTTGATCTCCGCACATTCCTCAATCTTGGGTAGAGCTAGGTTCCTGCGTCTTTTTTGCATCTCCTTGGCATCCACATCTCCGCTTTTCCTGGCCTCAAGGTATGCTGTGTTGGCGATCAGGTTATCCAGTCCCCCCATGTCACACATCTTGGCGATGTACTAGGGTGGCAGAGCCTCACTGGGGCAAGAACACTGGCTTGCCTTGGGGTGGCTGCCTTGGTATGGCTTTCCCTGCGCCACTGCCTGAGTGTAAGTGCAGGCTACAAACACATGTTAGGGAGACCGACTACTTTAGCATTAAATACCTCTCAAGGATTTTCACTAAGTACCTTTAGGTGTATGTACCATTTGTGGAAAGTGGCTGGTAAGAGGTTTCTCTCTAAGGAGCTTTGGGTTTGCTATCTATAGCTAAATGGATGACAGCCTAGGAGGACCTCATCACGGCTGCCACAACTATCTGGCGTACATTTCTCAACTCAGCTCCTACTCTTCCTCACACAGGCCTGAGACCACTCTGACCTCAGTTTCAACCCCAGGTCCATAGAGAACACATGGCATCATGCCCTTTCACAGAGCTGATGTTTTCCTGCCCACCATCCCCAGTACCTTGATTCTCCAAAGCACGTCCACCATGTCTGCACACTCTGAAGCTGGCTTTTTTAAAAGGGAATTTGAGATTTTCAGTGTTTTGCAGTGCTTCAAAAGAAAACATTCAGCAAAAACGACAGCTCTCTTCGGAACCACATCATTATTTGAAGTGGCAAGTTGAGAAGGAAGTATCAAGGGGTTTAGTCAGATTTCTTTTAAAATGCACCATTCAGTCCTAGAGTGAAAATCTACCTCAACATACAGATAGATGCCATCCAGGGAAATAACAGTATTGTGAGCTGCACTTTTATACTGCACAAAATCTTCGTTGTTGTCATGGCACAGCTCCCTCTGAAGGAACCCAAATCGGCTTAGAGAAAGAGCAAGCGAAGAATAATTGGTGCTCTAAAAATAAGGATGATCCCGTGTACAATCAGAACAAGAGAGTCTGTTTCCTTCGCAACATGGCAGAAGTTTATTCTCATTTCCAAAATATAACTAGGGTGTCACAATTCTGGCTCCTAAAATTGAAAAGCCCACTTGAAACTAAGTTTTTACTTCAGTTCTTCCCTGATTTTGACAGAACTAATGGGATTACAATGGGAGCTGGTAGTGACCCCTATATTTAGATGTCCTAACACTTCTTTAAAAGGATTGCTGTGATTTATTTTAATAACTCTCACACCTCCAGTGCTGGGGAGCGGAGAGGGGAGGGGTCACTCTCCAATTGTCCCAAGGGGTCAGTATGCACAGTAGGACCAGCCTTTGCTGTGTTCCAGTTAGAAGAAGAAAACATTTTCAAAGGTCATTTTTCCTGTTCTCATTTGCATTTATCACTGTGGTGATCTGTCTAAGCAAGTAACAAGTCCCAATGCAGTCTCAGGCATGTAGCCAAAACAACCATACATTCATAAGGCTTGCCAGTGGACATACAGCTCCTGAAACATGATTTCTGCTCAGGCACACTTTGTACTATATTTTTGTAGCAGAAACTGGAACAAAGTTAGTAAATTAATTAATACCACTTCAAAACTAGTCAGTGGCTCAGAGGTTCAGACCAATTCCAAAACAACCCTATAAAGACCAAATTTGTTCATACTTACGAAGCTTGACTTACTTTTGATCGATAGTTAAACTGAATAGTTTCCTGTATATTTGTAGTGAAGTGTTCATCTTGTGGCATCCAGGATCATTTGAGATACATGTAGAAGATGGCAGTCGGGAACGGGGGCTCAGAGGCTGTGTAAGCAGCATGGAAGCCCTCAAGGGCATCATTGTGCTCATGGGCACCCCAATGGCAAACATTCAGGGGACAGCCAGTAAGTTCCACCACTGCTTAGACTGTATACCAACTTGTGCCTACTTGATCCAGGTTTGTGTAAAGGATACAACAATTTTGCACATCTCAATTCTTAGGGGGGGGGTGTGTTCTTCAGAAGTTTATAGCAAATGGTAGCAACTTTCATGAGATTGAACTGTTGTAGAGGTGAGACAGAAAGTTGGTTTATGAAATTGCAGTTTTGAACTAAGGTCCATACAAGGATGGAAACCTCAACCTTCATTTAAGCTACTCAGCAGGGGCTGGTATTCAAAGCCTGGATTTGTATGAATGGTGAAATGGTTCATTCAAGGTTGAAGTGGGTGCCAGAAAATAAAATGGCTGTTTCAGCACTGTTTTCAGTATTTTAAATGCTGCAGGTTAAACTCACTTAAGTTTCTGAAGCCAACGAGCCTTAAAGGAGCTCAGTCTAAATAAATAAATACATACTGTAGGTCACATGGAGTCAATATTTCTGCCTGATTTTCCCCATTATTCTGCTGCTCCTCTTGGGCTATCTATCTGGAAAGATAAGATATATTCACATTGGTCTCATCTTGATTATAATTAAGAACAGGGTTTGCTAACCAGAGGCCTTTCTCTTGGGCATGGTCGGCCAGTTGGTGTCAAAGAAGGACAGAATTTTTTTTATGTATGCCACAACAGCAGCAAGAATACTCATCGCAAAGTATTGGAAGACAGAAGATCTACCCACCGTGGAAGAATGGCAGGTGAAGGTTATAGACTATATGGCACTGGCAGAAATGACCGGCAGAATCCGAGACCAGGGAAAAGAGACAGCGGAAGAAGATTGGAAGAAATTTAAGGACTATCTTAAGAAACATTGTAAAATTATTGAATGTTAGAACGATGTTGATTTAGAAATTAAGTGGTTTTTAGCTGTAATGATTAGGTAAATAAGAAAAGAAAGGTAAAAAAATAAATAAATAGAAATTAGGGGAGGGATTTGCTGAACTGAATTAATTAGAGATTGGAATACAGAAAGGGGAGGTATGAGGAGGTCGGGAAAGTAAGTTTTATGAATATAAGGGATTGAAATTATACTTGTTGTTGTATGTGTTTTGTATGTAGGTATTTTTGTTTTTTCTGTTTTTTGCTTTTTCTATTTTATACAAATTTTTAAAAAAACTTTAATAAATATTTATATATATATAAAAAAAGAACAGGGTTTGCTTATTTGTTTGCTAAGGGGGCGGGAGGGCAAATATGTAATAAATGATTATCGTGATCCAAAGGGCTACATGTCTAATGCACTGGGGCTCTCCTGCCCCTCCCCTTTCCACAACAACCTGTCCTGCTATCCACAAAGTGTTTCTGAAGGTTAAGGGACCGTCTGGCATAGGAATTGTTGCACTGCAATGGGATACAGCCAGAAGGGAAAATTCATACACATGCAAGTATATGGATCCTGGCAAGCACTTCACAGGGTAAAAGGTTCAAGAGTGAGTGTTGGAGAAAGGGCCATAGGTCAGTGGTAGTGCCTCTGCTTTAATAATAATAATAATTTTTATTTATACCCCGCCCTCCCCAGCTAAGGCCGGGCTCAGGGCGGCTAACAAGCAATAATAAAAACAAATTGAATGAATATAACTTAAAAACAAAATTAAAATACAACATTAAAATATTGAAACCTCACCGCAGGAGAATGGAAAAGAAAAAAGAAAGAGGGGGAGGAAATCAAATTGGCTCCAAGCCAAAGGCCAGACAGAACAACTCTGTCTTACAGGCCCTGCAGAAAGAAATCAGATCCTGCAGGGCCCTGGTCTCATGAGGCAGAGCGTTCCACCAGGCCGGAGCCAGAGTTGAAAAGGCCCTGGCTCTGGTTGAAGCTAATCTAACTTCCTTAGGGCCCGGGACCACTAAGGTGTTGCTATTTATGGACCTTGAGGCTCTCCGTGGGGCATACCGGGAGAGGCAGTCCCATAGGTACATGCATAAGGTCCCAGGTTCAATCTGAAGGTAGGGCTGAGAGAGACTCCTGCCTGAACCCCTGCAGTGCAGCTGCCAGTAAGTGTAGGCAATACTGAACCAGACAGACCAAGGCTCTCACTTCGTATAAAGTAGCTTCCTATGTTCTTACGAGAAATCTGTGAGAAATACATATTTAAGAATATCAGTTTTAACCTTATTAGTGCCAAAGTAACAAATATTTATAAATACCTAAAGGAAATATTTTATCATAATGAAAGAAAGCAAAAAAGCAAAAACAAATGCATCGCCAACAACTATTTATTTCAGTTGAATTCCTCAGTTCAGACAAAAATAAGTGGCATTTCTAGCTGGAACTGCTTTGAACATAGATAACTGTGGACCTCATAAGTTCCAAAGCATTCCTAAACAAATGTACAGAGTTCACACTAAATGTTCAGATACATTCTTCAACGCTGTGTATCTAACGTTTTTGATGAAACCACGCTGATCCCACAGACCAACACAAAGATTTCAAATCCAACTCCATAAAACCTAAATAAATAAAATGGACTCTCCCATGTCGTGAATGCTCCCCTTGTTCATGGGGGAATATGCCTTTGGTTGCATATCATTCCAAAGAAGTTCAAAGAAGAACTGCCAGTGCTTTTATTTGCCTATTCTCTGAACCACCCAGTCCTGTTGGCAGAGGGGGCAGCGGTTGTTCTGTTTCACCCACAGTGACATGCAGCAGTTGTGGAAGGAATGATTACACTCTCCCCAGACCACTGAAAGAAAAAGAAGAAGAAAACTAAGCAAGTTAGAAATGGTTAGAACGAATACAAAGTGCTAGCATTTATCTCAATATATATTCAGTATTGCTGTAGGACTTTGCTTTTTGTAAACAACTATACAGTCATGGGAAAAACAAAGTGACCCTCTTTGAATTCAGTGGTTTTACATATGAACATGTAATAACAACCACCTGTTCCTTAGCAGGTCTTAAAATTAGGTAAATACAACTTCAGATATGTCATACACAAGACATATCACACCATGTCCTGATTTATTTAACATAAATAAAGCCAAAATGGTGAAAACATGTGTGAAAAACTAAGTACACCCTTACTGCTTCCATAGAAATTAAGAGACCAAGTAGCAGACAGGTGCTGCTAATCAAATGCTCACTTAATTGATCATCAGTAAGTGTGCCCACCTCTATGAAAGCCAACCTTTTAGCAGTTTGCTGGTCTGGAGCATTCAGGTGTGTTATAACACAATACCAAGGAGGAAAGATGACACAATGCTCTTAGAGAAGCAAGTGCTGCTGCCCATGAAACTGGGAAGGGTTCTAAGACCATCTCCAACCAATTTTAAGTCTATCATTCTATGGTGAGAAAGATTACTCAAAAGTGGAAAACATTCAAGACAGTTGCCAATCTCCCCATGAGTGGATGTCTCAGCAAATTCACCCCAAGGTCAGACCCTGCAATGCTCAGAGAAATTGCAAAAAACCCCAAGAGTTATATCTCAGGCCCTACAGGCCTCCGCATGTTAAATATTGAAGTTCATGACAGCACAATTAGAAAAAGAAGGAACAAGTATGGTTGGTTTGAAAGGGTTGCCAGGAGAAAGCCTGTTCTCTCCAAAAAGAACATGGCAGCACGGATTAGGTTTGCAAAGTTGCATCTGAACAAACCACAAGATTTCTGGAACAATGTACTTTGGCCAGACAAGACCAAAGTGGAGATGTCTGGCCATAATGCACAGCGCCACATTTGGTGGAAACCAAACACAGCATATCATCACAAGCACCTCATACCAACTGTCAAGCACGGTGGTGGAAGGGTGATGCTTTGGGCTTGTTTTGCAGCTACAGGACTTGGAAACATTGCAGTCACTGAGTCAACCATGAACTCCTCTGTATACCAAAGTATTCTACAGTCAAATGTGAGGCTATCTGCCTGACAGCTGAAGCTTGGCTGAAATTGGGTCATGTAACAGGACAAGGATCCTAAGCACACCAGCAAATCTACAACAGAATGGCTGAAAAATAAAAAAATCAAGGTGTTGCAATGGCCCAGTCAAACTCCAGACCTCAACACAAGTGAAATGCTGTGCTGGACCTTAAGAAAGAAGAATGGACCAAAATTCCTCTGCAATGATGTGAGACTGATAAAGTCCTACAGAAAATGATTATTTCAAGTTATTGCTGCTAAAGGTAGTTCTACAAGCAATTGAAGTGCATCATTAGGTGTACTTAGTTTTACACACATAGCTTTTCCATTTCATCTGAGATTGTATTTATTTAATTTTAAGACCAGCTAAGGAACAGATGATTGTTATTATGTCTTCATATGTAAAACCACATAATTCAAAGAGGGTGCACTTTCTTTTTCCCTATGCTCCAAAGCAGTGTCTTCCAGATATAATGAAATACCTTTTTTTCTTGAACAGCAGGCGTTCATGCCACCCAGAATGACACAGAATGGATATGGCCTTGGAATGGTGGGATAAATCTACTTGTTCAAGGAAAGGAAGCCAAGAGTCTGACTGAGCATGTGAGAATTTGGGTGTGCCAAAGTAGTTCAAAGCAGCCTTAAGACTTTACAGCACATGAAGAATTGTTGTCTAAGCTTATTAGCATTTCTTACTCAAATACTTCACTTTTACAGATTTCACTATCAGCACCAAAAGCTATTATTATTGTGTGGAGACCATCCAAAATATACTTCCAGAATACCAGGCAGAACCTGCACTATTTGCTTTTAAAAGCTGAGGTATACATTTTTATGTTAAAAGTAAGTATTGCAAATTTCTTCTATGTGAAGATTTCAACCCAGCACCACTTTTCATGTTCTTGGTTAATGCATTTTAGCAGTTGATAGTGCTTTGCTACAAAAATTACCACGTGCTTAAGTGCAAAATATCAGACTCAGTACATTGTACATCTACAGTATTTTAAAAGCAAAATCAGTCTGGAATACATACAAATAAGTGGTGGTAAGAATTCAACTTTTTAATGCCCATTTTAATAAAAAGCACAATACAAAAACAGCACCCTTGAAACCTCAAAATCAGCAAGTAAAAGTAAGTTGTGAAACCAATTTTTTGTTTGTTTTAAGATCCCAAGATTTCTTTCAACAAACCATTTTTATGAAAAATGCCTGAAGATACAACAGACCTCACTAAATCAAATGTTTTAGCTTATGTAACTAGTATTTCATGGCTACATACCCATACATAAAAGACAAATTGCAGATTTCCTATGGCCAAGTATTTTATACAAATGTATGTCATTTTACATTAATGAAGCTTTCCTGAATTTTATTGCACAAAAATATGAGCTATTTAGCTGAAACTTTAAAAAGCACCCCACTAAGAAAAAGCCTTTGGTTGAATAACAAGAGAATGAAATCACAACATACCAACACAATCTTCTTGTTTGTTTTCAGCTTGACATCTAAGGCAGGCATCTAGATGTAAACAAGGACAAGACTAAGTATGATGTTCTGAAAGCAGCTCTGAAAAGTGTGTTTCCAAAGCATCTAGAGTCACTGGCAAACATTTAATGGTGCGCGCATACTGTGTCATGTAATCTAAGCACCTCAAGATCATTAATCTAAAACTTACCCTAATACATGACCTTCCACTAACTCAGCCACTTCCACACCACAAAAGCTTGGCTCTTCCAACTTACTTTAGAAAATTTAGGGTTCACACTGATAATTAATAGTTTGCTTTCTTTGTGATCTCATCTTTGTCTGAAGGACTATGTGGAGAAATGTAGTGAACAATCCAGTAGTAAATTAATTCACTGTGCAGTAATTCCTCTTCCTAACACATCACTTCTTAGAAGAATGCCCTGGAGCAAATACACCGAGTTAGCTCAGTTGGTAGAGAATGAAATGCTTAATCTCAGGGTAGAGGATTTGAGCCTCAGGAGCCCCCTAAAAATTCCTGCATTGGCGGAGGGGATTGAACTAAATGATCCTCTTGACACCCTCCACAAATCTATGATCTAGTCCGTGCTGACAGTATGCCTCTGTGTAAGGTACACTGGACTGCTTTGGGAAATTGTCCCCCAAACACAGCCACATTGTTACTTCTATGGTTATTACAAAAACACCTCAAATGGAAGAAAATGTAACTGGAGGATATCTATTCGTAAACATTTTGGAAACAACTCCACAGGGTTTCATTGCTGTCACCCAGATGTGTAATTTAAGCATACATATTATAAAAGAAAAATTAATACTGCTTCTGGTGAAAAGATGAATGGGCATTCTACCAATTTAGGGAGCCAATTGTCCATAGGCACTGGTCACAGAGAAAGCTTAGCTTTAACCAGTGCTGCCCTCAGGCCAGAAAGGGAGTGGGATGTGCCACCATGAAAACGGATACAGCACAAAGAAAGCATCTTACATATAGTGATGCTCAAAGTCAGAGACAGCATCCTTTTATTACAGACACATTAAATCACATATATCTTCAGGAACAACAGCAAATAGAAAAAAAGGACTTGTAAAAATGCACTGAAGGATAGGATATAGGATCTGCTCTAGTTATATGTACAGTTCATAAGGGCGATATTTGGTTACCAAATGGGAAAACCAGCCAATTCATTTATTTTGCACAAGCTTACTCATGGGTATGCACATTGTAAAAAATCTTACTGCATTCCCATGGTGATATCTTCTTAAAAGACTTGTTAACGTCCAGGCATAACCTTTCATAATCTTATCCTGAACAGAATCATCGAGTCTATCCAGAGAGTCTTATGAAAAAGAGGGAAGGCAATGGTGGTGGTTTGCTTCCTCAGTTAGGACCTCGGAATCCTATGGCTGCGTTAGGATCGAAAAGGAGCAAGCAGCATGTTCTTCTCTTTAAAACAAAGAATAGAAATGCCCCAACCATTTTAATTTTAGGTCTCTCATTGTCTACAGCGGCCTAGATGCTCAGGGGGAAGGCCCCATACTTGAGCATAGGAAAGCAGCCAGGAGCCTCTCCTCTGGCCCAAGGGTGGGGAAGGGGCGCAGGGCAGGCCTTATCTCATCAAGGCCCATGTTTAGGCACCTTTTAGAGTTGCCGGTAGCGTCGGCAGGGCTTCCTGAAGCAGCAGACGAAAAGGCCTGTTCCCCCTCCCTCCTACCCGGGGGGGAAGAAACGCCGGCGCCCTGCGGCCTTCGCAAAAAAACCACGAGAAAATTAAACACGAATATTGCCCGAGTGGGGGGTGAGAAAGGACACTTCAGGAACCCCTCACAGGGAGAAGACGATGCCTAGCTCGGCCCAACCCCGCCCAGGGCGCCTGGTTCTGGGAGAGGACGGAGAAGGCCGCCGCCGCCGCCTCCTGAGCGAGGCCTTTGTTCCGGGGCCCGCCTTTCGCCGCTCCCTCGTCTTACCCATGACCTGCACCCGGCAGATGGCGCAGGTGTCGCACTCGACGTCCCAGCTCCACATGGCCACGGCGTTCCACTTCTTCAGCGAGAACATCTTGTCTACACCGCCCGACTTCGAGCCCGAGAAACCCGCGTGAGGAGCCGAAACACCCGGCTCGTCCCCGTCCTCCACGTCGGCCATGGCTGGGGGCGGCAGGAGGAGGCGGCGGCGGAGGCGACGACGGCAGCCGCTGCTCGCTTAACCGCCCGCCCGGCTCCCCGAGCGGCGGAGCGGAGCTCTACCACCACCCAGCGGTGGCGAGAGGGCTGAGGCCTAACGCGGGACGGGGCCTGAGCTCTGTGCGGGGTCGATTTGCAAGCCTCACCGCAGAAACATGGGGGGGGGGGCAGTGTCTTGTGTCACAGGCGCAAAATCCTCCGTTATAGGCCGTGTTAAATAATCAGGGAAACGTGCCGCCGTCTCCAGCTTTTGTATATGCACAGCTGCAGTGCCGGATTTATGTATGAGCTAAACAAGCTATAGCTCAGGGCCCCACTCTCTTGGGGACCCCCCCAAAAAAAACTAAAGAAAAAAAAAACCCTGGATGTACATTTCCAAAATATAAGATAAAAAACAAATAAAATAAAACCTACATACAGCAATAGTGTTTTGTGTTTTGTATGGAGGTATGGGGTCCATAAATTACCATATAGCATATATTCAACTGGTCCCATCACCTCCTGGCAAATAGAAGGGGAAGAAATGGAGGCAGTGAGAGATTTTACTTTCTTGGGCTCCATGATCACTGCAGATGGTGACAGCAGTCACGAAATTAAAAGACGCCTGCTTCTTGGGAGAAAGGCGATGGCAAACCTAGACAGCATCTTAAAAAGCAGAGACATCACCTTACCAACAAAGGTCCATATAGTTAAAGCCATGGTTTTCCCAGTAGTGATGTATGGAAGTGAGAGCTGGACCATAAAGAAGGCTGATCGCCGAAAGAATTGATGCTTTTGAATTATGGTGCTGGAGGAGACTCTTGAGAGTTCCATGGACTGCAAGAAGATCAAACCTATCCATTCTGAAGGAAATCAGTCCTGAGTGCTCACTGGAAGGACAGATTGTGAAGCTGAGGCTCCAATACTTTGGCCACCTCATGAGAAGAGAAGACTCCCTGGAAAAGACCCTGATGTTGGGAAAGATGGAGGGCACAAGGAGAAGGGGACAACAGAGGACGAGATGGTTGGATAGTGTTCTCGAAGCTACTACCAGCATGAGTTTGACCAAACTGCGGGAGGCAGTGGAAGACAGAAGTGCCTGGCGTGCTCTGGTCCATGGGGTCACGAAGAGTCGGACACAACTAAACGACTAAACAACAACAACAAATATATTCAACACAAAAAAACAACAACTGGACATATAAAGGGCCCCAATACCTTCAGCAGCTTAGGGCCTCATCAAACCTAAATCCGGCCCTGAGCTGCTCACATATATGTATGGAAAAAGAGGGTGCCTCCTTTTATCATGAGACCAGAGTGTATGTTGCCAAGTTTATTTACTCTGTGTAATGCATTTATAGCTCTTTTTCTCCAGGGAGCTCAAGGTGGTGGACAAGGTGGTTAGTCCCCAATCTCATTTAATCCCAACAACAACCCGCTGAGGTAGGTTAGACTGAGCGGCAGTGACTGGCCCAAGGTCATCCCCAGTCCAGATATGAACCCAGGTCTTAAGGCCCTAATCCAACACACTAACCACTTAAGTGGCTGGTCATGTGTACGATGCCAGTAAAACAGGAGGTTATGCTTTGCTTTGAGACCAAGGACAGGAAACTTATCCTTTTCAAAATTTTGCCATAATTTGTTATATGTACCTATGAAAGCCTGATTTTCACTTGGAATAATTCACCTTTTTCACAGCTGTTGCACACTAGGTCAACATTTTCATTGAGCTATCATGACCCCAATATCTGAACTTATTCATTTATAGATGATCTGTGAATGACATACATCTCCAAATAGCAATGAAAATCGAAGAAGAAATGATACAAGTGTAAGTTGTACTACCAGGAAGGTGTTTTTTTGGCAGTTGCATACTTTTAATCCAATAAAATGGAAGCGGTTGTAAATAGTTATAAAGTACTTTCACAATAAAGTAGTCTAAACCGTCTTTGTAGTATTTCAATGATTAGAACATCATGTAAATAATTGCTGAAGTATGTTAACCTCTTTGAACCTAATTTCTGCAGGAGGCAAATCCAGACTTCATCACTTGGTTTTCTGTAAAATACAAAACAAAACACATCTCAGAAGATTCCAATAAGAAGCAACTGTATGTGGAACAAACAAAAGTAGCTGGATACTAAGGTCTAACACACCAATCCAACAAGAGGAAGTGTACACACAAGTCATGGTCTCTCCTTCCTTGAAGGTTTTTAAGCAGATATTAGATGGCCATCAGTCATGTATGATCTCGTTAAGATTCCTGCGTTGCAGGGGGTTGAACTAGATGACCCCTGGCATCCCTTTGAACTCTACAGTTCTGTGATTCAAAGTGGATACTCTGCAGGCATTTCTCTCACCTTAAGAGCCCAGTCCAGGAATGGGGGTTCCATGTGTACAATCCCAGTCTGGACAACTAGGGCAGTGCCCTTCATAATGCCCTATTAAAGTACATGAGTAGGACCAATAGAAAAAATGGGCTGGGGAGTGGCGACATCTACCATACACTGCCCTGCCTCTGCCCCACCAGGCTTAATGGAGACCAGCTACCACTGCCACACTCAGGTTGTCATCACTATCATCAGTCATTGTTCCATTGGAAAAGGGAAGACCAACCTGATCTAGCCATCTACACCCTCTTCCAACCATTTCCACACATCCTTAGCTCCTGGATCCAACTTTTTAGCCTGGAGAAATTGTTACATGATGACCACAGTGCAGAAGACAGATCAGGATGGTTGGCTCTCAGTCCAAACCACACGTCTCCAGAGGCCCTTGCTGCCTCAATTCTCAGAGGCAGCCAGGAGAAATGGCTGCAAATGAGAGTTCTGGGAGAAGGGAAGCCAAACGGCAGTTGTTACCAATCAAGCAGATGGAATGAACATTACTCTTGCAACTCTCTTAGATGGCACTATATGGAATGGCCACCAGTGAATTATTCCACTCAGTCCAACTCATTACTGTGGAAAGAATTTCAGAAAATAAACATATTCTACTAGTTTAACTTTAGTTCTGAGACTTAATACACAGAATTTTGTTGCTTTCCCTTCCTCCCATGTTTTGCAGCTCTCCAACCATTATTTGTTACTTAAGATTGTGCGATCAAGGTATATCTATACTTTGGGGGAAGACTGCAGTATTTCTATTATGCTGATGACAGTACAGTCCATGAAGGTCTGATTTATCTTCATTTAACATTAGCTCAGGAACCTCTGTTTCTAAGCAAACAGCAGCATCTCAGTGCATCTTTGTATTCGCGAAAGAGCTTTATTAGTGGTGTCCTGGCAATGGGATGCCCTTTCTAAAGAGACCTGGTGCCTGTGCTACAATTCTTTCAGTGCCAGGCAAAAATATGATTCATGCAAGCATTTTAACTTGTTAGAATGTTAGCTTTAAGTATTTTTATCTGTTGTTTGATTATTGTATTTGTACTGTGAAGCCATGGGTTCTGCACCACCCTGAAATATACAATAGGACAAATGTGGCATATACATTAAATGGTGTGTGTGTGTGTTAATATGTATAAATAAATGAAATAGGGGTGTTAATATGTATAAATAAATGAAATAGGGGGAATCAAATTATTGCACCTTTTTCTTCCTCTTTTTTGCTGTTTTTGAACAATTCTTGAAAATTTCCCTGAAGGTCATTGATGACATCTGGGGTGTTACCTCAATGTTTATGTGTGGCATTTTGTCTATAAAGACAAATAATATTCAGTCAATCAGTCAGTTTACACAAAAGACAGTATACCATAAACAATCATTTTCCATAAATACTCATAACCATGAAGAACATTTAATAGTAAGCTATGAAGACTTGTCTGCACATAAGTTTCCATCCCTGGGTGATGACAGAGTCTGACCGTATGGATCAGGGAAAGCCTACACATAAAGATAAGCCATTACAAATACCAGTAACTTTCAATTCTTTCTTGGGTTGTCACTATCACAGGGATCAGTATTTGGTTAAATGAGAGAAAGTTCCAAATGGGATAGGTCTGAGCAAAGAAGGTATTATGGTGCAATCCTATGTATATTTGCTCAGAATAGTTGCACTTGGTTCATTCGGGCTTATTCCAACATAGTTGTGCAGTATCAATACATGTACAGTGGTACCTCAGGTTAAGAACTTAATTCGTTCTGGAGGTCTGTTCTTAACCTGAAACTGTTCTTAACCTGAGGTACCACTTTAGCTAATGGGGCCTCCCGCACCGCCGCTGCTTGATTTCTGTTCTCATCCTGAAGCAGAGTTCTTAACCCAGGTACTATTTCTGGGTTAGCGGAGTTTGTAACCTGAAGCGTCTGTAACCCGAGGTACCACTGTATAAGCTGGCAAATCTAAAGGTTTATTGACTGGAATTATCCCACCTTTCTTTCGGTCCTTAAGAGCTTCCAATATGCTGATTGCACTTTGTTCTCCTATAGCATTGCCATCGATATCAACTTCCACTAGATGGTCAGAGTTCCTGATTAAACTATGATAGAAAATATTAACAATGAAAATTGTTTTACAGTTCCACAGTACCATAAATGACAGGCGAGAGTGATTCCATGTCCTGTTAATCAGTTGCCTTACCTGGTCAACAGCTGCACAAACTCTCTGATGTTTTCTTCTGTTTGGCGAAACCTTCCATCTATAGCATTATCAGCCAAATGCAGCCTAGCTAACCATGGGCCAGGGTCAGGTTTCTTATGCTTTTTCTTTGAGACTGCAAATCGTAAGCAAATAATTATTATTTCTGATACAATGAAGATAGGCAACTTCAGGTTACTCTGCATCCAGTACGGCTAGTTTTTGAAGCTGCATTCACATGACGTAAACTACAATCTGTATCAATTCTGTAGCTTCTTGACAAATTTGATGTGTTTTTTTCAACTAGAAAACTAGATGAAGAGTAAGCGGTACTGTTAACATTTATCTGTCTTATTTTACCTTTCCGTTTCTTTTTCTTCCTATTTTCCATTGTCGTAGGACTGTTTGTCTTCGAAGTAGTGTTCAGATTCGCAACTTTTGAATGAAGATCTGCATCTTTGTTGGCTGCTGAAAATGAAAAGGCGGTAAGTTTAAATTTTGCTGTTACGATTTCCCGCAGGCCCTCCTGAAAGATGCTCAGCCTCCAAATGAGCACAGCTACCCTGCCTGAATTGTGCTCTCTGAGCTCCTGGCTGTTGAGTTATACGAGTCAGTTTTAAATATGCCTGGAATCAAGCATTGCCACAGTTATGCTGTGGGGTGGGGTAGAGGGGGAGATACTTCTGTAACTGCTTCGACTGCCCAAATCCAATTAAAGAACTGCTTGAGTTAACTCCAAGCCTATAAACCTGATCCTTCAAAACATCTGCATGACCGCATCATTAGGAATCTCTGATTCATGCAGCAAGCCTCCTAACCATCAGCACATTTTGCTATTTGCAGACATCACTACCAAGCACAGGCTGAAGGACTTCGCCCAATTGCTTCCTGCACTGCTCTTTATATCCGAAATCAAGTCAAACTATACGGAACGGCCCCTTTTCTCCAGAAGCGTTGCAGACAATCATGGGATTGCAACAAAAGACTGGTTTTTCCACACTTAGGCTCCTCAGCTAGGATATCTCTTTTGCATATACCTTCTCTTTTGTCTTAACTGACCTCTCCCGGAGCCAATTCCTCTGGCTGCTGCTTGTGGGTTTGCTTTGTAGCTTTGCATCCATTTTCAGTAAATCCATGATGTTCCCTTTCTCTTTGTTATATACTAAGCTTGGATCCTAGAACAATAGGCAAGTAGGATCCTAGAATGCAACAACTGATTGGCCTGCAGGAAAAGACCAATCAGGCTCCAGGAGGGAAGCAGAGCCAGCCAATCAGATGGGACTCATTGTGTAAATAATGTATATAAAAGCCTGAGGTTTGGGGGGCAACTCATTCACTGTTTTACAAGCTTCAATAAAGAGCATGAAATCACTACAGGACTTTGAGTATATTTCACTCTTATTTTTAGAACTAAAACAATGGGAGGTTCTTGTATTAATTCCCTGTCCATTCATTCCCTGTCAAAGCCAGATCTGAGAGATGTGCAATAGCTTGTGTAAAACATTAGGCAGAACATCAGGCTGTGCCTTGATGCTGCACACAGTTCTGGACACGAACCCCCAGAACCACCAAAGATATGCTTCCATGTATACTTTATATGCATTGCTCTCCAAAGTCTAAGTAGATCCTTGAAACAATGGCAACTGATTGAAGATGAGTGAATGGTGTCCATATTTCCTTTTTTGAAACTCAGTCTCTATTCCTCCTGTTTGTTCTTTTCATTATTTTTCATATAGATGTGTCTTAAAAACAGCCCAAGAAAATGCATGGCCATAATGAACTTTGTCCTGTTTGTATTGTTTTTAGTGGAGTTTTGCCTAGAGCTGAAATATGTAAATGCTTGAGTTGTTTTAAAAATAGCAAATCATACCATTTAATTTTAACATTTAGAAGGTTGCAATCCTATACACACACCTACCTATGTGTAAGTCTCATAGAAGTCAATGGAACTTAGTATGTTACAGGACTGCAATGCAAGTTGCATGAGTAAATTGCCCCAAAGGCAATCCTACCTTCAAGGCTGAGTTGAGCATTTGCTTTCTTTACTTGTCCAATGCTTTCTTCAAACTCTGCTATTGGTCTGAGGAGTTCTATGGCACCCAAACATTGCAAGTGATTACCATTCAGGAACAAGTTGCTGCAATAAACAATTTAAAATTATTTCACAGACAATGGTTAAAAAGAATATTAAGTTTTATTTCAACATATTTTCTTGTTTTTAGAAGCAGATTTTCCCCCCACTACAGAAATTTTAAACAAAACAGAAAAGACTTATTTAGTCTATTTACAAGATATATAGCAATCAAAGATGTTAAAGCAGTAACATCAATGCAAACAACAAAAACAGCACAATCAGAATAAAAACACTCTAAAACAGTTCAAACCCAGCTCTAAATCAATCAATCAATCAATCAAAACATACCAAATGGCAGTTTGGACTACAAGAGTTGCTAATGTTAATCCACTTTTGGGCCCTAAATCACAGTAGCAGAGGCTCAGAGTTAAAAGCTTTCTATTCCCATCTAATCCATCAGTAAGTCTACTGACACAGTTATCACCACATCTGTAAAGAAAATAATAAATTAGGTAGACAACAGTTTAAAAGAAGGCTGTTTACTCCTACCTTAAACATATAGTTATTTAGCCAGTATTCTAGTATTGTACATAAGTTTGATTCGAATTGAAGCAAGTCATTTAGACACATTCCTGGAAAGACTTAAACTGACAAAATAAGGGAACAATACACAAAAAGCTGGCATAAAGTAAGCTTGGTATAAATTAAATTGGTGTGAAGTACAACAGATCCAAAAGAGCAGGGCTACTGCTGGCTGAGCCAATATAAGTCCAGCAGAGGGAAAACAAACCTTTAAAATAGTGTTTGAGTTACACCATCCTTTTTGGAATCTTAACTTATACTGGGTCATCAGGTCACATGACAGAGCTAAATGGGTTTAGGATCCAGCCTAAATCCACCCTCTCTGGTCCCACCTCTGCCATGTCCTCAGAAAGCCCCTTTTTCCTGGGTTTAAGACAAATTACTATTAGCTGGACTTGGTTCAACCAGCTGGTCCTTGAGATTTACATTACATTTCCATCAAGGCATGTAAGAGATAATTGACTGAATTCAACAACCTGGTTCTATTAACAGAAGCCAGACTCCCATTAGTGCAGTGGGGCTCCTTCCCACCAGCTTACCCCCATGCCTCCCCCAAATCTGCTTTGGAGGTTTGGGAGATACCATAGAGTAAGTTGTCCTGCCAGACTTAGCTATGTCTACTTCCCTTCACTTGGGGAAGAACTAGGTAAGAGCTTGTTCTCTTCCAGTCTACCTGAGATGTTCAGCATGTGAAGAGGTTTGAGCTGGTTGCTCCAGCTCAACCACATGGATATCACAAGCCACTCTCGAGTTCCTATACCAATAATCGAGGAACTCCTACATTGCTTCCACAGCTCCTCTTTTCTTTAGGGTGAAGAAGTGAAACTAATAGTTTTTCTTACTTGGAATAATCCAGAACAAGAGAACTCAGACGGCTGTAAGGCAGAGCCATTCCAAGTCTCTCCATGCTCCAAAGGTCTAATACATGATGAGTTATTTCTAATTTGGAAAAGGGGTAGATGGTACGTCCATCCAGTTCTAGCAAGATTGCCTAAAACACAAATAAGAAGAACAAAAATCCAGATTTATCCAAACAATTAATGCTTCTAATTTGAATTCTTTGCGTGCTTTGAAAGTGTTCGTACTTAGCTTAGTCCTGCCACACTAAAAGCATAACATTCAATATTCCTGGACACCATAGTTCTGTATTTAACTACATGGTATGAATACGATTTGATGTAATATTTTTCACCCTGATGTCCATTCATCCTACCTTTCTCCAGTGCTAAAAATGTTAACATACACTCTCTATAGTTTACAAAGAGCTACCATGGAATAACAGTTATTTCTCCACTTGTAGTTCCCTAGATGGTGGCCAACACTCTAGTCAGGGAAGAGGATTAGACTGACGAGTCAGATGGCTATATATCAGGCCTGTCCAACAACTGAAAAACTTTGGCTCCCCCCAAAAAGCTCTGGTCAATCCTCCAATGACAATGGGTAGATCACTGCCAGTTTTTTTATGCTGTGAGTAGATCGCAGTCTCTTTAGAGTTGGATGAGCCTGCTATAGATCATCTGTCATGGATGCTTTAGCTGAGATTCCTGTATTGCAGAAGATTGGACCAGATGACCTATGGGTCCCTTCCAACTATACAATTCTATGATTCTATGATCTGTGACACATTGAGGTCCCATGCTTGGTGGTAAGCAGATGGGCATACTCACAGGTGTCTGGTTGAGTCATCAAATTTACCGGCAACACTGTCCTCTAGACCCACTCTAACCTACTCACACTTGCATATTGGGCCAAGGGCTAGAAAAATGCCATTGGTTTCTCTGGGGCCCAAGAAACACTGTTCAAGTGCCTTTGTTCCTTGCAAAAAAATTTAGCTGCTTCCAGGTCCAGAGCTAGCAACAAGTGAACTCTTGTCAGCTTGATGGCTAATAAGTTCAGCAACAGCAAATTGTTCCCCACTTAAAAGATCATCCCAAGTGTAAGATGGAATATGGCATCCATAAAAAGGGCTCGGGCATTCTGGAGAACTACATTTCCCAAGGTCCCTGGCACCTGGGTTACAGGTGTTGCAGCCTTCAAGCAAGGCTTTTTGTGGTTGTAGCCAGTGGCACGTACTGTATGCTTTGTGGGAAGAGACGGGAGAAGCTGTGATGGCAGGGACTCTTGAGTCTCATTTCTTCCACCCTCAATAGTACACTGGCTCTCTCCTACAATGACTGTGAGAAGCTGATGTCCAGACTGTATTTATTTTACTTTTTGAGTTGGTTGTGAAAGTCTCAGGTTCCTTTACCAATGGCTTGTGTTCAAACTTACAAGGTTTGCAATATCTTGAGGATATAGGTTAATTCCACAGATACAGAGCTCCTTCCCTCGCCGATATCGTTCATCTCGGATAGTCCTCAGTAAAGGAGTGAGATAAACTGGATGCACATTTCTTGATAAGCTCTCTACATTTGTAAGCACAAACTAGAGAAGAAAAAGAAAAGCTTGATAACAATCCTGCCACTAAAACTTTACTGATTCCTTTTATTTTTTTCCTCTTCCCTCAATTTCCTCAACAGAACTTCCAGCATTAATATAAATAGTAGAGGTGACAGAGGGCATCCCTGCCTTGTGCCCTTCATAATCTCAATGTTTTCTGTAACAATACCGTTAATTATCAACCTTGCCTTTTGTTTAAAGTAAATAGCTTCTATTCTATATCATTATGGAATGGGATGTCCCTGTTTTCATCGGAGAAATGTTGGAGGGTACGTCTTTGGCATAGGCATCATGTAATATAAAATTACTCACACTGCACTAGTGTGTCTTTGGTGCTCTTTCATAATAAAGGAGCCATCAGATGTTCAATCTGCATGGTTTAATTTAATGGACTTTTTAGCAAGTTGCAGGGACGCGGGTGGCGCTGTGGTCTAAACCACAGAGCCTAGGGCTTGCCGATCAGAAGGTCGGCAGTTTGAATCCCCGCGAAGAGAGAAGATAACTTCAGGTAACCTACCTCAGGAGAGAGGGCAATAGAGTTGCTAATCAGCTAGAACCATGCCTCCCTCTAAAGGAATAATTTGTTGTTGATGAATAAAAAATACAGTTGGGGTATAATCCCCAACATCATTTGGTTCTAATTCACAAAGGCACGTCAATTTTTTATTTATAATCCATTCTTACCTTAGTAATGAACATATCATTTGTTACACATTGCTGTAAGTCCTGTTTGATAGTTGGACTGACACAACTTTGGGATGCCGTGCAATGCTTTTCATAAGTTTGCAGGAACTTTTCAAGGATATTCATAGCTAAGCCGGCTTTAGGTTTTGGTTTGCCTTTTAGCTTTGGCATGACTTCTTTCCTTGATGTTTTCAGTTGCCACAGAATGTGGACTCTGAAAAAAGAATAGTAGGTTTGAGGAGCAAAGGCAAGAGGTTGTAACTTGCAGGCCTTCCTTAAAGAAATCCATTGTTCTTAAATAGATTAGGCTTCTATACCAAAATCAGGAAAAGGAGCTAGATTCAAGAAAAAAATAACAAGTCATCTCTCCTGGTATGAGGCTGTGTACACATTTGATATAAATTATATATGTGTGTACTGCAAAAGTTTGTTTTAGGGTATCATGTGATCGATCTCCATACTAGTGATCTGATGAAGCAGATTTTTTAGTCCCCCATAGTCTAATTTGAAGGTGTAGGTGCTAATCCTAAATCTTTGGGTTTTATCCCTTTATGGGGATGTATGGAGAGCTCCTCTGTCAATGTAGTCCCTTTGCCATCCAAGCTAGTGTTCAAAATTCTCCAATGTGTCTAGCCCTTTTAAGGTGTTCCACCCACCAATAGGAATAAGGGATGCAGATGATCCACCAGCTTCACCTCATGATGTGATGGGTGCCTTGACCAATAGGAGCAGGGGCACACCTCTGACATCGAAGAGGGTTCCCACACAGCAAACACCCCAAAACCTTTACACAGATATAATAGTAGGAAGCAATAGCTTTCATAAACAGATCCTGTGTTATTGCTGAATTCACACATATTCTTTTGTTGGAGAAAATAATAATTTAATCAAACTGTGTTTTGATTATTCTGTTTTCTTTTGAGTCTATGGCCTAGCTAAGCTAAAAGGGCCTGTACCTGTCTTTTACAGTACAGAACTAGCTGCTTTTAGGTACTGTACATAGTGAATGTCTGTTCCAGAACACTGAAAATAATAAACTGTTAGAATCTATGGTGGGCATTGTATGCATGAAAAGAGAATCAGCTAGGCATGGCAATTGTGATTAATCTTGAATTGTTTTGTAGAATGATGAAAGAGGACATTGGAAGACATTTAATGTACAGGAAAATTAGTCAAAGTCTTAATAAAGAAAGGCACTTGAAAATGATTATATGTAATCACATGATATGATGAGGGCTGATCTGAAGAGCCAAATGATTTTGATTGTTTCAGGATGATGGCATTGGCTTGGAACTATTAAAATTGGTGTGATCCATTGATCAGTGAAATTAAATGACGTGTGTAGTCTGGAAGTGTATAAAAAACATTGCGTCAGATGTGGTTCTTTGCAGCCTTCTCCTTATTTTTGAGGCTGTCCCTGTGTACATTTATATTTCAATAAAGGCCTATCTTTTCACTTGGAGTCTGCATCCTTTTCCTTTGGGTTTATGTGAGGGTAACCTCCAATCTAGGGACCCCCTTTAAATTTATCCAACGCATTAAATTCCTAAACTCAGTTTACTGCACACAGAAAACTGAAGCAACCCACAAGCGTTTCAGCTGCCATTTGGATTTATTAGCACAATACACCAACCAGGCAGATTTATTCTATACAGCAGCACTGGTTGCCATAGCAATACCAGCCCTGCATCCAAACAGTCTGTGAGTAGGATGTTAGGACTACTGTAACTGCCTCTGTCAACAGACCAGAGCGCATAATTCTGCTACACAGAACAAGCTTGCCTTTGTGAACAATGTACCAAACATAGGAGCCCCAATCACAACCCAATACAGAGGTAAGTATGCTTAAGGCCACTGAAATCAATGGTGCAAGGCTGAAATTACATGCTGAATTAAGTTACATGCATCTCCCCGTGGTTTTTTCTCTCCCCCTACTGCATACTCATACACAGCTGAGAAGGCTGCAGTCTTCAACATAAGACTGGGGTGGGGGTAAATGGTTGGTTAAAACTTTAAACTCAGGCCATTTACCCATTCAAAATCTCCCCTTAAGCTGATTTTCATTGTATGTAGGGTGATTTCGAACAGGGGGAGGGAAATGTTGGAGGCGAAATGATAGCAAAATCCCTGTTTCATCCTTGCAATGCTCCTATTTTGCCCCAACTCTATCCACTTGGTGGAGAGAGAGATGAACATTGGGAAGAGCTACGTGGCTGTGACTTGTACATACAGTGGTACCTCGGGTTACATACGCTTCACGTTACATATGCTTCAGGTTACAGACTCCACTGACCCAGAAATAGTGCTTCAGGTTAAGAACTTTGCTTCAGGATGAGAACAGAAATCATGCTCCGGCGGCACGGCAGCAGAAGGAGGCCCCATTAGCTAAAGTGGTGCTTCAGGTTAAGAACAGTTTCAGGTTAAGTACGGACCTCCGGAACGAATTAAGAACTTAACCCGAGGTACCACTGTATACTTCTCTGCATGGTGCTGGACACTTGGTTTTTAGTATTTGAGTGTTTTAATGGCAATATCAGTTTGCTAATTCACTTTTTTGCAAAGCTTTTATGCATCTTGGTCATAAATTAAACTTTATTATATAAGAAAACATGGGAAGCCAGTTGTTAACATAGTGCTATGAGTTGGGGGGGGAGGGGAATGGCAGTATGCTGAGACCGTTCTGATTCATGGATCCAGCAAGGATTCAAATGGTTGAAACAGCCAGACAGTGTTGTTGGCATCCACCTGTCTTGAGAGGTAATGGAGTGCACCTCTGGGGGCGAAGTCAAACTGCTGCGTTACTGGCACTGAAGTGACCTCCCTGGGATGCAAGCCTGGGCAGTGTGTATGGAGTCCCTGGGCTGCCTAAATGACAAGATACACACACCACTCAGCCTTGCTGATGTGGTCCAAAGGAAAGCAGAGCAATACGTTTGGCGCCAGTTTAGCCGGCAGGAGTTGCTGGAAGGAGGCCTACAAGGCACCACCCCACTTTGTGTAGGGTTTACGCCTTAAGCTTTCCTTCTCTTGAAGATATCCTGCAAAGCAGCAGCAGAGGTTTAGGATCAGGGTTTTCCTTCTCCTAGATGGGCTACCTTCCCAGGTTGACGAGCAAACCTCTTGATAATGGCCCTCTATAATAATAATAATAATAATAATAATAATAATAATAATAATAAATTTTATTTATACTCCGCCCTCCCCAGCCAAGACCAGGCTCAGGGCGGCTGACACCAGGTATAAAAACAATTGATTAAAATACAACTTAAAAACAAGATTAAAATACATTAAAATATGAAAATACAGCCTCATTTCAGTAGGAACACAAATCAAAAACTTTTTGGGGGATGAAAACGTCAAGTCTTCACCAAGGCCAACTATCGAGACTAGGCCTATGTGGGCCAGAAAAAAGCCAGGGAAGTCCCCAAATAGGAGTTCTATCACAGAAGGAGAAAGGAAAGAGGGGGAGGGTATCTAAATATATAACAAAAGAAGTGCCTCTGTGCCAGACAGTAAATAGGTGGGACCCCCTCATCAACTTGCTGGTAGTTAGAAAAAAGACACAACCCAGAGGTGAGTTGTGTGTGTGTGTGTGTGTGTGTGTGTGTGTGTGTAAGTTAAAATTTGAAAGGAGAGATATGCCTGATTTCTGCTTGCATCCAAGGCTGTGGCTATGGGTGAAGAAGCAAGACCCTCTTGGGGTGTTAATGCTGTGAACCCATTCATCGTGGGCTCAGGTTGTATATATGTGTAAATAAACTATATATCATAAGGATAATGCAGTCTCTGCTGGCCTTCATTCCAAAGGAAACATGAACCCTCGATAAGAGCCTGGGACTCCTGGAATCTTGCACCACTTGTAGATAGGGATGGTGTGCAACAGTATGAAGAGCCCTGCATCTTCACAAGCTCACAAGCAGGATCTGAGGGGAAAACCCCATTTGTGATTCCCAGCAACTGGTGCACAGCCTCTGACAGTAGAGGCAGAACAGAACCTTAGTAGCCACAGAGCCTTAGTAGAACAGAGCCTTAGTCTTATCCCCATAATTTTATAAAGGTAAAGGTAAAGGTACCCCTGCCCGTACGGGCCAGTCGTGTCCTACTCTAGGGTTGTGCGCCCATCTCACTTAAGAGGCTGGGGGCCAGCGCTGTCCGGAGACACTTCCGGGTCACGTGGCCAGCATGACGAAGCTGCTCTGGCGAGCCAGCACCAGTGCAGCACACGGAAACGCCGTTTACCTTCCCGCTAGAAAGCGGTCCCTATTTATCTACTTGCACTTAGGTGTGCTTTCGAACTGCTAGGTGGGCAGGAGCTGGGACCGAAAGACGGGAGCTCACCCCGCCACGGGGATTCGAACCGCCGACCATACGATCGGCAAGTCCTAGGCACTGAGGTTTTACCCACAGCGCCACCCGCTGACCAAACCTCTGTTTTTCAAAGTCACAATAGACTGGAACTCTATAAAACTCTAGTAAAAGCAGCTGCTGGAAGACTCTAGTGGCTGATTTAATGGAAGATAAAATACACTAAGCAAACCATGGAAATGTGCTCGCTCGCTCTACAACGCCTGATAAAATCAGCTATAAGAATTGCATATTCACATGTTCTAAAGCACAGAGACATTTCTAACTCGTTATTAATTTGTGTCACTAACTCCATAATGTGTGTGCCCAAGTCAGAGATTTATTGTTGAAATAATAAATCACTGAAAAGCCCTAAATTGGGACAGGGAGAAGACACACACACATATAGATCATCTTCCTTACATTTGCCCCTCGGGCTTTATTCACCATCACTGCTACATGGCATAACAAGGCATGCAAACCATTTCAGCTCCTAGGACCTGCTGCTTGGGTACCATGGCTGGCCGGGACCTGCACTCGGTAACTTTCTAAGATTGCTGGGGCGCAACTCTAGTTCTGCCATGAGGGAAGTAGGGTTCCTGCTCTTGGGTCCAGACAGTTATACTGAACACAGGCAGCTCAGGAATGGGCACAAAATTGCTCCAGTCCTATTGGAATGGCCATTATCCCAGGAGAATATGGAAGTCATAGCCTCTGACAATAAGTGCACTGGCAGGGTTTTATTTTTGGTTGGATTCTGCAGGTCAGTCCCCAGAAGGAAGATGGGGTCAGCTTGGCTTAGTTTGCCCAGTTGGAGGAAGGAATTGTACTTACCCACATTGGTAAACACACCAAATATTGCAAAGGAGTTGAAGTCTGGCAATTTGTAGGCTTTGTTAATTCTCAGAAGGGTGGGTACAGCGCCCCTCCCACCCATCCCTTTTACCCTTTGGAATTTCTCTCTGAATTTCTCCTGCGCTTCCTACAACTGGAGTGTTTTCAGGTCACCTAGCAACCTTGTGACATGACTGAGGAACAGAGAAAGCTTGTTTTATTTAAAGAGCCAGGATTATCCTGCATTTCAGCTCATATAACCCTTATTCTTGTCTGTTTAACCAGGGATGTCTTAATAACAGAAGAAAGTGAGACGAGATTGAGAGTGTGCAGAGAAAGGAGAGGATTTATAATTTTACATGAATAATTTTTATTATTATTTTGTACCTTTTGTTTTTACCATGATCTTGCAGAACACTAAAAAAATACAATTAACTGGAATACCATCAGGTTACATTCACAACCAAATTGTCTCCCTTGTGCCTTAGTTTATGTGCCCTAGCTAAACTATCAAATTATACAGAAGTATGTATTTGAAAGATGTGTGTTAACATTGAACATTGAAGACTACATTTGTAAATCTCAATTTCTTTATTTGTATTTGTAAAAATCAATTTTTACAGGAAAACATTCCTCATAACGAATTATAATAATTAGCATGCAGAAGAAAATTAACCTCACTGACAACCCAACATCAGTTACAGCTTGATATTGTATTGATGATTTGTTGTCTGTCTGTTTGAAGTAAACATCACACAGACCCAGTTAAGCCAGTCTGTTGGAGATGAGGAAACCTCATTTTCTGATGTCCAGCCAAACTCAATCTGGCAATTATATGTAATAAGGAAGGATACCTGAATATTTGATAGTGACAGTATTGTCACATCAGAATATAATAAAGCATCGGGTGATATCCAAGCCACAAATATCTAGACTGTTTCCCAAAACTTTTGAATTTAGCTGCATAATCACAATATAGTGCCTTAATCTCCTAGATAATCTTATGATGTGGTGATTGCATCTCCTTAGACATCTACTGTTATCAGCTGTATATATCATATGCAATTTCCATGATGATACGTGTCATTATATTTCTTAATTCCACCTTCTCATATATGGTAGCCATGTTGGCCCATAATAAATTATTTTATACACCCCCCACCCCCATTAGGGCAGTATATATCCTAGACCAACCAACATCTTACAAAAGAGTGTGCATTTTTTTTTTTTTGTTCTCCAGTGCTTTCCCCCCTAAGGGTAAGCAAGGGTACATAGTACTGGCACCTTCTCTCCCCCCATGTTAAAAGCGTGGCACTTACTGTAACAACTTCACACTGAATACCAGCACTGGTTTTTCCTTTAAAAAAAAAAGAGCACTGACCAGAACTCTTCATCAGATGAACTGGCAAAGAAAACAAAGGATGTGGAAGAAAAATGTCTGATGCTTGAGCCAAGGATAGACCTTGCATTTACTGAGTCTTAAGATGCAATGTGGAAGGGGACTGGGCAGGATCCAACATCGGGTGGGTAGACTTCACTTTCCTCTCCCTCCCCCCGCCTCCCATGTACCACCAAAATCTGCTTCAGAGGATCCCTCAACCCTTTGGAATAGATTTTGAGGACATGCATGAGGGTGGAGGTGAGGAAGGTGAAGTCCAATTGCAAAAGCCAGTACTGCTCATGCATGGGCTGTGTTGGATGCAACCCATTCCAAAGGGGCCGTTAGGTGAAGTAACTCACTTTGCCTCCTACTTTTTAATTTTAATTTTTTAAAAACCTACCTCGCTGCCTGAAATTAACCTTCAGATTTGTTTATTTTAAAACCCTGCCTGTATTTCTACCTACTAAGAAACTGATATGTTTTGTCCAAGGACGGAGACCCATCTGGGTAACAGCTAGATTCTATATTTTCTAATATTCTTATAAACCATTGTATATGCTGCTGCTTCCCAGAAGATACTCACCTGCCAGAGCCTCATTTGAACATCTTCTACCTCACCCCACACTCTACCATCAAATTTGTTCACTCTCTATCTAGACTGACAAAATGTTCTGGAGAACATGAAAATATGCACACGCTTTTGCAATACTTCAGTTTGCCTAGCATGGATACAGAAAAATAAGATACGTTTTATGCTGCAAGTTCAACATTTTGTAGTTTTGAGTACCTTCCCTTATTAAGACAGTTCCTCCCTACCCCGAGATCTTGAAGGTGATACAATGACTAAGAAGGAAACTGCCCGTTTTTAAAAACAGATCTAACATTCTGTGCTATATCCACATTTGAATCTTTAGAATCTAAACACTCTCAAATGTTCATCTACATTGAAGAATTCATTTATGATTGAAGCCACTGACTGTGTATCAAAGGCTATTTTACACCTGCAGTCCCAAATGTTTATTACATTCACAACAATTTTTAAAAGCTTTGTGTTTTTCTCACCATATCATCATCTTATTAAAGCCTGTGATTCTATATACACTTAACTGAAAGCAAGTTCCATTGAATTCAATGGGTCTTACTTCTGAATAAACTTGCTTAGGATTCTATTTGAAGTGTTTAAATATGCTAAGATACTAGAAGGGCTAACAGCTATATATTATATGTGATACCCGATAGCTCCTTTAATCCAAAGGTACTTTGTGTTTACCACTTAATTTTGTTAAAATTCCATATGGAACATTTAGGAATAAAAAGTTTTGGTATCTATTCTTCCAAGGAAATAAATGTTTCATTTAGGCTATACTAGCACATCTTGCATTTTTATATAAAACCACACAATTATTTTAAAGGGATTCTGTTTATCTTGATTAATATAAATGTCATGATATGGTTGCTTGGTTTATTTGAGTTGACTTTTAAGGTTATCTGTACATGACATGTAATTTGTTTATGTTACAGTCATAGTCATACCCTGTTGCATAGGTTTTCTGCAGAAGTTATATTGTATGTTAACCACCAATGTTTCTTTCAGTCAAGGGCACAATGCATTCACAGATCCTAATATTTCCAGCCTATTTCATAAGATGGAACAATAAGCAATTGATCAATATCTTTTTAGCATCCACTCTTTGAGAAAACCTTTATGTGTGTATTAAGTATTTAAAATGATCAATCAACATATTAAAAGTGGCTGCAACATGCAAGTTTCAAACTTTAATACTTGTGTTAAGAAAATAAACTTTAAATAAAAATACATTCAACATATCATCTTGACAAATTAAAAATACACCGCAAAATATACATGTCAACCACAGCTAATTAAGCAAGCAGTCTTTTTTAAAAAAAATCTCTAGGCTAATCCAAACAGAAACCCTTTTCAATATTTACTACCTAGTTCATACAAAACTTAATTCTGGGTTATCTACTGTATTTGAAATATAACACTGACAAAAAGAATTGCATGGACAGGGCTAGGAAGATCTTTGGCACTTGGCCACATGCTGAAAACATCGATACTGCTTCATTGGAACATGAAATATTTTTCAGTGCTGCTTTATTATTAACTGCCTTGTACTTTACGCAATGTTGTACCTTAACTTTTGAAAGTGCATTTATTCCCCATAATAGTTTTGAAGAGCTCAGGTTTAATTTGGTATAGATGTAATTTGGAGGATGATGAGCTTTATTTGCTTGAGAGCCCTCTGTCCATCTCCATGTTTTGATGAATACACAGAATGCCAGGCATGACTCACAGCATCAGGTCAATGTGTTCCTTCTGCACAGCAATCCAGTACAACTCTAGCAACAGCAACTGAATAGATAAATTACTAATATGGGAGATGTGTACTAGCCATTCCTGGTAAACAGTGGGCGGTTTGCTGCTATCTATGTATAGTAAAAGGTCAATGAGGCAGGGGAATGGAGGCTTTATTAAGCACTATTCTGAACCTCTACATCCACAGAACTATGCTTGCACAAGGATCAGAAATTAATTGTGCTCTTTTAGAATAAGGCAGAAACAAAGTTACTCAAATCTTACTTCGTGAAGATATGATATACAGACAGAACTGATTAATAGGTGACCCCCGTTTTCTTAATATTAACTATCCCAATTTAAGATTACATCCTTTCAACAGAACTGTTTGCAGAGTAATGACCCTCAATAATAAATATTATGCATTGACATGGTTCTGGTGCAATCAGGGCATACAGTTCAAAAAATAAAAAGGAGCGAATTATTTAGAAATAATGTGAACAGGAACCAAAATGATTAACAGAAGCAATACAAAAAGTTTGAAGTACCTTATAGACCAACACGTTTACCAGGGTAAATGGCTTCATCAAATGCCAAAATAGAATGACACAGTGATGATGCAACAAGTTAACACTGTAATTCAATCATCTTGACTGAGTATCAATATACTGAAAAGCCCCAGATGATTGTTTAAGTCCACCATCCCCTATATTTTCAGATGCTCAGCATAGATGCCACTGCTCATGCAGCCAAAATGGCACCGGCAGAAGAGGGAGGTATCAGTAGATTCATGGGAACTCCGAAGTTTGCAGATTACAAAAAAGTTAGCAAAAGTAATGCACAAGATTCACTGAAACAGTCCAATGAAGACTGAATATGCTTAGTGCCCCCAGGAAGAGGGGGGAGATTTGTGTGAAAGCAAGAACAGAGTAAGAATTAGTAAAAGATGATGGAAGAAGACAGAAATATAAGGTTGAGATTGTCAGGATAAGTAATTTTGAGGTTCACATGGAGAAGCTATGATTAAAATGTCCCAGTGATGAAGTGCGAACTACACATGCAAATCAATGGGAAAATCCAAGATTGTAAGGTAGCTGAGTGTGGCCACCTCACCCCCCTAAGAAGAGGGAAAACATCAAAACGGAAGACCCCTCCTCCCACCAAATAGCCCAATATGCTATGTGAGCAGGAAATGTCGGCTGTCTAACCAAGTGGGAAATGAAAAACCAGGAAGAGGAGATGGAATGCAGTAGCTGGAATGATGAATTGAAGCACTTCACCCTGAAACATTTTGTTGTAGGTCACATTTGTGTGATATGTAAAGGGATCCAAAAGTGATGCATGATACCAATGTCAAATCTCAGCAAGATTCTTGAATACTAAGAATGTAGCTTAGGAACATCAAACAGCAAAATCACTTAACAGTAGGTCAGGAACACTGGTCTTTTAAGGTGGTTTATTACTTTGCCTGTTTTAAGAGACCTTACTCATATTTTATTTTTTTTGATGAATCAAATAATCATCTTGCAATCTCCTAACCAAGTAAAGCATCTTGACTCCATGAAAAGTTACAGACAGTATCACTATTTGTAATGAATACAAGTGCATAATACATTTTAAAGTTACTTTGCCTATCAACAAAAATTGAAGGCACAATACCTTTAAGTTAACATTTTTAACACTCAAACCTCAAAAAGAACACCATGCCAATTTGCTTATGTTCTAGGGATGGCCACTGCAGGTTACTTCAAATCATCATTCAGGTGTACTCCAGCTCCAGGGATGGAGAACTCCCTGCTTGTGAGCCTAATTAGGCCTGCAAGGCAGTTCCCCACAAATCATGCCCACTTGTCTCACAGCTGACATATGTGACAACAGGAGTGGGGAAGGTATGGATGAAACTGCTTAAAGTGAGCTCCCAATTGTTGTTTTGCAAGTGGGGCTCCCCATCAGTGCCACTCAGCTGATTGATTCTGACAGGGAGCATCTGGCTACACTATTGGGAACTCCCTAGTGCAGCTAAAGGAACTGGGTTTCTCCAAACAGAGCATTTCCCCCTCTACAAAAGAAAAAAAATACCAGTTTAAATTATTACATACAAACTGCTAATGTGGGTTGAATATTTAACACGATTTTGATTTATATATCTACTTTTAAAATTAAAATGTAACTTTTCCTATAACACATCTTTTTTGGATGTGAACTGAGGTATACCATATTCTGTTGTAAACAGAGTGGGGTGAGGGAAACTGTTAAAAATAAGGCAATATAAGAATAGAGTCGGGTACTAGTCTTAAGACTGTAATTCAGAATAAAATATAGATCAGCAGGTCCATGGTTTTGGGTTGTACGGGCATATTTACCAACCTCATGATTTGTAAGATAACCCTGTGGCTGAGCTGAATTATTTCAAAAATAAAGTAATATTTTGTACTATTCCTGTAATACATTAGACTGTATTAATGAAAAGGCAAACTTCACTGTGCACGGTATTTACAAGTATGAATATTAAAATTGTTGGTTGCACATCCTTCCCATATTGTCTATTACTTCTTTGGTACGGGTTCTCATGGTCATATTCAGATATCACAACATGATTTTATATAATGTATATATCATATCTAAAAGCACATATGTAAAACAGGGAGTGTTATCGTTAAGTAAAAGCTGTTGGCTGTACTGCACTGCCAATGCTATTCAACTACTTGTGAATAACTTTATTAATTCATTATTGAGATGAAAGATTGTCTCAGGACACCTTAAGTGCTCAGATTTCAAGGGAAAGCATAGTCAATGGCTCACCATGAAAATGCAGAACACCCCCACTTCAGTCCTTCCCTTGGAGGAACAAACCATAATCCCCAATTTAGTGTTATATCCAAACCAGAAATTGTGGCTTATTTTGCTTCAAGCAAACAATGATGTAAACTCAAAGTTCTTGGCTTATCAACTGCAGTTTGTTTCAGCACAACAAACAGCAATTTTGATTTGGATATACTTTTAAATCAGATCAGGGATTGTGGCTCATTTTCCCTCATGCTACAGGAGTGGTAAAGTTGGAATGATAAGCAATGACTTACCTTGATGAGCAAATTAGGCCACTGTTTAAAACTATGTACATGATTAAGAACTAATATAAATATAACTATTATTTTGTATTGATTGTACTATTTGCATTTATTTGCATCTTTATTTTTCACCAATTGAATTAAATAAAGATTAAAAGAGTGACATATGACATGATCCCACTACTACAACTGATATAGTATGTAGCTTTCACCCAGGTGATGAAACAATGATTGAATTAATAGCATTTGCATATTTCCCTATCAAAAACAGTAAAACCCACTGAAACAAGTCCCCGGACAAACAAATTGCAATGCACAATCACATCTCCAATATTTTAGTTCAATATTTTTGTTTAAACCTAGGGTGGACAAATGTGCCTTGTACAATTTTTTAAAAATGTTATCAGACAATAGTAGATTGTAGAATACGCAGGCCTGAACAGGGTATTCTGATGGAGAGCCTTATCTAGAGGAAATAATTTCCATCAGTACTTCTGGCTTTGTCCATTGCTGAATGCAGAACATAGAAAGGAGAACACCTCTGATTCAGGAGTCACTGCACTTGAAATACTTATATAAATTAGCTTTATACCTCCCAATTGTTGATTCAGTTGTAATTTTCTTAGATCTGTTTGTACCTCTAGTGTTCTTCTTACATAACTTCTGTGCCATTCATTCTGCTAATCCACTAAGTACTACACAGCTAAGCCCATGGGCCCAGAAGACTTCAACAATAGCCCCCATGTTTATGGCAAACTATTTCTGAAACTCAAAAGACCTATCCAAAGCAGTTAGTGATAAGGCATGGGTATCGGCTGTTCCAAAATGACTCCCACTGGCTGCATGCAACCCTTTTGAGCATGCCTAAAGTAGCTGAGTAGATTATAAGCATTTATTTGCTGGTGCAGAAAGCCTTGTAATCTGGCTGTTGAATCCTACAGCAAGATCTTTGAATTTTTTCTTAGGCAATGCCATACTGTTAGTAATTCATGTAGTATTTTAAGCAGCTTGTATCCATTCTTCCCAATTTCTATCAATTAAAACAATTATTAACCACAACAGTGGCAAATAGCAGCCAAAAAGAAGAAAAACAAGTGTAGAAAAGTAAACTAGAACAACAATATACAAATATGTGGCAATATATCAATTTTTACAGTGCTCAGAAAATTGCTCCCAATATGAGGTTTCCTAGTACCACATTCAATAATACTGATGAAAGGAAGCCTGGGGTGATATCAAGCATTAGTCATACTTAGAGCAGACCCACTGAAATCAATGGAGTTAAGTGTATTGATGTCAATGGGTCCAGCCTATGTTGGATACCATGTTTCTGTTCATTACATACATTTTTATCAGCCTATGATTAAAAATATATCAAGAAGGCAAGATTAAGAGTTTCTAAATGCAAATCTGAGTCCAAAACTTCACCTGGCAAGTAAAAAACTAGATATAAAAATGTTCACAAAAGCATTGTTTTAAGCCACAATAGTGATCATTCAACTGATCATAATGATTAGATACTAAAAAGTATCTTTAAATATAATCTGGGGGCAATCCAGATATTTAAAGTGCTTGGAGTGGTTTTCGAAATCAACTAGTTGCAATTGGATGTGACATATTTCCAATGTGTAATACCTATCTTTAGGGCGATTGTTTTGATTGGCAGGTCGATGTTGCTTGGTATGCACCCATAATAGTTTCCCAACAGCACGAAGTTCTTACACAGTACTTCCAAAAAAGCCCTGATTGCTAAATAAAGTACTAGTAATTGGCTATTTAAAAAGAAAAACAAAATTCAGACAGTGGTCCCATGTCACTCCATTCACTGCTCACTCCAATTGTAAACAAGATGCATAGACTCCCTGACTTGTCCTGCTTCAGTAATATCACTTAAATAACATAACATTGCTAATTATGAATGCACATTTAAAAAGTACCACTTTGTTTCTTTACAAATGTCTATTGTGGATTAAGAAAGGACCATTTTAAAAGTGGCCGTGCGCTGTATATAAAGCTTCAATTCCTTTTGTTACCTGTTGGGATTTCTTTTGCCAAGACTCACTGTCCACAGAATAGGTACCGATGGTTCATAAATGAAATTGATTATTATCTTGGCACACCCAAAGTCCCTTCTGCAGTGGTAGTTAATTTTCTCCCTTAGAAAGCTTATTCCTTTAGTAGTTCCTTCCAGCGCTAGAAAATTTGTTTACTTTCATCTTCTGGCACTTTTAGTTCTTTAAGCGAAATGGAACTGATGTTCCTCACCCTGCAAAACAATCAGATTCCCAAGAAAGTCTTTTCCCTATTAAATAATAAATATATTGTCTGTACACAGCTAATATCCAGGCAATGTACATTCTTAAATACTCTGAATCAGCATACAATCAGGATTTTTAAAAAGTGAAAACTACTCCAGTTTCTTCGAAATCCATTTGCTGCAGTGTGTCTTTGGTTAAGAAATTTTCCCAACAATTGGATTTTCTCTGGAAAAAAAAGAGGAAAAAGAAACCATGTCTATTAGGTGATAAAAGTAGCTTAAAAATATGAAAGCATGCTAGCTCGACCCCTCTCTTTGCTATGGTCTATTTAGGATAACATACTAGCGGGAAATACCTATTTAATGCATATAAAATGGACCACTGAAGATGGAAATATTGAATGGTGCACTATGATGTGTATTACTGATTAAATGTGCTTGAAGAGTGTCGTATCTTATATTTGTGCAGCTGGTTCTTGCTGCCTAAAATTAAAACCTTACACTTGTTCCTATTTATATTTTGTTCCTATTTTGTTAGTTTTGGCTCAATTCTCCAATCTGTTAAGGTCATACTGAATCCTGATTTTGTCTTCTGTGGCATTAGCTACGCCTCCCAGTTTGGTGTCTTCAGCAAATCTGATGAGCATCCCATCAATTCCTTTATCCAAGTCATTTATAAAGACGTTGTACAACAACAGGCCCAGGATGGAGCCCTTCAGCATTCCATTTGTCACTTTTTTCCAGGATGAGGAACCGTTAGTGAGCACTCTTGGTTTGATCAGCGAGCCAGCTACAAATCCACCTAACACTTACCTCGGCCAGTCCACATTTTACTGTTTCTACAGTAACCAAGAATAGCATAATTGATACAGTGGTACCTCAGGTTACATACGCTCCAGGTTACATATGCTTCAGGTTACAGACTCTACTAACCCAGAAATAGTGCTTCAGGATAAGAACAGAAATCGTGCTCTGGCAGCACCAGAAGGCCCCATTAGCTAAAGTGGTGCTTCAGATTAAGAACAGTTTCAGGTTAAGAACGGACCTCTGGAACGAATTAAGTACTTAACCTGAGGTACCACTGTACAGTTTATCTATGCTAAAGATGGAGATGTGTAATAGTAATGTGTCTAGGTTTGAGTCAACTATTTCTCAGAAGCAGAGCTAATTTGCATGGTTTACCTTGAGGAAAAAAGTTGGGTGATATTTCAGAGTACATTTGGTTTGTCAGGAGACAGATCAACTGTAAAGGTAGCAGTACCTGCAATACTTACTCACTGCCATATTTAGCACTAGATGATCTTTTCTTCCCATGTCTGTCATGATGCTCATCCAACTTTTCTACAACAGATATTATTTGCTTAAGTGTTTGAAAAGTTGCCACTGAGTCCTCAATTTTGAAATTAGAATAGTCATCCGGTTCCTTCCGCGGACCTTGATAGACTGCTATACTTTCACAAGCCTCTAAAAATAAGTACGTACAAGCAACAGTATTAGGGAGGCCTTACTTTTTATTAAACAAAACCTGTAATCTTCTACATGTTCAGAAGCAGAAGTATATGTAACAGAAAATGGTTTTTTAAAAAAATAATTAAGAAAGAAAACTACTTTACTGGACACAAAAGAAATCTATTTGCCACTTGTTCTATAACCAATTCTCATAAACTTAACAATTTACTAAGTAATGTTTTTTCCCTCCAACAGTACTATTTCTAAGAAATCAGCACTACTTGAATTAGTATATCTGTACCTTCCATCTTCTGCAGCTTTGGCATGTTGATAGCAAAAAGGGAGTAGATTCTCTCCGCTTCTCGATCCCCATCAATCTCTATTTGGATGTCATTAGGCACACCCCTGCAATTAAAAGTTTATAAACTATATACATATACATACATCTCCACCCTTCACTGTATGTTACAAACCATTCTCTAAAGCAGTTTAACACATGCAACTGGCTCCCGCCATCAATGGTATCTATTTCCCCCGATTACAATGTTGCCTGTTCCTTCCACCTGCTATCTGTGAACTAAAGGACTGGAATATATAATATAGGAAGCACACATCTCTCTAGCTACAAATCCTAGGTTAACTATTATGACAAGCGGCTTAAACACACACACACTCTTCTGCTAAGAGGCCCCTTTAGGCAACAAACATGCCGGGACTGACTGAAATCCCAGCAAAAATAGTCAGAGACCAATCTTATTTCTATTTGCAAACAAGTATACATCTTTCTTTGCAGATGTTACTTACACAGTGCATGGTGTGCAACCTTCTGAGTTCTCTGATGTAGCCTTACAGCAAAGCCAGTTTCCATTCAAAAAAGCAGATGGATGATAAACACTCAGTCTGCTTTCGTTGTATCTGCTCTTCCTACAGAGAGCTTCTATCCACTCACTAGCCTCCACGCAATTATTTGCTTGCACGTAGAGTGGCTTTTCAGCATGTATCACTTGAAACATCTGAGAAAGAAAATATCCTTTTTATTCAAAAACCCAGTTTATTCACAGGACTCCAAATAACAAGCAGCACAAAATTCTCTTCATTTGCTGTTTTATTTAGCAATTTTGTGAAATTTCTGTTCTATTGCTTAGTAGCAGGACTGCAATGCTACACCTTTCATCAGCTTAGTTCTCTCGGCAGCCACATTGTTACTTATCATGACATCCTTCCCTTTGTCCATCCCATCTTACATCATAAACCAAGAAACAGACTCAACTGTGGCAGCTACTAGTACAACAGTCATGTGACTAGCAGAAGCCCCATTCCTCATGTACTGCAACAGCTGGATCTAACAGGCGCCTTGGGTGGGCAGAAGAGCTTGAACGGTGTTAACATATCATATACCCTGCTTTCACAATAAAATGGCTTGCACAACAGCAACTCTCCTGCTTCTTGCGCTAACATTATGTGGGATACTGCCCCTTACCGTATTTTTCGCCCTATAGGGCACACTTTCCCCCCTCCAAAAATAAAGGGGAAATCTGTGTGCGTCCTATGGGGCAAATGCAGGCTTTCGCTGAAGCTTGGAGAGTGAGAGGGGTCGGTGCGCAGGCTTCAGGAAGCTATCAGCAAGCCTGGGGAGCCCGCAGGAAGCTTCTCGCTCTCCAGGCTTCAGGAAGCTATCAGCAAGCCTGGGGAGCCCGCAGGAGTTCCTGCAGGGCTCCCTGGGCTGTGGATAGCAGCCTGCTGCCCAGAGCGTGGGGCGCACTGAAGCAGAGCGCCCTGCGCTTCGGGCAGATATCCACAGCCTAGGGAACCCTGCGGGAGTTCCCGCAGGGCTCCCTAGGCTGCGGATAGCAGCCTGCTGCCCGGAGTGCGGGGCGCGCTGAAGCAGAGTGCCCCGCACTTCGAGCAGATATCCGCAAGCCTGGGGAGCCCGTGGGAGTTCCCGCAGGGCTCCCTAGGCTGTGGATAGCAGCCTGCTTCTGGCAGATATCCGCAAGTCCCCCCCCCCAAACACTAGGTGCGTCCTATGGGCCAGTGCGTCCTATAGGGCAAAAAATACGGTATATTTCAAGCAGCAGCTCCTTCTGGAAAATAATCATTAATAGGAAGAATCAAAACAGTATTATCAACCAAAAACCTTAACATGAAAGAAAGTGCACCCCAAATTGAACCTGCCTTGTGTTTATTAATGCCCTGTGGGCTTAAGGATGACATTGGTTGGATGGCAGCTATAAAACTAGTATAGGACTCCAAAAATGTCACTTTTTGCTATACAGACAAAAACCATTTTGGGTGGGGGTTACATTCCTGACTCCCACTCACTTTTCCGACCTCTTCTGGGTTGTGGATATGTTTGTGTGGTTGTGCACATACTGGACAAGAGTAAAACGGTCATTGCCTGTATTAATTTCCTTGCCATTGTTGTATATTTGCATATACATTTTATTGACACAGTTATCAAGTTATCAGCAGATAAGGTAATTCTTTTGCTATACAAGGACATTGTTAAGTTGTAATGTATTGACTGCATATATGAACGAAGTATTTGTGGGTACTGTTTTTCAACTATTTTGCAATTAAGCATTTGCCTTTAAGGGACCTTTGCCCTCCAAATTAGAAGTCTATTTTTAATCGATAATCGATAATTTAATAGATAATTATTTCACGTAAGCCAGTTCTTTAGTTTATTTACAAGCTTGATGTTGTCCAGTATGGATCCAGGACAACTGGCTAGGCAGTGATATGGGTATATGTATCCATCCCAACGTGTATGTGTGTGTATAGTTGGTGGATAGGTATTTGAGCAGAAATTTTGTTATCTGCAGGATAACAAATGTTATAGAGTTTCATGAGTTTCAATTCATAGTTTAGTAGATGCACATTTCCTGCTTAGGCATCTTAACCAGTGTTTCTTATTTAGACCTCCTAAATCAGGCTTCCTCAACCTCGGCCCTCCAGATGTTTTGAGATTACAATTCCCATCATTCCTGACCACTGGTCTTGCTAGCTAGGGACCATGGGAGTTGTAGGCCAAAAACACCTGGAGGGCCAAGGTTGAGGAAGCCTGTCCCTAAATCTATTAACTCAGGATACTTTTCACGGTATTTCCCTCAATTATATGTTAAGTTCCATCTACAAGAGTGGAGAATCTCTGGCCTGTCCAGGCTAAATTTGACCTGGTATGGGTCCCAATTTGGCCAGTTTCCTCAAACCATGTTCAGCTGCCCCACAACTGGATTCTTGTGTGGAAAGTTGATCATGCAGCTGATCCCTGCAGAAAGCAGGCCAGATATTATGCCCCCCCAACATCAGCAGAAAGATGATAATTTTGAGTCTGTTCATCAGTAGGGTGTCAAAGCATTGCACAATCATCATCTGATGTCATTGTTATTTCATTTAATTGACAGGATGGCAGCTCTCTGGAGCTCTCAAATTTGGCCAATGAGAGATAGGGGAGATAAGAATTTGGCCTGCCAGCCAGTTTAGGTTGCTCAGCTCTGATCTACAATATGGTTGATAAATGTTTCAAAAAGATGGGGGCACTGCAAGTAAATATGATAATTATATAATGTTATTTTCCAAGAACAAATGCCCTGTGGAGCAGTTAGCTTAAAAACTAAGTGTATTCTTAACTAATATTTCAAAACTAAATCCAGCTTACGTTTTTCCTGTTAAAGGCATTCTCATCAAGCTTTTCCACTGCAAGGATGTTTTTGATTGGAATGGTGTAAATAGGATCTTTATCTGTGTAAATAAGAATGAGTAAATTGGTACAAACTATAGAAAAGAAAACTATTGATTAGGATAATGCTGGAGACAAAATCTTAGTAGAATTTGGAACTGAACTCTGGCATTCCATTTTTCATTTCCTATGGAGCAAGTGTAGTAGAAAAAGCATATGCCTGCCAACTCTATTATGGTTAACACATATATGCAAGTGCCTCTTTTAGGTAAGAAAGTAAGCAGGCTTGGATAGGACTTTTTTTCAGCCAGAACTCACAAGAACACAGTTCTGGCACCTCTCAGGAGGGCACCATTGCCATCATAAGAGAACAAGGGAGGCGTTCATGGTGAGTTCTGGCACCTCTTTTTCTAGACTAGCACTGGGTTTGGAAATACGAGTTGGAATTTAAAAATACCTTCAAAATATAGAAGACAACATATTTTTACTACTTTATACCATTTTGAACAAAAACAGGATTCTGTTTTAATTAATTCATTTAATTACCATAAAGAAAGAACAAAGTCTGCACTATAGATAAATAGACCACATCCTGTAACTTAAAATGCTGAAGTTGCAAATAAGCAGCACTAATACCTTGTTGCTTATGATAAGTGAGCTCTCTATCTGTCAAACAGAACCAACGCTTTTTGAAATTCTTTTTCCCAATACGTGTTCTTCCTTGTGCTCTTTTATACATTTCCCTGTGAATAGAATACAAAGGATTATTAAGCAGAAACCTTCAAAATGCTTCCCATAGAGTTCCCAGTTGCACTTACACACAGGTCCTTCAATCTGCCTACTCATTATGCAAAAAAATACGTATCCAATTATGCTCAAACCACTCCACAGATTCAGATATCCAAACATCCAGAGTTTGCCAACTTCCTTACTTTGTGCTTTGGTGGCCAGCAGTAGCCATTTGGGAGCAGAAACCATGCGGGAAGCAAGCTCGGACAAATCAGGGAGCAGGAGAGACTGAACTAATCAGTTTTTCCTTTGTCTGTCTTTTACTGGTAGGCTGCAGCAATTTCAGGAAGAAACCATGAAGAGAGTTGGGACAAATCCTCCAATTAGAAATGTTCCCATAGGAATCAATGGAAATTGTGGACTCCTTAAACAAACGCTCACCTAACAAACAATTTCCAGGGAATGCATTGTGTTTGGTAAGGGGACCTGTGTGTCCTTACAAGCAATATAATTAATAAATAATAATAATAATAATAATAATAATAATAATACTTTTGTTATTTATACCACACCCAACTGCCTGGGTCTCATCAGCCTCTCTGGGTGGCTTACAGCATATATCAAAACATAATAAAACATCAAACAGTAAAACTTCCGGATACAGGGCTGCCTTCAGATGTCTTCTAAAAGTTATGTAGTTCTTTTATCTCCTTGACAGGGAGAGTGTTCCACAGGGAGGGCGCCACTACCAAGAAGGCCTGGTTCCCTGTAACTTCATTTCTTGCAGTGAGGGAACCAGCAGAAGACCTTCAGAGGAGAACCTCAGTGTCTGGGCTGAACAATGGGGGTGGAGACGTTCCTTCAGGTATACTGGGCCAAGGCCATTTAGGGCTTTAAAGGTCAGCAGCAACACTTTGAATTGTGTTCAGAAACACACCGGGAGCCAATGAAGATCCTTTAGGACCAGTGTTATATGGTCCCTGCGGCCACTCCCAGTCAGTCACCAGTCTAGCTGCCGCATTCTGGATTAGTTGTAGTTTCTGAGTCACCTTCAAAGGTAGCCCCACGTAGAGCGCATTGTAGTAGTCCAAGCAGGAGATAACCAGACTATGCATCACTCTGGCAAGACAGTCTGCAGGCAGGTATGGTATCAGCCAGTGTACCAGGTGGAGCTGGTAGACAGTTGCCCTGGACACAGAATTGACCTGAGCCTCCAGGGATAGCTGGGAGTCCAAAAAGACGCCCAGGTTGTGCACCTGGTCCATTCAGGACCAGGGAGTCCCGCACACCTGCCCATCCCCTGTCCCCCCAAAACAGTACTTCTGTCTTGTCAGGATTCAACCTCAGTCTGTTATATAGTTATAACACTAAGTGAACCACCATTTCTTTGTCAGAAATTGAACAATTTATAGTTGAATATGAGACTTTAGTAGGATACAAAGTTAAATTAAAAAACCCCAGAACTATTAGGAATAAATATGATTAAAAATATGGAAACATTTATAATGGTATAAAGGGCACGTTTATGTATAGTTGTTATAGTAGTATTTTAAAAATATTTTTCACTTATCCTCAAAGTTCACGAAGTAATATGAAGAAAACATTTTTATTATTTCTCTTTCCCAGGCTTGCTCACACCATTCCACTTCAAAAAGAAAATGCAAGGTGGTTGTTGCAGCTCTGCAAGTTCTTCCCAACCATCAATTTAAGGTAAGAATGCTACAGGGTGATTAACTATAATAACTATCCTCTCCTTGCAAGAATCTTGTACTGATAAAAAGGGGTATTTTGTATACAATGGTAATGTGAGCAAGGAATTGTGCACATATGTAAGTAGGCTACTGCCTCAGAGAGAGTTGGCACATAAGTAGTCAGGGAAGTAAAGGTTCTAGGCTGGAACTAGTTCAAAGAGATGACAAAAATAATGTATTCAAGCAAAACACTTGTCAGTATACAGTACTTTGTACTTCAGTTACCCTTCTTTTAGATGAATCGACTCGCTCATGACACTTGGCTCTTTAGTTTCAGTAGATGATACCTCATCTAAAAACTAAAAGAGAACATGTTAAAATAATGTGAATTGTTTTCCATACACAACTGTAGAAGCTTTTAAAAAAATCAATATACATGAAATTTGAGGCGGTTGCTGATGATGGAGGTAGGAGAGAAAAGAACTCTGGGAGGCAGGCTTTTCTCTCCGGCCTAACAGATCAGATCGTTTCCCCCCAGCTTTCATTGATCCTTCGTTAAGCTAAGTTCTTCTACTTTCAAATAGAAGAAAGTAGAACATGGAGACCATGTTAAAATAATGTGAATTGTTTTCCATACTTAACTGTAGAAACTTTTGTAAACGCTTTTTAAAAAATCAATATACATGAACTCTAAGCTAACCTAAGTTAATTTACAGTTCTAAGATGTTGTTTCTGTATTTTACCTTCACATTTGATCTAAAATATTGCATCTTAAAAACATTTCTGCCATTGTACTTTAGCAAAACAAGTGTGCACGTGAGGGGTACAGGGTGGCATTGTGCAGTAAACAGAGGATTAGACTTGTACCAGGAAGATCTGGGTTCAAACCACTACCCAGCTGTAAGCAATTGATTTGTCCACAGCCTCACAGTGCTGTTGTGTGAATCAAAAGGGATAGCCTCCAAGTACAGTTCCTGACATCCTTGGAGGAATGCAAGAAAAAAATGGAAGCATACTTTAACTAAAATAATGTATATATAAAAAATACCTTTTTGACAGCTTCAATATATGCCTCTTCCTGAAACATTTTGAAAAATTCACACATAAATGTTTCCTTGAAGCTTGACTAAAAGAGAGAAAATTGAAATGAGTAAACCTTAGCAATTAAGATACCAGAAGCAAAACAAAAGAATAAATCATCAGGTACTTACTAGCTTGCTTTTGGACAAACTTCCCCAGCTCCCCAGTGTCTGAATGGCTTTTGATATAAGGGTTAATGTTCTAGATGTCTGTGCATCCTAAAAGAAACATATAAGAAACAGGTAAAGTTGCCATTTTACTGGTGTCATAGTATTGTTTTAGGCCCCTGCTAAAAACTGTTTTTCCCCCCCAAGCAAGCCAACCCAGACATGCACATGTGATATGTATTTTAATATGTGAATTTATAATGTAAACATTTTTAAAATTGATTCGATTTAAATTTTGAATCTTGGGTCACCTTGCTTTTAACATCTGATTCTATTATTTTTAATTTATATTTTATGTAAAGCACTTAGAAACTTGATGATTAAATTGTATATAAATCTTGTTAAATAACTAATAGTATTACAATGAAAGAACATCTACCAAGTACTTTACTGCACAGCTGCCACATGGCAGCTTTCATATAAGCATCATGGAGATGGACACAGCATGAAGCAGTGTTTTGCAGACTCCAACAAATTTTCATGAGCACAAGGGCCTTTGATACAAGCAGAAGCCCCTATTAATAGAAGTGGCACAGCATGGGGGAGGGCTATAATTTTTGCCAATGCTCCTGCAGCTCCTTGTGCACCTCCCATGCTGTTCTGGAAGGTCTTCAATCATTCAGAGCGGATTTGTTTGGGAGGGCATGAGGAGCAGGTGAAAATGTCCCCCCTCTGTTACTGGGAAATGAGAGTGTTGTTTCAGTGAGCAGAAGTCCCCTCATGAGAGGTACTGTTTCAATCTATTAGTAGATGAAACATCTTACATTATAGATTCTGGTTCTACAGTTTGATATGTCTCCACCAGACAAAAAGAGCTGTACTTTATTGCTTAAAAGGAGCCAAGGTTTTACAGAGAAATTCTACTTCATTTATTTATGAAAATGCATTTAAAAGATGTATATACCAGTTCATTGCAAGAAAACCTTTAAGTGTTTTATATAAATATCCATATTTAAGATGTTAAACATTTGTGCTAACTTTACAATACACAGACCTATATAATCTGACACTGAAACATTTCACTTATTTGAATATTTAAAGGCTATGCCCTAACATAATCTTTGAATCAGAGACTGAGCAATATTGTTTTGCTCCAATTCATGTAACTAGCTGAATATTTATTTTGTAGCAGAATAGCGTCTTGAATTAAATCTGACATTTCTATTAATGCCCCTTCTGAACGACTGGATGCTACATGAAGGAATGTATTTCGACCTCACCAAACCACATAGTTACCTAAGGACACAGCGGTGCCACTTCTATGACATTAAGTCTCTCCTCTTTTGCTAACAAGGACCAGAATCCTAAGAGGAGGTACGAGTGAGAGGGAGCAGTGACAGGCGAAAATGAGTACAGTGGATACATGGGGTGCTGGTAAGAAGTGGGGAGCATAGAAAGGACATTGCTCCAAGAACATGGAACCAGGAACTACATGCAGTGGTGCAGAAAATGTTTTGGAAAAATGTTTTGTGTCATAAGTTCATTAGTAACACTGAATGGATGCCAATTGCAAACACAGTATTAGGCAAGTTTGGCAGGTTCAAAGTTGTAAGTAATGTTTTACAGGTAATTAACTCTAACATTGTCTTAAAACTTGCAAGAAAAATGTCTACATAACAATAGATATTAAGTGTGCATTAATTTCTCCCCTCAAATATTTGTGGTCAAATGCTTTGTGGCATATGGGGGGGGGGGGAGGAATGTTAACTTTTTTTGCTCTGTTTACTAAATTGCAACTGAAGCAAACACAATAAATTAGATCACTCTTTGGAGCATCACAAAATGTTTCTGATGCAAGTTAGCCTATGCAACGTGAATAGGAAAAACTTCCCATTCAAAGTTTTCCAGAAAACACATGTCACTGATTACATGAACAGTAGCTACAGCAGTACTATTCAGTATCCTCTATTTAAGAAAGTACACTGCCATAAAGCAGGGGTAGGCAACCTAAGGCCCATGGGCCACAAGCAGCCTACAGGGGTCGTTTAACCGGCCTCCAAGCCACCCCCGAACTGAGCTGCCCACTTGGTGAGTCCCCGCGTACAGTGCAGCACCTCGCTTCTGCGGCGCCAGAAATCGCATCTGCCGGAAATTGCAGGGGCATGCACTCACACAGGCGTGCAATCTGGCCCACGGAAGGATCTCCACTGGAGTGAACCAGCCCAGGCGAGGTAAACCTTGCCGACCCCTGGCCATAAAGAGTATATTGATTTATAATAGCTTTTCCATATGTTTAACATCTTAGACCCAAGTAGTTCACTCCACTACTACTTCATAAGCAATGTTGCAAAACTGATGCCTTTGAATACTGTTGCTGGGACTCACAAATGGGGAAAAAGGTTGTCATGGGCTTCCGATATGCATCTGGTTAGTCACTGTGAGAACAGGACATTGATCTAGATGGGCCTTTGGCCTGAACCAGCAGGGCTCTATTAAAGTTCTTATAAGATAATCTATAAATGAGCATCAATAACCCAAGAAAAGAAAGCTATTATTGTGGAATATTTTCTTTTTTGAGATGAGCAGTGCACAATGCTTTTGGGGCCACTTTCTATGCTATGTTCTTACTACAATGAAAACATCTCTGTGTAGGAAAAGTTACATAGAATGTTTCACATGATACCAAGCTATAACTGTCCCATTTGACATCCTGAACAACATTCTCAACACATTACCAGAATATTAACAATAAAGCTTTCTACACACCCCTTCAAGATAACCCAGACTTCTCTTTTAGGGCTTTCTGTCACTGTTTGAGATTACTTTGAAGTCAATAGGAAATGCAACCATATACCATACAAGTGATCAGGGTGCCAGCTACCTACTCATATCAATTTTCCAATTATTATTATTAATATTCAGGCAGGATAATAGCTCAGAATCGTAGGGGACTTAGGGACTATGTAGTTATGTAATTATATCCAGGAGGCCTAAAAACTGACAGTTCAACTCTCCATTCACAATGCAAATGCTAGGCTTATTTCTATATTTATCTTCCTAACAAACCTTGCCTAGAGAGTTTGGACAGAATATTATTAAAACTTACGGGATGATGAGGTCGTAAATGGAAAGTATGAGGCGATACTACAGCTACAGCAAAGAAACGAAGAAATATAAAGCTGCTCACTGCAGAATATTGTACATGAGGGTCATCTGCAGAGAAAAACCATGAAATGTAAGATGTATTACAAGTTGGTAGGAAATGAAGACAATGAAAAACTTTAGCAGGATAATGTCATTAGAAAAAGAAGTACTGTTCTTTGGCAGAATAAAGAACTAGCAAGTAGGATGAAATGAAAGTGTGGTTATGATGCAAGATGCTTTTGCCATTTGTTATAGGGCACAAATAAGAACTGGAACTCATCTGGTTGTACCTAAACTATGATTTAGTCATGTACACAAACCTTGAGCTTGTGAGCTCCATCTCCCCTCCTCCAGCACTATTGCAGAGAGGAAACTGGAAGGGTTTGCTTCTGTTTTCAGTTAATCATGGCTTATTATTGTGCCTGAACTAAAAACTATACCAATTCTTCTCTATGTTTTATGGTAACAAGCCAGGATTTGAAGTTGGCTTGTTTACTTAAACCATAGTTAAGACTTTGGTTTGCTTCACAGCTGTGCTGGAGAAAAGGGAATGGGGAGCTCATAAACGCAAGGCCCATTAATGTAAACCAATCAGCCCCAGCCAGTATGACCAATGGTAAGAGACATTTACAGTTAGGAGTTCAACTTATTCTGGAGGGAACAGGTTCCCCATCCCTTATGTAAACCATTGTTTATCATTATGTGCAATTGAAGCTACTATTTATATTTTATATCAGATAAATGATACATTCTAATAGTTTTCAGAGAACACATATTTTACTCTATACCAAGAAGGCTATTTCCCCTTTTTTATGTTGGGGGAGATGTTGTATAGCATATGTATGTTCAATATAGAATACGTATAACAATGTACTATTCAACTTGCTATTCAAAGCTTCACACGTTTTAACCAATAAGTAACACTAACAGATGCATGGCTGTATTTCAAAATGTTGTCTAATGCAACATTTTAAAACACGATCTGTGTTTGTATTTTTCTCTTATACTGTATGTCTCTTATCTTGTGCTCTTTTCATACTGATGCTTTGGTATAACAAGCATGCAGTTCTGCTGATGCCAAATAGTATAGATTAATAAAATACATATGCTTCGTACACAGCCTACAGAAAGCAGATCATGTTTACAATAAACATTTTTAAAGTCTATTGAAAATGTAAAGTTGCAAATTCAGTCATTTCAGTTTCCTTATGAATGCTACTGGACAACTCTTTGAGAACACTTCCATGGACTTCAAGAGGTCTTACATAAGTTTCTAATTTAAAAAAATACACTTACTAGAAAATCTTTCAGCAGCCAAGCGCCTCAGAGAACAGAACACATCACACATTAATTTAGGGCAACTTATACTTGACTGTACAACTGTACTGAATACTTTGTCAACATAGAAGCGCAGATTTTCCTAGAAGGCAAACAAATTATTTCAGAAATCCATACTGTTTTATTCTATTGTCAAAGAAAAATCTAATACAAAATTTTACTTACAAGTTCTCCATTCTAGCATAACAATGGCAATCTTTTGGGAACAGAGGCAAATGTAAATCATATACTTTAAAGGTCAATAAAATACACTGGCATATGTACAGGTTATTCACATCTTATGTGAGGGTTACGTTCTGGAGATATAGAGCGTAAAGCCAAAATAGAGTACAATTAAAACAACCCTGTGGAAACTTTGAAATGCCCCATAAAAAGCACAGCACACGTTCTCCAAGGTCACTCTTACTCTCTCCCCAGGCAACTTGTACTCTACCTCTGCATGATCTCCCAAGGTGAGTGCAATGACGGGTGGGATTGCCTATGTCTCCCCACCCCCCGCCAAGTGCTGACCCCTTTTATTTTTTTTAGCCAAGCGCATAAAGTTCAAATTATGATGTAAAACACACATAAGTTGCGAGTTACCTGCATACATAGTTACACAATAGAAAAGTGCACTGACATCTTCTACTTTCACTGCTGCCAATAGTACAAGCTAGCCAAAAGACAATCCACATATCACTACCAATGCTTACTGTGAATAATTAGAAACATAGCCTTTTCATGGTACAAATTCTATCTTTATTGCAGCTCACTCATACTTTTATTTTAACAAAGAGATACCTGATACTTAATAGCAACAACTCTCAAGGCTACCATAATGGGTCCAGGTTTTGATCCCAACAATCTAATGTGCATGTTCAGTATTATGAACTGAATTATGAACTGATTTACAGTAGTACTTATTTATACTGAGGTCTACATAATGGAAGTTATACAGAGAACATTGGTAACTGGAAGCCAACACAAGTGGAAGAATTACACTCAGATTCTAAGTAATTTTGCTTGATGTTGAAATTTAGCACGGCTAACAATTATCACTCCAAAAATTTATTATACACTAGCTCAGGAGTGGGGAACCTTTTGCAACCCAAGGCTGCATTCTGGCAACCTTCTAGGCCCCATATGCCAGTGGTAGGAGACGCTGGATGCAAAAATGGACAAATCAATTAATGTAAATTTTACCTTTATACAGTAGGCTGGTTTACACACCTCTGTTCTCCATTAAGAAAAGCAAGAGGCATTATCAAAGTTCAATGACACATTCCAGCCAGGCAAAAACACTCAAAGAGAGCACAAAGCAGGGCCAGGTCTGAGGTTCCCCACCTCTGCACTAGGTCCTCGAATATAAGCTGAACAAAATCACTTAAACACACCTGGTGTATTTCAACATTATCAGCTTCTTTCAGTTTCAAAGGATCAATTTCGCAAGGTTTGGGATTATCGCATATCTGAAAACAAGAGTAAAATTTTAGTCAGTTATATCAGGACAGGGCATTATTCAGGTCTGTTTTCCTTTACTGAGCCAGAGGTAAGAAGAGGGGCAAAACCCACCAATGTTCCCCAGAAGCTGCCTGTAGGCATACTGCAAACTTTTGAAAAAAAGATGGCCACTGCATGTTTACGTTTCTAGTGGCCGTACTCACACCTTAAAACCATGCATCCTCAAGGAGGAAGGTACCTTGATTTCCCTCCTTTTCTTTTCTTCCAATCTTCCTTAATATGCTGAAAAGGTGCACCCACAATAGCAATCTAGTAAGTTAGTAGCAACATTGTGGATAAGTGTTTTATTACCCCCCTCCCCTCATGATCCTGGAGATTGGATTTCAGTTTTATGTATATAAACTGTTAAGAACAGACATCAGTTGTTTCCTTCCTGTAGCTGACTTATATGAATAGGATCAGAACTACATAGGCACAGGTGCTCGTACACATGCATGGATGATACTGAAGAGATCACTTCCAGTACATTTAGGTATGAGTTGTCTTAGGCAACTTCATTCATTTAACAGTAGTATTCTTGCTGTTGAGAAACACGTCTGCAGACTGTATGTATTTAAGGGGCACAGCATGCAGATTACAATCATATGGAAAGCCACCACACTTGTCTGGAAGCTGTATAGATTTCCCATAATATGTGTAGTGGAACCCTTCTACACTTTACAAGAGTCACGATAACCCGCCATGCCATGCAGATGTTTTGTGGCAAGCAGGAACTGTATTATGTGGTCGTTTTGTTGGGGTGCTCACTGGCTGATATCTAAGAAACAACTCTGCACTGAGTCACTGGTTAATAAAGCTGGAAACAGTGCCAAAAAAATAATATTTAACCAACCAGCTTTGTAAACTTTAATGCATAATGTTACAGTACCTCATCAAGAATTGGTTTTAATGTAACTTTCAGGTAGTGCTTTCCCACTATTTTCATCATTTCATCTAGGCATCGAGTAGCTAAAGAATTCCCTCTGAAGATTGTATTTGCTTCCCTGCAAAGCAATATGAATCATTGAGAATTCAAGATGGAAGGAATATATAAATCATAACCTAAGTTTTCTGTGAAAAGTTTCTAGCAATCTAGCTCATATACAGATGATATTCAGAAACCAGAGTTTAAAACACCTGCAATATCTGTGATATATTTAGCTAACTAAGATTAAATAGGTGTCAATGCCTACTGGAAGCCGAACTAGTTATAAACTTTAAGTCATCCTTATAGAGCTGTAAAGAAAAATCTGCCCTAAGCAGACACCTATCCTATTCACAACTGACAGAAATCAAGACTAGGAAAGTTATCTTCAATGATTAAAGCTAACAACTTTTAAAATGTAGAAGACACAAACCTATCATCCTAGGTACCTCTTTTTCAACCAGTTTGGCAGTATTGGTAGTGAACTGTCAATTAAACATCCCTAAACCTATCTTCAAAAACACATCTGAAAATGTCAATTCCTTTACACAAGTACATTCCTATTTGACAAAAGGACAAACTGTCCTTTCTTCTGGCTCTGTCTACAAGTAGAATGTATGATTGGATCTTTATTCAGAGTCAAAGCAGAGCTAGCAATATAGGCAACTAATAATGAAGGTTCAGCAAGTTATCCACAGTAATGGGATCACACACACACACAACTAAGTTTAGTCTGCCACCTGAGTTCCACTATAAGAGGTCCACAAACTATGGCTAACCTTAGTAACCAGTAAAATTCACAGTGTTCACCCAGAGACCAGGAGAGGGGTGACGTATTATTTTTGAGGCCATACTGATCTTCAGAGAAGTCTCCCAAGTGCTCCACACTGATAGGGCAGTGAGGAGGAACAGTGTCTGGCAGATATTCCCTGCCCTTCCTCAGATTCAAGAGATCAATGGACCTTGCCAGAATTTTAGTTCAGTTTAGTTCTACTATAGTTCTTATTTAAGTTTACTTATTTATTTCATAAAATTTATACTGCTTGATTATAGAATATAGAAAACCTCAAAGTGGTTTACAAAATTTCTTGGGATATTGGGGACCGATGTATAGCAGAGGCAGGTTCATTTGTGGACCCCTGTCAAGCATGCATTTTGCATTACCATCAAGCAACTTGTTTGATACCTTTTGCTAAGGTAGTTTGAAGCAGCAAATTTTACAAGTTTTACACACTTACTATTATTACAATTTATACCTGCCCTTCCCCCAAGGTCCCAGGGGCAGGTTACAACAATTAAAACACAGTATTTAAAACAGTTTAAAACATCTTAAAATTACAGAAATATGCACTTGTCATGGACACCAATACTGGGAGGAGGGAGAAAAGAGGGAAAATGGAATACTTACTGGGTATCCGTCAATTCTAACTCTGCCACTGCAGTGATAAATTGTACTAGTTTATGATGATGTATCAACAACCTCACAAGAGGCAAAATGGCATCATATTTATCTCGACATACTTCAGCCAAAATGTAAGCAGAAGAAGCAGAAATAGGCTATAAAAAGGGGAAAATATAACTGAAATAAGTACCAGCTGTACCAAATGGAAAGACACCAGAATTTGAATCAATTCCAAAATGTAGACGTATAATGTTCTAAATTCACCCTGGATTATGTATGCCTAGAACATTTTCTTTGAACTGCAATTCTCAAGCCAGCCACATCAAATAGCTTTTGAAATGCCACCTTTTCAAGACACAAGGAGTGGCTTTTAAAAATATAGTTAAATACTCTCATGGTTGTACAGTGTACCTCTACAAGAGCATTTAACTATTTTTAAAAAGTAACAGTGTTACCTATAACTACACATACTAATATAAGTAAAAGAATTATAAGTACTTATAAGTAACAGTATTGTTTTTCATATCTATATCTATCTATAATTATTATTATGACTGCAGTGACAAATCTGGGTATCCTTTAAAGCCATGCAAGGTAGAATTGTGACACCGGCCAAGAGGCAAATATGATATGGTATAACTTGCTCTTAAATGGTTAAACAGTCCCCAAAGCAGGTTACCTCAACTTCTGATGACTTTAGCAGCAAGTTTCTGAGGGAAGCATAGTACTGTGATGGAAGCACATAGTCTTCAGCATAACATATATTCAGTCTAAGTGATCCATGATCATCCGTTTTGGACGACTTATTTCCATTGTCTCTTGGCTGTAGAAGGTACCTTAAAAAAGAAAATCCAAGTGACAGAGATTCATTTTGTATTTTATTTATAGTTCACCAAGTAAAGTTAGGTCTAGAATAAAGAAGCAGCAATAACCTTGCCCTTTCCTTCTTTCCTTTTATTTTAGCTAACTTGAATTTGCTTATTAAGATAATTTTTTGACTTTTTAAATTAATACTGAAATACACCAAGAATTTACTTGCATCAACTATTATTTTAAGCACTACCACTTTTAGATGTGGAGTTTGTGCTTGATGTAAGCAAGTCAAGAAATAAATGTATTAATATATTTGAAATATATATGCTTAACTGGCATTTATTTACTTGCATGTTTTTTAAACAGCCTGCCATCAAAAGTGTGTGCAGAAAAAGGAAATACATAACAAAAAACAATATTCAGATTATCACAATACTAGCAATGGATAAGGAAAAAAAGATAAGGGGGTAAAGGTGGTGGTCTCTCAGGTAAACTGATCCCAAGCTGAACAGGGGCTTCTATACCAATAGTGAAATTTAAATTTGGCCTAGTAGAATGCTGTGAGGCAGTGCAATGCCTAGAAGAATAATGTCAAGTATGATTCTGCAGGAAACAACTGTAGCACAACTGTTTGTTTCCAGTTACAAACACTTTCATACAGTCATACAGATAACAAAACCTATCCTTTTGTTTTAACTATGTCACATGCTGCCTTTTGCCTAGTTTTCTTACCATGCTTGGAAGGAATCACTTCCTAACACCTTGACAGGAATCTTGATTTCTCCTAGGAAAAGGTCTTGTACCAAGTTACCATTGTTCCATAAATCAATCCTGAAAGTTAAATAATAGTTAACCATTTTTTGTCATAATCATTTTTCATATAACTGTAAGAGTCATTATCATCACATAGAGAACCACACCAATTCAGCATGCACACAAACAAGTTTATAACCTCACACGCAATAGTTTAAGTTAGACAAAAAGTGTCCTATTTCTATAAAAGGCAACCATGTCAGCATATTGGTTAAAAGTGTGGCTTTATCAATAAGATAAAAGCAATATTGGATGAACTGAGGCACTAAAAAAAAGAAAAGAGTGACATTACCATTTTTTCTCAAGCATTTGCAGTTCTGTTTGCATTTATTAATATTCCTACTTTTTGCTCTTTCTGACTAAACTGTAACACTTCAATGACACATGCACTGATTTTTATTTTTTAGTCCAAGCTCTTACAACCTAAAAAGCTGTAAGACTCCCAAAGGCATGCACTCTATGTGGGTTGTTGAGTCTTACCTCACTGACATTTCTGTTAAGACAGCACATATATTAAGAAGAAAAGAAATAAAATCCATTGTGTTGTGGCATGATTGATGTTCCCTTGCCTCCCTAAATGAGTTGCCTATTGTGATTTTCACTCAGATGTTCCAAATTACCCTACGTATATAGTTCAAGCAAGTTAAGAAATAAACTATTCCTATCCTCAGCTTTTCAGATGATAATTATTTCTCCTTGGGTTTCAAGTGGAGTCAAGATGAAGACAGCGATTCGGGTGTTTCCACTCCCTTCCTGCTCCCCTCCCAACCAGGGGAAAGCACTGAGCTAAGAGATAACTTTTTCCCATAGCAAAGAGAGCAGGGGAGCCCAATGCCAGCTACAGCATACAAAGAAATAAGACTTGTTTTAGTTAAGTAATACTGAATATACCACAATTGCTATATAAAACAGGTAGTCAGATGTTCTGCTAAATTAACTGTTCAAGTTATGAAAGTAATTATCATGAGCTCTCTAAGGCTGCTTTAGACTTACACCCACCCTGCCTCCAGCCAAAGTTGGATATTATTTATCTGGACAGCTTTCTGTAGTCCTTGAGTAATGTTTTTATCTCCATCATAAAAACCATTGACAGTTTTGTATAAAAATAAATAATTGGTTTTAATATACTAAGGAATATACCTGACTTCCAGCTTCTCAATATCTTCTTCTTCCACCTGAAACTGTGATTTTTTGGTGTAACTACTGGACCTTGTTACCTGCAAATAAAACTCATGTAAGTTATTTCTCCTTTTGCATTTTGAAGTCTACCAATACCACACATTTACTACAAAAAGAATCAAAGTTATTCTAATATATCCCAAAACTGAGTGAGGAAACTCTTAATATATTTAGAGGGTTATAATTGTAATTGCCCTTATCTACAATTTCCATCTGGCGAAATAAGGCACAAAGGATTAAACTAAAGGTCGAGAACGTAGTAAAGGATCACATCCTTCCATCAGCTACCATATAAATTATCATCAGCAATACTGTTTTGAAGGCTGCCCATAGTCATGATGCCTAAGGGTGTTTACTTTGCACTCCAAAGGTCAGAGAACTTTTTCTCCCCTTGCCCAGAATTCTAAATGGCAGAATAACTGCACAGACATCAAACTGAAGAAGCATGAAAGCAGAAAAGCAAAGGGTTACATTGTATGTTGTCATAGTTACCATTTTTCAACAGGATGAGAATAGCTAGTTCTCAAACTGATCCACTAGAAATGCTAAGGCTGGAGAGTTCCTGAATCTTCAAGTGATTCAGGTCCCCAGAATCTGGAATGCATGCCACTTTCACCTTCCTCTGTCACCAGGTCAGAGAAATAAATCAACATTTCCTTCGTAGGTCTACATAATTTATGGGTTGTATCCAACTAAGTAGACCCGCTAAAATTAATGGACCTAAGTTAGTCATATTCATTCATTTCAATGAATCCAGGGCTAACACTGGATACAACCTTATGTTTGTGCTGACATGCTGAGGATTTAAAAATATGGGTGGGGATGATCACTGCCTCCTCCACCCACCAAAACCCAGCTCTAGCAATATGTGGTGCATACAACAGTAGATAACTTGCAGGCATTAGCTCTGAAGAAAGGGGTGGGGCTTGTTGTGGAGCTAGTGCCTCCACTCAACAGAAGCTTTGAAGGTGAAAGAAAGCTAACCCCTTCCTTTTCCTCCCAAACAACCCATGTCTGTTTGTCACAAACTGATCTTCTAACCAAACTGTTTTGGCTTTGGGGACGGAGGGCCCAAATTGCTGGTTAGCAGCTGGGATTTGAGAACTGATGGGAAGGAAAAGGGGAGAAAGCTCTGTTCCATGCTAATCTTCTCTATCATTCTAATTTTAGTATATGTGCTGCCAAAGAGAGCATGGAGAAAACTCTGTTCCATCTTCTTTTCTCCTCCTCTCCCCCACCAATTTCCAGGGCTCCTCCCATATGAAGAAATGGCAAGTGTGGTAGATGAAAATTACAAACATGCATACCACAGCTGACCATGTGAGCAAGAGGAATGTTATAAGCCATTCCTGGATATTTTACAAGCTGCATATTATTTCATAAACACAATAGTGTCAATATTGTACAGTTATCAGTCACGTATAATTCACAACCACAGCAACAATGATTTTCTGCTTTCTATTCTGCAGAAGGATTAAGCTGATGACCTTAAAGGAAGAAGACTTACCATGATTTGTGGATATTTTCAGAACTGAGTATCAGAATTACATTTTAACACCATAAACTAGATTTGATCTATACTTCAACAATTACATAACCAAACTATTTTAAAAAAAAACAAATCAATTGTTTTGAATTGCTTTGCAACACTTGCTGCTAAATCAGATGGCAGGTGATCAGATTTTTTTTTTAACCTTGTAAAATGTGCTTCACTAAGTTACAAACATTAACAGAAGCATTCAGGGGAAAGCCAAACGACAGTTAGGCTGTGAAGAAGCCTTCCATTCAAGCCACTGATATGTAAAGCAAAGACTGCATTTCTAGCCACATACAGCAGAAATCATAATGGAGAACATCTATGAACAAATACTGTGCCCAAGATTTTTGAAGCAAAAAAATGATCAGCGATTGGGAAGAAATGAGGCTTTATTACAAAAAGATGAATAAAGCAGCTCATATTTTGAGCTGCATGAGCTCATAGTAGGAAAATTCAAGCCATCCTTTGAGCTACACATATTTGAAATTGCCTCAAAAATGGCTACCTAAGATTTATGCTCAACTTACAGTCCACATATTTGTCTCCAAACTCCTGAAGCTTACTGTTCATTCCCACTGTTCTTGACTTCCTAGCAATTTTCTTCTGGACTACATTGAATGCTCTTACTAAACTTAGACCAATCCAAAGATCTCTGCCTGTGTCCTTCATAGCCTGCTACCTTTTATACAACTAACTTTTCTTCCTTGAAATCCTCCACTACAGATTTTCTCTGATTGATCTTCATTATCTGTCAAATCACATGTTCAATATTTCCACTGGGAAATGCCTCCTCAGTTCCTCCTTTCTTTTGGGTGGGGTGGGTAAGGCTTCAGCATGCTGCTCTTGGTCCCCAGCAGTTCCTCCTTCTTAAAAGACCTCAAACTTCATGGTTTTCAATACCACCTATATGCTGTTGACATCCAGCTTCTATGTCTCCCACCCTGTCTAATCCATCTTTGTCTACTTATTCAATATATGTATTTGGAGATTTTCTATCACTTTCAAACTCAATATGTCTAAGACTAGACTATATATCTTTTCTTCCAAGCTTCCCCCTCCTCTAACATTCTCCTTATCTGCTAACATTATTAAAATTCATTAGCCCAGTCTGTACTTCCTGCTAAGCAAAACCATTGTTCAATGCAAATGTGCCAGAGAGGAGATTGCAGCCACTTTTCTATTCCCCAGTTGCTCTGCTCCTGCATGCTATTAAGCCATAGTTTGACGAAGTCAAATCTGGGCTTGTAGTTTCACACACCCCGACAATCTGCACAGCACAGGACAAACCTAGCTTGCACAGCTCAGGGTTAGTCCGGAGAGAGCTATTCACAGAGTCTATGCATTTGCACCAAGCCATAGTTTGGCTTAGTGGGATGTGCAAAAAAGACTACTATGTTAGCCAAGAATAGATTTAGGTTTTCATTCTCTATTATTTTGTTTTGTTTAAAATCTGACCCTTTGACTAAAACTCTGCCTATCTCTCTGGTGACCTCCCGTATTAAGTCAGCTAACAAAGGAGACGATAGCATAAATGCACAGACAACACACCAAAAGCTTCTTTTGATAGATTACTTACCTCAAAATAAAATGTTTCATTAAATTGTGGATTGCTTGTTTTCTTCTTTACTTTTGTCTTCTTTTGGTCATTCCTATTCCAATATGGTACAGTTTTACCATACAGAACTTAAAAACATACAATTATAAAAACACTGTATTGATATGAATGAACCATGCAGTTAAACTATGTTTATGAAAGGCCTCTCTTCAAACAGGAAAGGCATTCTTTGTAAACTGGATGCATTACTGATAACTTGAATTTGTGTAGCCCTACTGAAGTCAATATGAGTGTTACACACAGGTGTACATACATGTGGGAGGAGTATATATTCCAAATAAATAAGAAACATATGTAACTAGTATCAGATAATATGCCTGCCATTTCTGAAAGATCTGGTCACGGAGTGGTGGCCATTTCTGGTGGAGAGGGTGGATCTGGCCTGAGAAATTTGTACTGCAGGTCTACCTTACTGTTGCTTCTCTGTTGGTAGACCAGCTGTCTATCTACAGGAGGACCTGGCACCCAGACAATGTCTTTCCACACACCGCTGATATCCTCAGTTATTTTCCCAGAACAGACTTGGGGGAGGGGACACCCTGGGAGAGAAGTCCTATTGCACAAATGGAAGTCCTTTGGCAAACATAACTACTTTGTCAGACGTTGTCAAGAAATTGATTAAATTTTCCACAATTGTGTTAATAACATTAGGCTTTTGTACATTAATCAACTGAAAATTGGTGCAATAATTCATTTCCTTTTCAACATCACTAAATTTGTGTAGGTCTAATTTTCCTATTTTATTTAAGACAGTGTGAATGTATGTTAAAAGTATTACCTTGAAGGACCCACAACAGACACTGTAGCATAAGGATCACAATTTTGTCCATTAATAAGAGGAAGTCCATGACATTCCTTCAAGCTAGAATTTTAAAAATGCAAATTAATTCAGTTGCAGTTTCAAGTCTAATGGATAAAGACACACTGACCATGTATGACCATTACTGCCTGGTGATGAATTTCTCTTTTAATAAGGTGCTCAAGAAGATACTGTTGGTTCAGCTTCAGGCACTCTTGGGAGATACTGATTATCTAGACTCTGGGTTAAACCCTAGTTTTGGGACTGAATTGGCCTTGATCACTCTTGTGGCTACCTTCATTAAGACAAGGAAAAAGGGAGTGGGATCCTGTTATTTCTTGTGCAGAATTCAACTGCATGTTTAAAGTTTAGTCAATTAACTCCACATTGGAGGTCTAGGTACTCTCCAGGAAACCATCTATTTGTCTAAGATCAGTCGTTTCCTCACCACTTTTATACTAAGTTAACCATGCTAATTAATTCTTGGATTCTACAAGAGGTGTTGCCTCCTTCCTGTGTGTGACCTGTGAATACAGAAGAGAATGTCTGAAATCTTGCGAAACCAGCTGTGACTGCTCAGCACTTCACAAAGCTTAATTACATTGTCTCTTTGAATGGTCATCTCCTAATGTTTGTGGAAGCCTTTCCTCCGGCAAGCTAGCCAACAGCGTTTTGGCTCACATCCAAAGCATGTTTGGTCCCTTCCTCTTCCAGTTAAACTGGTTTTGTCTATTAAAAGGCAGACGGTGGAGATGGTATACTAGAGAAAAGAGAACTTTTGGGGGTTAGAATGTGCCTTGTCTTTTATTCTCCTAAGTAGATTCACTACTGTTCTACATTAGCAGCCTAGTGTTTCTGACTGCTCCTAGAACAAGACTAGTGAAAGTCAGAAATTGGCTCAGAAACCTTGATATTAACAACTGCCAGAACAAAACTTGGAATATACAGTAGCACATGAGTAAAACTGATTAGTTATAACTATCATGGGGAAAACAGTGTGTCAAAGAAAAAGTTATTTATTAGCCACTGTAATTCAGGGGGTGCTGTTGAAAGGTAATTAACATATTTTGTTATTTGAGAAAGTTAGTGGTGGAACAGTTGTATTTCCTTTCCATTCACATCTTATGGGACACATTGCCAACTTCCATTCACATCTTATGGGACACATTGCCAACTTCCTTTCCCATTAATCCTTTGTATAACTTGAGACACACTAATCATGACACCAATGCTAACCAAAAGTGTATAAAAAACACCACTGATTACATTGCTGCAAGCATTCAACAACACTACAGAACCAAAAAGGTCTACAAGAGTCTCTTCTACATGTCCAGTACTTGGTGGTGGTTTTACCTTCAGCAGGAAGGCAGGCAGTTCATTTTATGCTGAAGTGGAATCTTTGAAAACACATTTGTTCAACTTGAATTGGCTAAGTTTGCTGTACTTAAACCTTTAAGCTTCTATTTTTTAATTGTGTTTTCATGTGTTTTATAATACTGAAAGCTGACTTGAATTACCCTGTTAATGTTCATTAGCAAGCAAAACAAGAATAAGAATTGATAAATGTTCTTACTGTACTACTAGCTGCTGGCAGACTGATCCATTATCTGTAATCAACTCATTCAGTTTTAATTCGAGGTGAACTTTTCCCTGTCAATTAAAAAGAAGAAGTTTCAGTTGCAAGAGCCTGTGTGTTGGATTTATAAAATAACCTAGCATCTGCTTAATAAGAGCAAGACAAGAGCTGACAGGCTCTTTAGCATCACTAGCATGAAATATGTGATTGACTGAATAAACTGTATGTGAGAAAGTATCAGGCAAGTATTAGACACTGTAGTATTTTATATTTTTTAATGCAGAAAATTGTTATCAACTTAGAATACTATTTTGGTATTACTTGTAAATAATTTTCCCTACTCAGTTTTTCCATTATAAGATAATTACATTATATGAATTTTAAGAATTATGATTCCTTGTATATGAGAGCACTTGGTGTTTTGTTTTGTTTTAAATGAAAATTATCACTATTTTAAAATAAAGAGTTCTTATAAAATCTTCAAGGAGGACCTGATCATCTACATCAGGTGAGGGGAACCTTTCACCCTCCAGATGTTACTGAACTACAGCACCCATCAGCCCCTGCAAGCATGGTCAATGACCACTGATAATAGGAGTTGCAGTTCAGCAACATCTGAAGGGCCAAAGTTCCCCACACCTGTTCTACATTTTGTAGAGATTCAGAATAGCTTCAGGTAAAGACGACTAGGCTATGATGCAATATTCATAATATCACCTTTAAAAATGGCATTGTGTGTGTGCGCGCGCAGATACACACAGACACCCCACCTTGAAAATGAACTGCTAGTAGTACTTTGTGCCTATATGAACACACCCTAAACAAGGTAGGCTTGTTATTTTGGAAGCAATAAAAAAGTCACTGACAGAACACTTCCGGACTCAGACACTGAGCACCTCTATAATTAACTGCTATTAGTGTACTAAAGATTCTTTCTAAAGTGCTTAGGTATTCAACCTGTGAAGGCTATCAAGTGACAGTTGTCTGAAACAGTTCCCCTGAAAGCAAAACACAATGAATGACAAGCATAATACATAGGGGAATCTTCCTGGCAGCAATAAAATGACACACAATTCAGTCAAAATTAATCACATGCTTAACTTTGTCAAGTCAACATGCCTTGTAAAGGCCTAGCTTGGTGGGTCACACTTTTTTCTACCAAACTGGGTTGATACTCAAGCTTAAAAAAATATATAGCTGTTTCACTGCCCATGTTTACACTGTTGTACTGACACAGGAGTAATACGCCAGAAAACATGTATTCCGTGGGGCCACTGCATAATTAAATGATTTGGTGCAAGCAAATTTCTACTCTTTTAAAAAGAAAAGTTCAGGGGGGGGAAATAAACATGTATGGTGAAGGTCCAGAAAAAAGCAAAACAATGAATACATTTTCTGGATTAGTGTCAGTACTATCCCAGATTCATATTGTATACAGTTACTATACCATTTTTCCAAACAAACCTCCATGACTCCTCTATCAATCTAATTATCACCAAAATATTGCTTTAGATGTTGCAATGCACATATATACTGAGGCAAACCCCAGCATGTCTCAGGAATGGTGAGCAATGTCTATTATTAGAGGTTAATCTAGCAGGGACATTTCCTCCAGCATGACACCTATGTCACAATGCCATGTAGTTTGCTTTGCCTGTAACCAAGCCCAAAATATTTACTTGGAAATTCCAACATTCAGCTGTACATTTGCCATTGTTATCATACACATTACTGCATGATTCACATATACCTAAACTATTTTCAGGACAACTAAAACTGCTGTTTAATCAAGAAGCAGCTGTCTTATTTCATAAGAGCTGTATACGCTATTTCTAAAACAATTAAGTTGGAATTAGAGCACCTCCAATATACCACAGATAAAGAGAAATAAATATACACAGATACATTACCATTCACAGGAAAACAATCAACACTTGCAAAAGAGAATTATAAACTGTTTCATCATTGATAAGTTAGAATTTTCTTTTTCAACTATACTATGAAAAGGGATTGAAATGTGTGCCCACCCCCAAGATGTGAAGGTCCATGAAAAGAAAAAAATAAGAAACAGTGGTTCCCCGCCCACCCCCAATCATTTTCCCCCTGAGCCTTCGCATCTTCACCCCTCCCGCTGACTGTAAAGTACCGTAGCCTTCTCTGGGAAGAGTACAGAAAAACAGAAATGATTTGCAGCAAGACAAAGTGTAGCCGAGCCCTATTACCCCCACTCAACTTTGGTGCCTACAGTTAGTGAATCACACAATTCCAGGGAATAGGAGGCACACACAGGCTTCCTAGATCAGTGTTTCCCAACCGGTGTTCCGCGGCACACTAGTGTGCCGTGGAACTTTGCCTTGTGTTCCGTGGAGGCGGGCGAGTCGGGCGGTGAGAGGCGGGGCGGCGGCGGCGAGCACACGCGGGGCGGCGAGCGAGCGAGCTCCCACATCCCATCGCCGCTCGCTACTGGGCCTGCGCATCCGCTCGCTACTGGGCCTGCCCCAGGAGGTGGGGTTGCGGGCATCACGCCCTTCCCCACGTGAGCGGGGAATCCCATCTCAGCCCCCGAGAGAGCAGGGGAATCCCATCCGGCCACGCCTCCTGGCCAGCCAATCGGCTGGCTGGAGGGGGCGTGGCTTGCCCTTTTTAGGGCCGGAGCGGAGGGGGCTCGCCCTCTCTTCTCCGGCTAGCCCCATTGCCGCTCGCTACATCCTATCGCCGCTCGCTACTGGGCCTGCGCATGCTCGGCGAGCACACGCGGGGCGGCGAGCGAGCGAGCTCCCACATCCGACGGCCGGTGCCCACCGTGCCCGCCTCCGCCCAGGAGGGCGGCAAGCAGCCACCGCCACCACCCCCGCCGCTGCCCGGCAACCGCGCCGCCGCCCCCGGCTCCCCGCGGCGGGTGATCGTGCAGGCTTCGACGGGCGAGCTGCGAGCTCGGCGGGCAGCGCCTCCGTCCGCAGCGCCCGCCTCGCGGCTTCTCATTCCCTGCCCCTGCCAAAGCTCACTCAGCCAAGCCGTGCTCTCCTTCTTGCCTCGCTTTGCTGCCTCCTCCCCCCCCCCACCCCCAAAGCTTGGAGGTTCCCCGGCAAGGGGGAGGGAAAAAAATTGAAAACTTTCACTTTCGTGCGTCCCTCCCGGCGTGACGCTGCGCGCTGACGTCACGGGGCTGTAATGGTGGTGTGCCGCGAGATTTTTTTCATCAAACAAGTGTGCCTTTGCCCAAAAAAGGTTGGGAAACACTGTCCTAGATAACTTCCCTCTCCACTCTGTAATCACAGAAGAGATTCAGAACGTCTTACAATATGGAGCATTTTTAAACTATACATACATTTGCTGTAGTTTGAAAAATGTTATAGGCTATTTTTATAAAATATATTTAATTCACGTTCAGAACTTCTGAAGTGCCCTAAGAGAAGGAAAATAAATTCTAAACTGAAATATTTTAAACTGGCACACAAGAAATTAAAGATATACATGTCCAGGTTTCAATTGTCCCATGCTAGTTTTTAAGACTGATTTTTGTGAACACATTGCAGACAGGCCATTTTTCTGATGGACTAGGAACAATGCAGCACAAAAGCTGCATTCATTTCATGCAGCATGGGGAATCTTAAGTAAAATTACAAATAAACATGGGGGTGGGGAAGAAAGACTTTCATTGACACAATACAACATTAACTTTTACAACTATTCAATTTTACCTGAACCTCTGAATTAGAATCAACAGGCTGAAGCATAAACCATGTTTCCTTGCCAGAGTATTTGCTCAAATCTTCTTTTTTGATAGCTACTTTGCCTAAAAGGAGGGAAATAAAATTACCTATTTGACAGTACATGTTATTCAGTGGTGGGTAGAAATGCTATTTTTAATTTTAGCATCTAACATTGCTCTAGAGAAAATTTTAAAATAATCACCATACAGTGTGTCCTAAGCAAAGAAGTCCAGTAGCAGCAGGTGTTGGGGATGGGAGTATTTATTGGCACTGTTTGAAACTAAATGAAAAACGTTTTAAAAGAAAACACTTCACTGTGGGGCCTGTAGGTCAACTGGGAACACATGTTGTGGCAAGATTGATGGCTACTGGGTGGGCATTGGTCTGCTCAATCATTTAGAGAGAAAACTACCAGAGACACTATGTAATACAGTGGAACCTCAGTTTTCGAATGTCTCGGCTTCCATTTTCAAACATGCCTCAGAAGTCGAACGGTCTTCTGGAATCGATTACGTTCGACAACCGAGGTTCCACTGTAAAGTGTTGAATTACAATTAATGGTGGCATAAGGCAAGTGTAAGAACTTCCACTTGTGCAAAGCTTGACCCCTGATTTTCACTAATTCTCTTATACGATGTACAACTTCTCCCAAGGGTTGGAGGGGTCCCTCCAGAATAAAGGATATGATGCAGCAGATTGCATTAGGTAGGAGGATCAGTGAGAACTGGTTGTCCTACTTTATGTGAACGTGTTTGCCTATTGCCATCATTGGATACAATCCATAAAAATAAACACATACATTTGAAAATAATAAGATACCTGTCTACAGTTTTACCTTTAATAAAACAAACCCACCACTGAACATTAAGAGGCATATCAAACTAAATCAAACTCTAAGTAGACCCACTGAAATGAGTTGACATAACAAACCAATTTCAGTGGGTCTACACAGATTATGACTTAGGTGGCTACTATCCTAACTTCAATCTATAGCTTAGTCAACAGAATATGAGATGCTTCATCTCAGTATCGCAGATTCAAGCCCCATGTTGGGCAAAAGATTTCTGCACTGCAGGGGGTTGGCCTAGATGACCCTTGTGGTCCCTTTCAACCCAACAATTCTATGATTCTATACTTACCTATACGCAGATCCCTCTGTAAAACACTTTTCTCATAAATATAAAATGATAAACACTGGAATGTCCTTGGTATTTCAAAGTAGAACTCTTCTCCAAAAAATGGGCTGGGGAAAGAAATCAAACAGGTTCTTAGCAAAGTAACTGAATATTTTACAATGTTTCATCACCATTATAACTTGCTGTAGAATCCTATTTTATGTAACTTTTATAACTGGATTCTACTCTTGAATGTAAGCCTCTTGCAAGGAATTACCGTATTGTCCCGAATATAAGCCGCACCTTTAAAATGGGGGGAGGGGGAATTCCTGAATATAAGCCGCTCCATTCCTCACTGCTTCTGGCTGCATACTTGGGGGGGGGGAGCCACACTGCACTGCCGGCAGCCTTTCCGCTTCCTCTCTCTTTCACTTCCCAGCCTTGGGGGAAAGGATGGGGGACTATGTGCAGGGCAGGCGCTGCTCTGCCACACTCCTGGTACTGTTTGCCCCACACTCCTGGCTGCACACTGCAAGGTCACGAATATAAGCCACACTAACTTTTCACGGTAGGAATTTGGGGGAAAAGTGAGGCTTATATTCAGGCCAATACGGTAGTTATTTCTCCCAAAATGCTAAACAGTGCAAAACATTTTCAAGAGTCATGTTTATACACCCACACAAACAAATCCCATAATAAAATACAATTAGATGTTAAAATATATGACATGTTTACACAAGGGAAGGGGGTTATTGGTTTGCTTTTGTTTTTATTACAGATTTTGTGTGGCTTTTTATTTTGTATTTTTATGTTGTGAACCGCCCTGAAATCTACGAATTAAGGGCAGCATACAAACTTAATACATGCTACAAATAAATAAATAAATAAATAAATAAATAAATAAATAAATAAATAAATAAATGGTAGGCTCGCCTAAACACGTACGTTTTCAGGAGCTGATAAAAAAACCCCGGAAACACTGGGCAGAAGTGACCAAAAATAATATGGTAATAGTGCTTGGATGAGAGTCTACAGCACTGATTTATTTTGGTTTGTTGTCAAGTCTCTCTGAGCAATCAGAATGCAATGGAAGCGCAAGATACAAATTTTCAAGTTAATAAATGAATGGATAAATAAATGGTGAAATGTATTTAGGAAGTCAATAGGTACTAGCATTTTATGTAAACCTAAGAAATCAAAAGGCTTTGTTTTCTATTATTTATATTCACACCAGCCACATTATCTGATGGAATTTTCTTGTTTACATTATTCAGTTTGTGGATCATTTTTTAAAAAAATTGTTTCCTTACAAGTTTACAGCCAATGCATTCAAAATGTAAGGGTAAGTTCTGCTTTAACTTTGGCTTCAGGGCCCAGTGTGTACAATAATGCTGAAACTAAGCTAAAGTTGTCCTGGCCAGTCCCTTGGAGGAGAACCACCACAAGGCTCACATAAGAACAGGTTCTACGTTTTTGAATAAAGGACCATTTATGTGAGTGCAATTTTCCTTCCACAGAGCAAAAATTTAGGTCCAAGCTTAAATCTTTAACACATGTCACCACTTAGATACTTACATCTGAATTCTTAACACCTTCAAAAAGATTAATGAATTTTCTTTTTTCTACACAAATAAATTGCTATTTGATGCCCAAAGAATAATGATCACATGCTCGCAAAAAACAAACAAACCTGTTCTAGAAGTACAAAAAGATAATAAGCTATCTTGTTTTCAGTTAAGTGTTTCATTGTTTTTACTCAAGAAATGCAACCAAAAGATAATGTAATTATTTTGTCACTTAATCATGCTAAATTTCATTGTGATTGGAGCCTGACTGGAGGACAAGAAAGTTAAATTCAGTAGCTCCTCTTTATACCCTCTGCCTCCTGTGTGCAATGTTTCCTTGTAAGCCCTCTCTCTGGAAGTGGCTTCTGCCAAACAGATGTGTAGAAAAAGTTAGCACTGGAAGGACAATTAAGTAGGTGTGCCAGGCGGACCTCTCTGAGAACATTCCATTAATGGGGCACCACTACTGGGATTCCCATTCCTCTGGGAGTTGGTTTGGTTCAGGAAGATCAACTGAAGTTCTTAAGACAGGTACACACATATAGGTAGATAACTCTTCTAGTACCCCAGTCATAATCAATGAAGGGCTTTTAGAGAAAACCAGCATGTTGAACTGAGCTCAGAAACTGAACGGTAACCATTTGCAATGGGTATAGCACAACATATATAGGGATATACCCTATATTTTAGCTCAAATTTTATCTTTTGTATCAGGTTTTATATTTAGAGAGCCTACACAAAATATATTCAATATATCTTCAGTTCACAGAAGGAATTACAATAAAAGTAGGAGAAGATTGTCAAAATCAATGTCAGTGCTGTTCACATAATTTTCTGAAGATAAACCCTTTCATACATGAAGGTGGTAACACTAGAATGAATTAATTCATAACCTTCCACAGGGAGAAAATGTGCGTGCAGGAGTAACACATACTACTAAGTTGTCGAGTTACAATTATCCATGGGGTCATTTCAAGAAGTTATCATGTAAACACCACAGGTTGTCACAATTAGCCCTGACTATTGTTATTCATATTTTTCCCCATACTGCTAAAGAACTTAAAAGTTTTGCAAGTTTAGTCTAGTTTGGAGCAGTGTTCCAAGTCCTTGTTCAGATGAGAAACTAAACAAAGTAACATTATGAAAACAGGCCTTAGAAGAAAGCTTTGGGCCGGTGTGTTCCCCCACTCTGTATGATCACAGAGGAGTCCATTGAAATAGACCAACTTCCAACTATACATTATTCGCTTGTTTCAGCTAGCAGTAATTAAGATTAGCCATAGTTTGTGTGGAACATTGCTAGCCACAGTTAATCCAAAACAGAAAAAGAAACTTCGTCTCCTTGGAGCCATGGCAGAAGAGAGAGTTTCTGAGCTTGAGGGGCACCAGGTCTCATTCTTCTAACACTAAGGCATGGTTCGGCATTACATCTGAACACAGTCACTCTTCCACAGCATTATTCATGTTTAATTTATTAAGTTGTTTCTGTAACCCATACATTTAAAAAATCAGAAACTAAGCCAAAATGGACAAGCAAGGGGGGGGGATAAGATTACAGACCAGCTGATTTTTTTTACATGTTAAAGGGACTGGTTAATATTCCATTTTAATCAAAGATATATTCTCATCCTAGCTAAGCCTGCCATTGTGATAAAGCTCTTACCTTAAACATTTCTCTACTACCTGAGTGCGAAAAACCTCTTCTTGATCCAAATTGATTGTACAAAAGCAGTCTCTCATCTTGTTTTGTCCAGAGTATGGCACTAAGTTTTTGGCTTGACCTAGTGACAAGATTAAATTAGTTTTGAACAAACATGGAGAAAAAATTACAAGGTTGTCTATAGCCAAAGTATGGAATTGTAATTCAGAATGGAAAGCAACAAAATATTACACACTCTGTAATGCATCCTTGTCTGAATTAAGTGACCAAAAGAAGCACAAAAGAAGAAAAGGAAGTTTGGGTATTAAAAACGGAAATTGAATACAATATTTCATCATAGCCAGGACCTTGGCTTTGTCCTTTAAAAGGCAGAAGCCACTTCCTCTAGAATAGCATCACTTGATAAGAACAGGGTCACTACTGACTTAAAAGTGAAGGCTTTATTAACATCACTTCCTGCAACACTTGCACTTTCCTTCGAATTCCATCTGGGTAACCGGTTAAGCCTGACATGGCTGGTTAATGATTGCAACTGAAAGCAATATGGCCACAAGTCATAACACAAACAGAGTCTAGTATTTTTTCAACAAACAAATTTTGTATTTAGTAGTCCATTATAAAGTTATTATGTTTACCCTGGGAAAAAATTGTTTGAACTATATCAAGTGAACAACCAGACTTTTGAGTTACTATCACATTGAAAAGTCATAGTACTTGTTACCAAAATATTAACACAATGTAACTTCCTCCCTGCTCCAAGCAAAATACACAATACTTAGAATAAAGTTAGTCTAGTTAGTTTAAGACAGTTTGCCCGGAGAATGTTCTAATTTCCTTATAAAATAAAACAAAGTATCATCATTATGAAAGCAGTCAGGGATATCAATTTTCCTTAAAGATAAATTACATCTATCATTACCCTTAATGGTGCTTCTAAGGATATCATTCTGTTTGAACAGAGCTGTCCAAACTCAAACATACATTTTAAAGCAGGGATGGGGAAAATGAGGCCCACCAAATTTGATTCACTGGCCATAACAGGAGCCAACTCCTAGGGGCCTGAGGTCCCATCAACCCCCCAATAAAATATTTGAGGGGGCCACCCTCCAAGTTGATGGGCATCACCATTCAAATGGTGTGTCTTATTATTGATTATGTGGGACAGGCCCCCCCAATTAATTTATTCAAGTTGAGACCTCTGCTGGCCATATTCCTCACCCCATCTTAGAGCCTTATTTCTACAGCAGCATATTGCAAAATAAAGTACATTTAGGTAAGTACACTTATGAAATCTCAACACCAATGTGTTAGTACTTTATGGCACTGACCTTTGTCTGCAAATTTCCTACCAGTTCCAAGCAATCAGCTTTTCCAAGTGACTACTTCTTCATTGTTAAAGCCCTAGAACTAACATAGAATTGGCCTAAACACAAAGGTTTGCTGATTTCCATTTACTAAGTGATTTCAAGGATTAGTATGGCACAGTAAACCATTTTATATTACTGGTTTTTCAAACTGGAAAAGCCTAGTTTATCCAGCATTTTCAATGAAATAACCAGTAATGGTGGACAAACTTCCTTTGCAAAGTGCAGCTGCAACAGAGTACTGAGTGTATTTGAGATCATACTCTCAATTCAAGTTGGGCAACAGGGAAACCTAACAGATTTGATGACTGTCTTACATAAACTGGGTGCAACCTCTAGAGCAGGAATGGGAAACACCTGACTCTCCAGATACTGTGAACTGAGCTTCCATCATCCCTAAATATTGGCTAAGTTGGCTAGGGCTGAATAGAGTCCAGCAACATCTGAAGGGCCACAGGTTTTATTCCTTTTTTATTTACTTATTAAACTTGTACTGTATAACGCCCTTTATCTGAAGATCACAGGGCATTCACAACATAAGAGTACAAAACGAAAACACAAAACACAAAAATCAATAACCTCCCTACCACAAACACATTTAAAAGGCCATAGAATGTTGATCAGCCAAAGTTTTTGTCCGGCACCGCCTCAAGGTAAGTAATAAAGGTGCCAGGCAAATCTCCCTGAGGACAGCATTCCACAAGCAGGAAGCCATCGCAGAAAAGGCTTCTCGTGTTGCCACCCTCTGTTCCTCTCATGGAGGAGGCACTCAAGTAAAGCCCTCAGATGATGACTGCAGTGTCCAGATTGGTTCATATGGGGAGAGGTAGTCTCCATTCCTACTATAAAACAAACCCTGAATTCCTCTGCAACGCACTGGAATCCCTTGGAAAACAAGCTAACATAGAGAGAGCTCCCTGAAGGAACAAGGATGAAAACCATCATTTTACATAAAATTATTAATTGTAACTGTTCAAAGCTATCTCTAGCCCTCAAGACACTATATAGCACATACTATCAATACACATAAGGGAGAGGAGGCAGAGTCCAAGATTTAAAATGCAATGGATACAAAGTGTGAAAATCAGCATGGCCTAGAGATCACATAACCTACATGTGTGCAAGCCTCCCTTGATATGCAATATATTCCACTTGTACACTGATGCAGCTGGGCATGCTTCCTCTGCTGTTCCAAATTGCGGTCAGCCAAGTGTACTAGTTACTCTTGCCTGTAGTACACACAGCAATTTGGCAGTTGGAAGAAGACATTTTGGCAGTTGGAGGAAACTGCTTCATTAGCACAAGAAAGCCTTTTTGCACCTCCACACTAGTTGCTAGTCTAAGATCAGCATAAATGCTCAAGTGTTGTGTTCTGGGGTGAGGGGGTGAGAAAAGAAACACACATGCAGGTATGTACCTGCATTTCCTAGTTCTGAAGTATATCATGTGGATCAGGCCCTTCTTTTCTTTGTTAAATTTTTGAAACACATCACTATCACTTTTAATTGCTGTAGATACTACCGGTACTTTCCATGGTCAAACAAATTCCCATGGGGAACACTGCTAGTTTTCTCTTAAAAGATGGGTACGTATGTGAAGTGGGCATTTTAGCATATATGTGTTATATAAATTAACAAATAATGATGGTAATAATAGGCTTAATCATTTAAGTCAAAGCTAATTTGTCATAGCAAACAGCTGTTAAAGTACAGAATGTATTGGCAAATAAAATTAGCTACACATTTTCAGCCATGGGCTTCCTATCTTAGCCACACAGCCCCATCCTATGGATATGCCACTGCATTCAACTGCCACTGAGATCAGTACGATTTACTCTCAATTTAAGTGTTCATAAGATTGCACATTACACAAGCTAATCTCTCTCAACTTCAGCCATTTCCATTTTCATCCCAAATTTTGGGATAAAACTGATTTAACAACAGAGATGTTAAGAATTCAGATAATATGTGTTAAGTGCTTTGATCAATTAGTAAAAGCACTTATAAAATACTAAATATAACCACATCAGGTAACAAAAGGTAAAATTAAAAAGTAAGTGTAAGGCACTACTTCACAAGTATGAACTGTAATGCTTCCATCTGTTTATCAAAATAAGCATGCAGAATGAAATGCAACAATGGCATTAAAATGTGCTTTGTAGCATTCATGTAATTATTACCCCTTGCTTCAATTGCCAAACAATAAATCAGTCAACCAGAGCTTTAACTGATTAATCAAGTGTGGTGAAGGTCCATCTATTTTAGATTATTTTGCTTCTGCTGCATTACTGCAATAGGAAATGAGAAAGAAATATTAAAATATGGCAGTTCCCTTTAATGACAGGTAATGATATTTATTTATTTATAAATAAGTTCCTTCAATATTTGTAAAGATGGCAGAGATTTTAGTAAGATGCAAATGTAATGTAAGGTAAAGGTAAAGGGACTCCTAACCACTAGGTCCAGTCACGGATGACTCTGGGGTTGCGGCGCTTATCTCGCTTTATTGGCCAAGTGAGCCGGTGTACAGCTTCAGGGTTATGTGGCCAGCATGACTAAGCCGCTTCTGGCGAACCAGAGCAGCGCACGGAAACGCCGTTTACCTTCCCGCTGAAGCGATTCCTATTTATCTACTTGAACTTTGACGTGCTTTCGAACTGCTAGGTTGGCAGGAGCAGGGACCGAGCAATGGGAGCTCACTCCATTGTGGGGATTCGAACCACCGACCTTCTGATTGGCAAGCCCTAGGCTCTGTGGTTTAGACCACAGTGCCACCCACGTCTCTTAAGATGCAAATGTACTGAACTTTAATTAGATTCATCAATTTAAAATTTCTAAGGCAACTGTTCGAAAGGGTGATAATATACTAGTTTAATAAATGGGTTTTTTTATTAAAAAACATAAAACAAAATCAAGTAGCATATGCTATTTTTAACACAAGGAATCTTTCAAAATATAAGTTTTCACAGAAAATATTTTGTCTACAAAAATTATGGGTCGTTAATCTAAGAGTTGATTTGATGCTGAATATGCACATTTAACCTCATAAGAATGCTTCTCTCGTCAATGCTGTTCTACTGAAACATTATGAAATCTAGTTCCGCATCAAAATGGAAGCTAAGCATGCTGCAAGTCATTCTCTACAAGACTGAATAAAGGCGTGAGAAAGGAAGTGGGTTACGTTTGACTTACATGAATGTACTTCGATCCCTCCCACCATCGGAAAACCACTACATCCTGTTTGTCCTAGCTGCCCTAAAATCTACGTCAGCCCCACAACATTATCATTTTCTTGCCCCTTATAATTTATCAGAAGGTTTTCTGCCTTCAAGTTTAAAATTTTCTTTGCCACATTTGGTCTGGCTAACATGGATCCTATTACCCCACAATCCCATTAAGGTATCCAAAAGAGTTCTAGCGACTACTTCAAAACATCCTGTACAAGCTTCCCCCTACATCACATTTCACAAGAATCCCATGTGTTGCATTTTTCTGACAAGACAAAATACCGTACCTTTAAAAGATTGAATGCAGAGTGTAACTTCTAAGGATGTCACTTTTTTCAAGTAATGTCTAATGGCTCTCAAAACTAAATATTTTCCATTTCAGCTAAAGCCAGGCCTTCCCATGAAGTTATTACATCTTCCCCTAGCTGCAAGGAATGCACTTCCCCAACTATTTTGCTAGGTACAGCCCAGTCTACTAGCTTACACACTTACAAGCACCTCTCATGCTTGCTATTTCTACCCTATCATAAACATGGATTAGAGAACCAAAGTGTCACTGGTGCCATCACCAAACTTCCATCAAAACTACACTTGGGACTTCAGGTGTGCAGTACTACTTCAGCATGACAAGGCCTTGCAAACACACACAGGAAGAACAGATCCCTAGAATATGTGCCAGGAACTGTAGATCGCTTTCACATCACCCACGTAGCACACAATTACCATGGCTAGGTTTCAACTCCCTTTAGGATATTGTTGACCACAGTACATTCCTGATTAAATACCTGGTAACTATCTAGCATGATGCTATTTCTGCTCTCTTCCCTACTTCATCCAGCAAATATGTTTGGACCTGCAACCTGCTTGTTCAGAAACCAACCCTTTAAATGCTCCAATAACTTCATATCCTATTCCCTTATACTGCAAATATTCTTCTATCTGCCAGGTCCATCTGTCCCAGCGAACGTGTCTTACTGAATGAATTTCTATTATTGCTTTTTATGCCTCATACACTATAAACTTTATTCTGTCCTTGCTTTCCACATCCTTAAAAAAAATCCAAGAAAAATAGCCATTTTATTCTGTTGTAGCAAAAACTACCAAGTCTTGTGACACCAAAAATTTTACTATGGCATAAGCTTCTGTGGGCTACCTTTGACAAACTGGACTTAAGTCCCTGAAAGCTTTATTAGTCTTGGTACCACAAGCCAGTTTGCTACTGCTATTGGTGGGGGAATACTACACCAACCTCCTTTACACAAAATTCAGTTTATGTCCTTAATATTGTCATGGCCTGAGTATTATAAAAGCTTTCAAAATATTGAGATGAAATACGTGCCTTATGAAGTATCATCGAAATGCCAGATATTAACTAGGATGACTTATTTCCAAGGGCTTCTTCACACATAACTCGCCTTAAGCTGCAAGTCACTTTGGGGTAACGCGACCAACAAATTTAATAAGTAACAATAAATGAGGCATGCAGCTTAAAATATGTAGCATGCACACCTAAAAATATAGAATGCAATCCCAACAAGCAGACATTTACAAACCCTTGCACTCATAGAGAGCCACGGGAAACCAGGATTAGGTGCACGGGACAGGCGGGTGTCTCTCTGTCAAGTGAGGTAACTTAGGAGGCCAGGAGGGCTGAGGTCGTTTCGCCCAACCAACGCAAGGAGTGGAAGACAGTGGCTTGTGCTCGCTGCAGTGCAAGATGCCCAGTTCACACTATCACTATCCCCCTTTGCACGGATGCTCTATCCATGTATATTTTGTTTGTTTTTTGCTACTATAACAGCGTCGCCCTGCCCACGCCCCACCGCCTACCCAGCAGAGCCCCCCTTCTGGAAGCTGCCTGTATGCTTTTGTCTCTCGCTTCCGCCACCACCCCCCCCCAACCCAACCCACCCTCAGCTTTTCTCTTTCTTTCCCTCATCACGGCCGCCCACAGGTGTGCGCATCCCACAGGAGACTATGCACCTCCATGCAGGGACCACCTCCCCCCACCTGGAGGGAGGGAGGGAGGAAGGCCGGCCCTCCCCTCCCTTGAGGTAAGGGAAGCGGCACAACAACGTCTCCAAGGAGCCCGGGCAACAGCGGGGGCTGGACGACTGAGGCGGCGGGTGAGTGAGTCAGGGAGGCCGCCCCGAGGCAAAGGCCGTCTTCCTTCCGGCTCTGCCTTCCCCTCGCCGCCCCGTCCCAATATCTCGCCTTTTCCCGTGTCCGCCCTTCCACACGGACAGAGAGACAAACGGGGGGTTCCCTTCGACCGCCCCCCTCCCCACCCTCTTCCCGCGACGACTTACAAATCTTCCCGCGGAGGGTCTGCAGCACTCGCACCTCTTCTTCGCTCCCTTCGCCGGCGGCCATGGCCGGGAGCGGGCTGAGGGGAGGACAGAGCGCCTTCTGCACAGCGCGCGCGGCCGAGGATTGAGGGGGTGGGGGTGGGATGGGAGAGGCCAAACGCCTCCCGCACGCGCTACTACCGCTCGCCCAACTGCGCGCGCTGACTGATGAAGCCTGTTCCTTCTCCCCCCCTCCCCTTCCCGGTGACAACAGACGGAGTTGGGGGGGGAGAGAGAGGGAGAGACCCGATTAGCTCAGCCACGCCCACCCACGCTCTTGCCATTGGTTAGCGCGGCTGAAGAGGGGCGGGGAAGGGGGCGCGCGCAGGCGCCCTGACGCCGCCTCGTCCTCTCTGAGGTTAAAAAAAAAAAGAGAGAGAGAGCGTTCCTTCTGTGTGGCAGGCGGTTGTGTTGGCTGCTCCGTCGCCGGCCCCGCCCGGCTAGGCGTGACTAAGAGGAAGGCTGGGCCGGTCGGAATCATCATCACCATAACCGTGGCCAAGAACCCAGTTCAGATCTAGGGAGTGCCCTCCTGGTGCACTTTTCGTGTTTGTTTTTGTGTTTGCCGGCCATACGTAGAAGCGTAAGCCTCCTTATGAGGAGCAGCTTGAAGGAGCTGGTTATGTTTAAAAAATGGAGACGGAGAAGAGATATGATAGCCACCCCCAGATACCTTAAGAGCTGTCACATGGAGGAGGGAGCAAGCTTGTTTTCTCCTCTCTGGAGGGTAGGGCTCGAACCAACGGCTTCAAGTTGCAAGAAAGGAGTTTCCGGCTAAACATTCGGAAAAACCTTTATGAGCTGTTCTGCCGTGGAACAGACTCCCATGAGATGTGGTGGACTCTCCTTCCTTGGAAGTTTTTCAACAGAGGTTGGGTGCCCATCTGTCATGGATGGTTTAGTTGCGATTCCTGCATTGCAGGGGGTTGGACTAGATGACCCTTGGGGTCCCTTCCAACTCTTAAGATTCTATGAACTCCAGCTTCCTAGGAGATGTTCATGGTCACACAGCAGTAAATGTTGCCACCAGGCTTCAGCCGCTTACCGTTCAAGGTTTCCTCTCAGCATACAAAAAGTAAACAAATCAAAAGCAGACCCTAAGGTAGCCAGTTGAATTTTACCTGGCTGACAGGTGCTTTTAGACCTAGCCAGGGTTTGTTTTAATTATAAAAAACCCAACCCAAACTGATCTATTGATGCAGGTTTAAATGCTTATATTAGAGACAGAGAGTGCATGAGATAGCTCCCTCCCAACACTCCCCCCCCAATATATTGATCTTTGCTATTGAGGTATTTTTCCCAGTCAGTTTGAAAAAGGATTTAAAGAAATGGCCCATACAAAAATTGATCAAGAGATGACAGGTGGCCTGCTTCAAACACAAAAATGGGCTTTGCTTTGGGACGTTTAACTACCCTGGGTTACACTGGAATTCAGTTTGGGTTAGAAAACTTGATCCTCAAATCCATTTTTGTGATGCTTTCCAGAGCTGCTGTTAATCTGACTAGTAGAGCCATAACTTTAGGTAAACATACCCAACTGCATAATTTGTGTCCCAAGCAAGTTTTTCAATTCCTGGCAGCTCCTGAAACTCAAAACAGAAAATATATGCCAATGAGTGGGCATATTAGTTTCTGCAAGGAAAAGAAATAAAAAAATAATAGGTTTATTGTAGCATAAAATAGAGCCCAGTTCATCAGATTTCATGCTGCTAATCTTTAGCTTTGGTAAGACCTGGTTGTTTTACTAAAAAAATTTCTGATGCCAGTGCAGACAAATGGTTGAGAGAAGATTTCTCTGCCCTTTTTGTTTGCAAAACCTAGGGATGCAGATGTGTGGATTGGGATGAGTCCTGAGGGTCACTTTCAGCCCTCAATCCTGAGGTTCCTGACCCTGACCCAGGCACAAACAGAGCCATGAATGAAAACCCAGCTCTCCATAATGAAAGTCCAGTTCTTCAGAGGTCAATAGATTCTACTATGAAGGCAGTTGCCCAGGCTACATAATCAGTCTCACTATGATTTCCACCAGGTCCAGCCTACACTGCATAAGCCTATGTGTCAAGCTGTAGTTGCAAGCGAAAAACCAGCCAAAATATATATGACAATATGATTTTTAATTCGGCTTCCTAGTGGCTTGCAATCGGCTATGATAGGAAGATCATAGGAAGATTGTCCAGGAAGATGCTTTAATAAATCTAATGGCTGTTTTGGGTGAGCTGCAAGAGTAGCATATGAATCCAAGTTAATATGGTGTAAGAAAAAACATCACACCACATGTTTTTGAAAGATATATTTTTAGCAGGATAGGAGTAGGAGGATATAAGCAGAAGCTTTCAGAACACTGAGTGCAGATGGATATATAACTGTTAGATGCTGCCGCCTCACAGTAGAAATATAACATTAGCAAGAATACATTCCATTTCAATGGGATGGGTATAGCGGAAGAACAGGGGCATATTTGGAGCTGTATCAGCAAATTTTGGTATTATTATATGACTCCTAGAATTCATTCCCTCTATTCAATTCTTAAAGGCAATCTCAAGCTTTCATATTTTACACTACAAAACTAGTGATGTAAGGGCTTTTGTATACTTCATATTTTGGTGGATTTGGTCCCATTGTGGCAGCCATCTGTCTAGGAGTACAAAATAAAGATCACTTAACATAGATCACTTATCATAGCCTTGAGCACCTTTGCAGTTCTACTCTACTTAAAACAAGAGGGCTGGTAGTGATGCTGGGATCCTACTGCCTGATCCTGTGTATGCTGTACACAAGTAGAAATGCTGATCACAAATCATTTTGGTTCATTTCATCTGTCACATCACATCTGAAAATCAAAAAGAATATGAGGAAAGAACAGGAGATGGGAATCAGAAAGGGGAAAGCTAATACATGTGTCATTTTTCCTTTCTGTGTGGTCTAATATCAGCAGCTCCCACGAGAAAGAGAGACTGGAGAATTACGGTAGGTTTGAGAAGGTGGTGGTGCGAGGGCTGCGGGGGCATCAAATATTGCCAAGGGCCGGCAGTGAAGGTCTCAAGAGCTGCATGCCACCATAGCCTAGATACTAAATTTTTGGCTTTACTGTAGCCATTGTCCATGCTTGCTGGAACTGAGAGGATTCATAGTTCATTGGCGTCTGGAGAGCCAAAGGTTCTCCACATGTGCTTCACAGGCTGATACCGTATTCCATCTATTCCCATATTTCTAGTTTTTAAAAATATCCACAAAGTGACTTACAGTTTTTAAAAACAAGCACAATAAAACAATATACAGTGTAAAGCAAAAGGGCGGCAGGGAATAAAATAAACCGATCATAAAGGTACATTAAAGCCATATGGTTGATTAAAAGATGGGGGAAAGGATGGTCGTTCCATTGCTTAGGTTTTGTAAACTGCTGTGAGGCTTTTCTTTACATTCAAGCAGTATATAATTCCTATGAATTAAAAATAAAATAAATGACAAACCTGATGGCATCAGGCAAAACTTTTCTTGGGAGAGAATAACAAAGCAGAAAAACTCCCTTTGGTAGTCACCCACCTGACAGTGGGGAAGAGTTCACTTGCTGATCTTAATGGGCGGGTTCATAAGCCTTTAGCTTGGTGGTTCAGCCTTAAAGGTAAAAACCAACACCTTGAATTGCCCATAGAAACAAATGGAGCCAAAGACACTCTTCAGTATTGATGACATGAAATTGCAACATAAAGCTGCAGTCAGAAGTCTTGCCCGTTAAGTTTCTGAACACTTTTCAAGGACCACACAATGCAATAGTGAATTCTGAATTAGTTAGCAAAGCAGGAGTGACTATGACTAGACCACCTTCTTCCAGAATGGTGCAAAGTTGGCAAGCATTCCAAAGATGGTAAAGATACTTCATGCTGTAGACAATAGCTCAGTCTCTATACGCAGATCTGCATCTAGAAATATGCTGAAGCCATAAACTTGATCCTTAAAAGGGAGTGCTTCCCCATCCAGAATTAGTTGAACACCAACGCCATAGGTGAATCACCCTCCCACAGTACTCCCATCTTGTTTGAACTGAGCTTTGGTTTCTTAGGCCTCTTCCAGATTCCAGCCTATTATTTATTTTAGGCATCCAGTTTAGGAGATGAGTATCTCTATGACACTAATTTGCTTTGCAAGATGACAGTATCATGAAGGATTGGTTCCTAAAAGAGCAGGAAAAGTCACAGTGATCACAGTTTAATTCTGAATCAGAGTAGCTGTCTGCAAAGGGAAAAACCAGATGGTTATCCATATTATGTAAAAAGGATGAAACACGGCTTGGATTAATACACTGTGTCATCTGTTATTCATGAAAGTGATTAAGAATAATAGGTGAAACAACATTTACAGTGCAATTCTATGCACATCTACCCAGAACTGAGTATCACTGAGGTTAGTGAGGTTTACTTCCAGGTAAGTGTAGCAACGACTGCAGCCTTAGCAGGTCATTATTAGTACATCTGCATAACATCACAATTATTATAGAACAAGGAAAGCTTGATCGAAGCAAGCATTATGCAGTTTATGTAATTTGGACTATATACAATTTTTAATTGGATAATGTTTGATTACAAATCAGGTTACAGGCAGTATATATAATTTTAATGGAAATCAGGTTCATGCAGAAGAAGTTTTAACAAAACAGTTTTAAGACGTTTTAGAAAACAGCATAGAACAAGGCACACAACTCCTTTCCAGGGAAAGTAGTTGGCAGGTCAAAGTCAAAGTGAATATTCAGAATGGGAGATCTGGGCAAAGCTGCTCTCATACTAAATTTATAAATTATTGTATTATTCCTTGCTGTATCTTTACAAAACCTCTACATCTCTTTCATATGAATATATATGCTTTGTGTGGGTTGAGGCTGCTTTGGTTAAATAAATTATTTTTAAAAATATTAATAATTAAATTTATATTCTACCCTTCCTCCCACAGGAGCCCAGGGTGACAAAAACAGAAATGCTAAAACAAGTAAAACATCTCAGAACAATTCCAATGCTGATGCAGACTGACCTTCCCAAAGAGGTTTGCCAGTTACCAACATTGCTATTGTTTATTTTTGAAACATTTTTTTAAATTTCCCAGGTATTTCAACTGATCCAATAAGAGCAAATCAGTTTTAATCTGCTCATTTGATCTGTGTGGATAGTGTCATTATATCATTTAGTTACTAGGTGGCACTGTAATTAATTCTGTCTGGGTGGAGGCAGACGTTTCCTGTGTCTGTCTCTCTTAAGCAAGAAGAGAACTATCAAGTTCCAGCTTCCAGATTGGTGTGGCCTATGAGCTTCATGGGACGTGGGTGGTGCTGTGGTCTAAACCACTGAGCCTAGGGCTTGCCGATTGGAAGGTCGGCGGTTCAAATCCCTGCGACGGGGTGAGCTCCTGTTGCTCGGTCCCAGCTCCTGTCAACCTAGCAGTTCGAAAGCACGTCAAAGTGCAAGTAGATAAATAGGTATCGCTCTGGCAGGAAGGTAAACGGTGTTTCTGTGTGCTGCTCTGGTTTCAGTGTTCGGTTGCACCAGAAGCGGCTTAGTCATGCTGGCCACATGACCCAGAAAAACTGCCTGCGGACAAACGTTGGCTCCCTCAGCCAGTAAAGCGAGATGAGCATCGCAACTCCAGAGTCATTCGCGACTGGACTTAACTGTCAGGGGTCCTTTACCTTTACCTTTTTATGAGCTTCATAGGATGTTATCATTCTTTTTATGTTTATTGAATAGATTTTATGTTGTGCCATGCCCTGGAGTCTAATATAATGAAGGGTGGTATATAAACACAATAAATACATAACAAATAGATTTAATATCAAAAATAATGAAACTTAAAATGGTCTGTAACTATGGTGAAATCACTCACTTATTATTTATCCCTCTTAAACATCAGCTTGCAGCTGGTCCTGAATCTTTCAGGTTCACATCCATCCTTAGTTTCTCTGTGATCTATACTGACCAGCCTGATCCAGTTTCCTTTCTTTAAGGTGGTGCCATGCTGCTGCCCTCTAGTCAGCAGTGTTGCTGTTTAGTGCATAGGGTAACTGCAAGGCCAGAACTTCATGGTTGCACCAGTGGGAACTTTGGATTGACTCTGCCATTGTGCCATGCTGCAGCCATTCTTGCCACCCCACTATGCATGCATTGCCCTAGTAAGCAGCTGCAGATCTGCCTCCTTCTCCCCCAGTCTCTCATGCCCGCTCCCATCTCTGGTAACAGAAGAAAATAGGCCATAATTTGTGATATGTAGAAAGGTGAAGCATCATTTGAGTGAATAGGCTGAGGACCATCCATTTATGCCATTTAAATTAAGCACAAGATGATCTTACTGCGTTAAGTACAACTGCCACTAAATGGTCTCTGCAACCATTTTTCTTACTGAGCAATTTTTAGTTGTATTTTATTAATTAGCCAACTGTCAGAAGATCAGAAACAGCTGCTATCCTATGACACCATGTACTGCTCCTCCTCTGCAGTATCTGTCCTGTTCTTCAAAATGTCAGATGTCTTTAGAATCATAGAATCATAGAGTTGGAAGAGACCACAAGGGCCATCGAGTCCAACCCCCTGCCAAGCAGGAAACACCATCAGAGCACTCCTGACATATGGCTGTCAAGCCTCTGCTTAAAGACCTCCAAAGAAGGAGACTCCACCACACTCCTTGGCAGCAAATTCCACTGTCGAACAGCTCTTACTGTCAGGAAGTTCTTCCTAATGTTTAGGTGGAATCTTCTTTCTTGTAGTTTGGATCCATTGCTCCGTGTCCGCTTCTCTGGAGCAGCAGAAAACAACCTTTCTCCCTCCTCTATGTGACATCCTTTTATATATTTGAACATGGCTATCATATCACCCCTTAACCTCCTCTTCTCCAGGCTAAACATGCCCAGCTCCCTTAGCCGTTCCTCATAAGGCATCGTTTCCAGGCCTTTGACCATTTTGGTTGCCCTCCTCTGGACACGTTCCAGTTTGTCAGTGTCCTTCTTGAACTGTGGTGCCCAGAACTGGACACAGTACTCCAGGTGAGGTCTGACCAGAGCAGAATACAGTGGCACTATTACTTCCCTTGATCTAGATGCTATACTCCTATTGATGCAGCCCAGAATTGCATTGGCTTTTTTAGCTGCCGCGTCACACTGTTGGCTCATGTCAAGTTTGTGGTCCACCAAGACTCCCAGATCCTTTTCACATGTACTGCTATCAAGCCAGGTGTCACCCATCTTGTATTTGTGCCTCTCATTTTTTTTGCCCAAGTGCAATACTTTACATTTCTCCCTGTTAAAATTCATCTTGTTTGTTTTGGCCCAGTTCTCTAATCTGTCAAGGTCGTTTTGAAGTGTGATCCTGTCCTCTGGGGTGTTAGCCACCCCTCCCAGTTTGGTGTCATCTGCAAATTTGATCAGGATGCCCTTGAGTCCATCATCCAAGTCGTTGATAAAGATGTTGAATAAGACCGGGCCCAAGACAGAACCCTGTGGCACCCCACTAGTTACTCTTCTCCAGGATGAATAGGAACCATTGATGAGCACCCTTTGGGTTCGGTCAGTCAGCCAGTTACAAATCCACTGAGTGGTAGCATAGTCAAGTCCGCATTTTACCAGCTTCTTTACAAGAATATCATGGGGCACCTTGTCAAATGCCTTGCTGAAATCAAGGTAGGCTACATCCACTGCGTTCCCTTCATCTACCAGGGTTGTAATTCTGTCAAAAAACGAGATCAGGTTAGTCTGACATGACTTATTTTTCAGAAATCCATGCTGACTATTGGTGATCACAGCATTCCTTTCTAGGTGCTCACAGACTGTTTGCTTAATGATCTGCTCCAGAATCTTCCCTGGTATTGATGTCAGACTGACTGGGCGGTAATTATTTGGGTCCTCTCTTTTCCCCCTTTTGAAAATAGGGACAACATTTGCCCTCCTCCAGTCTGCCGGGACTTCGCCTGTTCTCCAGGAATTCTCAAAGATGACTGCCAGTGGTTCTGAGATCACATCTGCCAGTTCTTTTAATACTCTTGGATGCAGTTCATCTGGCCCTGGAGACTTGAATACATCTAGACTAGCCAAGTATTCTTGTACTATCTCCTTAGTTATTCTGGGCTGTGTTTCCTCTGCTGAATCATTTGCTCCAAATTCTTCAGGTCGGGCATTGCTTTCTTTATCGGAGAAGACTGAGGCAAAGAAGGCATTGAGGAGTTCAGCCCTTTCTGTGTCCCCTGTTTGCATTTCACCATCTTCTCCTCTGAGTGACCCCACTGTTTCTTTGTTCTTCCTTTTGCTACGAACATACCCATAAAAGCCTTTTTTGTTGCTTTTAACCTCTCTAGCAAGCCTGAGTTCATTCTGTGCTTTAGCTTTTCTGACTTTGTGTCTACACGTGCTGGCTATTTGTTTGAATTCCTCTTTGGTGGTTTCCCCCCTTTTCCATTTTTTGTACACATCCTTTTTTAATCTTAACTCAGTTAAAAGTTCTTTAGATAGCCACCCTGGCTTCTTTAGGCACCTTCCATGTTTCCGTCTCATTGGTATTGCCTGAAGTTGTGCTTTTACTATCTCCCTCTTAACAAACTCCCAGCCATCATGAACTCCCTTTCCTTTTAGTATTACTGTCCATGGGATCTCACCCAGCACTTCCCTAAGTTTTATGAAGTCGGCTTTCTTAAAGTCAAGAAATTGAGTCCTAGTATGCTTGGCTGCTCCTTTCCGCTGTATAGTAAACTTCAGAAGAGCATGATCACTCGCGCCTAATGATCCTTCCACTTCTACCCCACTAACCAGGTCCTCAACATTGGTTAGGACCAGATCTAAAATGGCTGTTCCTCTTGTTGCTTCTCCCACTTTCTGGACAATGAAGTTGTCTGCAAGTCCAGTGAGGAATCTGTTTGACCTTATGCTCTTGGCTGAGTTTGACATCCAACAAATATCCGGGTAATTGAAGTCCCCCATTACTACTATCTCCCTTCCTTTTGCATGCTTGGCCATCTGTTCCAGGAAGGCATCATCTATGTCCTCCGTTTGGCTTGGGGATCTATAGTAAACTCCCACAATGAGGTCTCTGTTATTCTTCTCTCCCTTAATTTTGTCCCAAATGCTCTCACTTTGGCTTTGAGGTTCTGAATCTTGGATCTCTTCACAGGTATACACATCCCTGACATATAACGCCACTCCTCCTCCTTTCTTGTCTGGTCTGTTTCTCTGAAATAGATTGTATCCCTCCATTATTACATTCCAATCGTGGGACTTATCCCACCAGGTTTCAGTGATGCCTATTATGTCATATTTAGTTTGCTGTACCAAGAGCTCAAGCTCATCTTGTTTATTTCCCATGCTTTGCGCATTAGTGTACAGACATTGAAGTCCATTAACCATTTAAAAATAAGTTTATAGCTTTCACGAGAACAGAGGGAATCCAATTGCCACATTTGTTCTCAATGGAACGGTTTCTTTTAAAAATCATTGTTCCTGTGCAGAGATAAGCAGGAAGACTTGTCACACGTTTACAAATCATGCACATATGTTTAAGGTAGGGATGCTTAATAATTGTCTTTGGTTATTTTGTACTACCATATAGATCATATGTAGCTTTCCTGCAGTTTTTGGACTAATTTGAATTTTGCATTATAGTTCTCGGCTAAAGAAAAGAACACCAACATCTGTATTCAAAATTGTTTAGGATAAAATATGTACAAAATCCAGTATTTCCATATTCTATGGAAAAAAGATATTGAATTGTTGTGTGGGTTTTTAAAATATGCAGATTGATGCAGATACAGAGTAGAACAAACTTATGAATGAATACATGAAAAACTGACACAGATCAGAAATAAATTTGTTTGTCCATCCCTAGTTTAAGGTAAAAAGGGTAAAGGGACCCCTGACTGTTAGGTCCAGTCGTGGATGACGTTGGGGTTGCGACGCTTATCTCGCTTTACTGACCAAGGGAGCCAGCGTACAGCTCCCAGGTCATGTGGCCAGCATGACTAAGCCACTTCTGGCGAACCAGACCAGCGCACGGAAATACTGTTTACCTTCCTGCTGGAGCAGTGCCTATTTGCACTTTTTTTGGTGTGCTTTCAAACTGCTAGGTTGGCAGGAGCAGGGACCGAGCAACGGGAGCTCACCCCATCACGGGGATTCGAACCACAGACTTTCTGATTGGCAAGCCCTAGGCTCAGTGGTTTAGACCACAGCGCCACCCACATCCCTAGTTTAATATTATTTCAGGCTGTAAGGACACATAGACTGCCTATATTAATCCTCAGGTCTAAATGAAGATTGGTGAAATATTTTTAATGTCAACTGGCAATTATTTTTCCTTCTTTTTTATTTTGCAGAGGAAGGGAGGATAGATGAGTGCTTCCCGATCACGGAAATGTTCACCTCTACAGCTGCAATCTTTAGTCCACTTACCTGGGAGTAAACCCCATAGAACTTACTTCTCTGATTAGATATGGCTTAGATTGCCCTGCAAAGCATTCTTAAAACTGCTACATGCTTTGACCACTAAGGTCAAAATAGACTTAAACCACTTTAGCCTCCTCTGGCATGCACTCTCAGTTTTTGGTGAGAAATATGCTGTGTCTTTTCAGTGTTTTACTTTGCCTCAGACCTCCCTCCCCAAAGTTCCTGCAGAGGCGTATGATGTCTAACGCACCATTGTGTTGATTTTGTCAAGTCAGTTTCAATTACTGATGCTGAGAATGAGGACAATGTAGTTTCAGGTGTGCAGCCTACAACACATTCTCTCAATCCATGCCTGCCCCAGTTGGCTTTGAAGGAGATGGGGGAGAGCTGGAACCTTTCTGCTCTCACCAGCATCCTTATGGGACTCAATAGCACCACCTGCTGCTAGAAAACAATAACACGTCCAACACAGCCACAAAATGGCTTTGTGGGTTTTTGGTGAGGTGAGGTCAAACACAGGCTGCAAGTTACCTTCTCCTGCCTTAGGAAACGAGTACCATAGGGACCAACTCCCTGGGGCCCTGAGTGTCCGAGCACCCACAATATTCCCTATGAAGGGTTGGGCACCCACAAATTTTGGTGTCGGGGCCATGCACGCTGCATGACACCCATGGCCTCAGGCATCCATGGTCACAGGGCCAAGCTGGCATTCCTGCGCTGCACCCTTAAATACTTTTGTGTTCTCTGCTGTTGAAGTCAACATTGTTTTTAACATTTCCACCCATCTTTCCTGAGCTAAACAATGTTTGCCTATTTTGGTGTGCGAATGTGCATGCAACTGGCAAAAGCCCTTTCCCCTGAAGGTAATAATTGCTGATACAGTGGTACCTCGGGTTACATACACTTCAGGTTACAAACTCCGCTAACCCAGAAATAGTGCCTCAGGTTAAGAACTTTGCTTCAGGATGAGAACAGAAATTGTGCTCCGGCGGCGTGGCAGCAGCAGGAGGCCCCATTAGCTAAAGTGGTGCTTCAGGTTAAGAACAGTTTCAGGATAAGAACGGACCTCCGGAACGAATTAAGTACTTAACCCGAGGTACCACTGTACTAACATCTAAGTTATTTGGAGCACTATTCAAACCATGCATTCAGACCTCAACTGGGTATAATCTTTACCAGGAGCCATCTATACTCCCTCCACTGCAGGATTGATTTGGAACTGAAGCCCTTATCATACACCTTTTCTGGCCTTGTGCAGGGCCTGACAGGCCTCATAAGGGCTGCGACTGCTTCCTAGCAAGGACTGGGGTATTTGGGGGGAAGTTTGGTTGAGAGTTTTTGCTGTTGTTACTGATATTAACTGATATTACTGATATTAACTTTTTCTATCTTTATTTTTATGTGGAAATTGTTCAGTTTGGTTATGTAGTTTTTAATGTGTTTTATTTATTTTTATGACTACTTTGCTATATTTAGAATTATGTAAATCTTTTCACATTGTAAGCCGCCTTGAGCATCGTTTTAACTGTGGAAATGCGGCATACAAATAAAATGATATGTTTATTTAAACAGAATTCATCTTCCCTTAACCTATGTCCATCTAATTATCTACCCTTCCTTTATTCCAGGAATTGGGAACCCCCGGATGGCTGGAGTAGATGGAAGTTGGAGTTCAACATCTGGAGGACCACAGGTTCCTCATCTCTCGTTTGTTTATTTGTTCAGTAAGGCTGTAACCTTATTTCTGGCATTTGTGATGAGAGCATTTGATGGGCAATGCTGCTGGCCCCCAGGTCAGCAATCAGCCATGTTTAGGGGTCCCAGGAGTTCATCGTTGGTCTCTATTTATATGGTGGGAAAGCAGTAGTGATGCCACTCTCAATGTCTCCATTTCGATACCATCTGCCTGGTACAGAACTAATAGACATTAGATTTCAAACATTATGCCCATTATGTGTGATGCTCCCATGCAAAACCTGGTAGTGTTTTCCAAGGTAAGGTTCATACCCATTATTGTAGCAGGGTTGGATGGATGTAGGTGTGACTCTCTTAAACCCAATTAGTAGGGGTTAATTTAAACCCCTAATTTTTAACAGGGACACTTTTCAGCTTAGATATACTGGTTCTAGCACAGGGGTAGAGGCACAGGAAATGTGTGGTTTTTTTAAACTTCCTTTCCCTCAGTATGAACAGCCACAAAAGCTTTCTCAGAACCCTTCTTGATGTATCTCAGCTGCTGACATTGATCTTTCTCTTGTTCTGGGTGTGACTGGCTTATGTAATAATCAGAGGGCTCTGCCAAAGGTGAGCTCCACACCATATATTAAAAGCACTTTTATATCACTTTAAGCCAGACATAGGCAAACTTGGCCCTCCAGATGTTTTGGGACTACAACTCCCATCATCCCTAGCTAACAGGACCAGTGGTCAGGGATGATGGGAACTGTAGTCCCAAAAAACATCTGGAGGGCCGAGTTTGCCTATGCCTGCTTTAAGCAGTCATTGCTTCCCCCAAAGAATCCCGGGAACAAGAGTTTATTTATCACAGATCTACAGTTTCCAGCACCCCTTTGCTGTTCACACTATTGGAGAGGAATTTAAAGACCCCTTTGCCACGATCTGCACTTTGGGGGAAATGACTAATATGTATTTGGAATTCCTGGGGGATCAGAAGCTATGCTGAAGGAGACCATACAGAATGTTCCTGGAGGCTGGATTTGGCTGTCTACCTGGCACTCCAACCCTAAACCTACTCTAAACATTTCCCATTAAAACCACCTTATGTTCCACCCACCCATATTTATCATGTTTTCAGCAGACATCCTACACTCACTCTGACGCTCTGCCTCAGATACAGTAGCACTGTCCTTACACAGCCATCCAAATGATTAAATGAGTCGTCTTATGCATATTCAGTAGTCACCATTTGGTTAGCATTAATTTTCCTCCCAAATATTTGGAATTAAAAGATTGTTTTATCACACCAATAGGTGTGTGAAGTTTTCATATTAAATTAGCATATACAAATTAATAAGGGATAAGGCACTTTCAAATCACTTTCTCCATATTAAATCACTAGCTTGATTCCAGTTCCTTCAGATTGACCAGTTTGAGGATAACTGGCTAAGTATGTTATGCAAAGAAGGATAAAATAATTATTGGGGGAGGGGGAGAAGACACACACACAATAAATACGGGTTATTTTAATGAAAGAAACCTATTATCATCAGCATCAATCTTGCAAAAAAAATAAACTGGATTCTTTTCATAGTTCTGAACACCAGATTTTAATAGTTTTTTAAACAAAAATACAGAGACCATTATGTAGCAAACCACTGTCCTTAATAATATGTAACATCATTCCTACCTTGTTTTAATTCTAGTTTGTCAGTAATACTTTACTCATTATTTTTACATAATTCCAATAATTATAAACACAATGCTGCCATCTTAAAACTGCTTTTCTATAAATTGTAGAGAACATACAGAATTACAAAGTTATTGTCTTTTATCAAAATATACAAAGCCCTCAAACATAACAGAAGCTATTATTTCCCATATTAATTGCACAATTATAGAAAATTATAAAATTATCACTATGTATAAATATTACACATTATTGGCTTTGGTTTAGAATCATTCACATACATGTCATTTGAGAAAATGTCATAATTTACTTATTTGAAATGCCTCATGAAAATTATATTTCCTAATTGCAACCGTCTCAAACCAAAGCAGCTGTAGAACAACCCAGGGCACAATTAACTTCCTTCAATATTGGTTTCAGTTGTGTGAAATAGTTACTTCCTGTGTATTGTCCCCTAAAACAAGCAGGTAAGTGTATTAGTAGCTCTCTATGCTAGGTGGAGCTGAGAATCTAAATACTAATATACAAGGTCAGTGCCAGGTGTGGTATAATGGATATTCTTTAGAACATTCCTGTTCTATGAAATGTAGACTATAAGGTTGTATCACTAAGCAGATTGTGCCCATTGCACAAGTTTTCCTATATCCTCCACCACACACACCCCTAAATCTGTTCTACGTTTCCCTCCAACCCTCCAGAGATTATGGGGCAGCATGGGGCACATATAGCTGTGGGGAACCCCTTAGCACTAGTGTTAATGCTTAAAGGTAAAGGACCCCGTAGCTGCATACAGCCCTGTGGGCTTCTACTGCCTTAGAATCTGAAATGTATTTATTTCCCTTTTTGTATTCCTACAGGACAATCCTAAAGCTGGCCAGAAGCCAGTGCAGGGGTTGTTGGAAGCTGAGTAAGTGCCACTCCTAAAGGCCACCCATATGCCTAGGCAAAATGCTATGGGTGTGGATGTGTGTTGGGGGGAAGAGTGTAGGGGGAAACAGAATGTTTCAGGGGTGTGTCAAGGGTACCTCTTTACCCTAGCCCTGGCATGGCCAAACTTGGCCCTCCTGCTGTTTTGGGACTACAATTCCCACCATCCCTGACCACTTGTCCTGTTAGCTAGGGATGGTGGGAGTTGTAGTCCCAAAACAGCTGGAGGGCCCAATTTGGCCATGCCTGCCCTAGCCTGTGGCACCTGAGACATGTGCTTTCAAGGCCCATCCTATTCCTGTGATTGCAATCTGTTTTAACTTTTTAATTTTAAATTGTTGTAACCTGCTGGTGAAGGATGGGTAATAAATTTGATGATGATAAGGATATGTTTGCAGAGGCTGTGGAGGTCCTAAGCCCCCTCATTTCCCTGGCATGTCCTTGAAAAGGAGCCAAAACTACACCAGCCCTGGTGCTGACATAGCAATTTCCCTCTATTAGCATCAATGGGGAGGAATAGCAATTAAGAATGGAATAATAAAAAGAGAGAATAAACATTGCTAGCCCCAGCATGGTCACAGCTAGCTGGCTGGGCTTCAGATGTGGCTCTACACAGAATCTCTTCACCACCATAGGATTGTTGTCTTAAAGGTCTGTCGTTCTTTTTCCTGACATAATATATTTCATAAAATTCTTGTCTTCCTGAATATTTCTCTTGAGACCTCGGCTCCTTTTTATTTATTTCCCTATCAACCCTATTATTAATTTGTAGCCCTAGAGGCCTTACCAGTGATTGTGAGGAAAACACAACCTATCTCCCCCAAACAAGATATTTCTACTATTCTTAAGACAGCTTACCTTCCCCTTCATATTACCTAATATGCAGTGCCATCAGGCCTGATCAAATTAAATAAAAGTGCATAACTAATGGAAAAGACCAAATATTTTCTTAATAGGATGGGTGTTAATTGTCTGCTGAAGAATCTTCCAAGACTTGTTCCCTCTGTTTCTAAAGTTCTGAGGCAAATACTGATCCTTTCGTAGCCTATTTGGCCCCATCCATGCCAAGAGGGAGGTATCAGCATGGATAGGGGAGCTCCAAGGTTTGCAGAAGTACAAAACAAAGCAGAATTAGAGGGGGAACCCAAAACAGCCAGTTGAGGAATTGAGTGCACTCAGTGGCCATGGAATGTTAAATGACAATTATGACACAAAAAACTGGGTGGTAGCAGAAATGGAATATGGTATCTTAGAGGAGGACATCTGATTGAACTCTAAGCAGGAAAACATTTTGTTGCAGGGTTTTTGCCAGGTCAATGGGGAAGAAAGGAATAGCTGTATATAGGAGATGTGCATGGATTTTCACATGAAAGTTATGGACTGACTGCTGTTGTATACACACCTGGTCAGGGATGAGAGTGGGAGGGAGGGAAGAGGGTTCAGCCCTATGAACTGTCTGCCTTCTCTAGCTGTGTGATCAAGCTATCCACCTGATAGCACTAATATATAACAAGCCTGTGACACACTTGCAGTACACTCTTAATAACATAGTGATTTATTAGAATCCATCCTCACATATATGAGAATGAATGAATGGTTCGGACTCTTAATAGTCATAATCCACCTCAATGGGAAATCATTTAAAAGATACTAACATGTTTAAATTAGGCATATTTTTTCTTCTATGAGACATAAATGTCTACTTCTATAAAATTCTCATTTTAGCTTTTTCTGGCACATTTTTTCATGTAATATATTAAATATATTTAAATGCAATACCTCAAGTTTTAGAACTTCCGTAAGTCTAGACTATTATTATTGTCTATTAATTAAGTACTCGTACTTCTGGTCTCTCTTCTTTCTGTTTTCTTTGCCTGTTGTGTGTTTTTCTTACTCAAAGTCCAACATCTGATGCATCATTCTGAATGCTAGTTGCCTCCTGCCCATCTGCATCAATTGCATTTTGACTTAGTAAAGGTTTAGCTGTTTCCTGCCCATCTGAGTCAATGAAGTGTTGACTTGCAAATGGCTTAGTGCTTTCATGAAATGGATAATTTTTTCTATCCTCTTGCTTGGAGCTTTTGAACAAATGTTTCTTCTGGTGCATTCCAAGGGCTGCAGCTGTCTTGCAAACTTTTGGGCACTGAAAACAAGCATATCCCTTCCCGCTATGCTCACGTTTATGCTTTTGCTCATGATTCTTTTTGGTAGAAAGGTACAAGAAGCTCTGGAAGCAAAACTGACAGTGGTAGCGCTTTTCACCTGTGTGGATTCGCTCATGTATTTTGAGTGTTTCATTTAGAGCGAATGCCTTGTTGCAGTACTGACAGACAAACTCCTTGACATTTGAGTGGGTGTGTTCATGCTTCTGCAAGTTTCCTGCTACTGAAAACCTCTTCCCACAGGTTTTGCAAGGGTAGGGCTTCTCTCCTGTATGACATCGCATATGCATCCTTAGAGCAGATGGGCTCTGGAACCCCTTTTGGCATACCTCACAAATATAGGACCCAGAAGTAGTTCTCTCCCAGTGTAAATGCTCATTGGCTCCTTCAGTAGAAGAGCTCTCTCTTTTACAGAGTTCACAGGGAAGACTCGGCATTCCGCCATCATCTTCCTGATTAGGGACCTTTTCTTCAGGAATGTTCCTAAGTGCATAACTTGTGACGCATGGCTTTTCACTTTCTCTGTAGGAGTTTCTGCTTTTGTACTTCTCTCTCCATTTTGCCTTTCTCATTTTCCTTAGTTGTTTAGATTTCTTTTTTGGTTTGTAATTGTAATATGGGCGCCACGGTTTATCATTGGAGTCATGGTCGCTTACATCATCACACATTTCATTGAGTTCAATGTAGTCTGGTCGACAAACTCGAGGCGTACTTCTCTCTCTTTTTTCCCGTTCTGCAGCCTGAGTAGCATGATCTTCTCTGGATTCATATTTAGGTCTCCTTCCTTTTTTGTAAAACAATTTTGACCCCAAAATTTGTCTTTTCACAATGGCTTCATTCCCAATTTTAACTGTTATTTGACACAGAGGAGCCACGTTGCTATTGGCAGATGTTCCTGGCACTGCAGGTTTTGCAATGTAGGTTTCCGTCTTACTCGAAGGTTCAAAGATACCAGTGGGTCTGTCGGAGATTTCTGTATTTGTCATATATTTTAATTCCTCTGACGTCTCTTCTTTGTCAAACAGTGGTACTTTTTTCTTTTCCTTATTGCTTCTTGTCCTACCATTGCTTTTGAGATCATCTGACCCATGTATGTGGTCACTGCTTGCCCCTTGGCTGGCCGTAATATCTGGGGCTGCTATAATGCTGCTTCCTATTGCATTGACAGAGTTACTGTGCATTATTACAGATGAAACTCTACCCTGGTGCACTATTACAGGGGATGCTGAATTATTGTAGTTAATAACAGAGGTTGGATTTTCATTGGCATTGCTACTACTAAACGTTTGAAGAGAGGGATCATATTCCTGAGGACCAGAGTTAAGTTCTGTGAAAGGCAATGGCCTTTCCGTAGTATAAGTATTATTTTTAAGGTCTGATTCTGATGTACCACATTCCCAGGAAGAACTGTTTGGAGGGTTCACAGGTGCTGCCCTTGCATCACTACATGAAGAGGTTTCCAAGGAGACACTTGTGTTTGAAAAATTCAATTCAGAAGTGACAGTATTCTGAACGATGCAGGTACTAGAAGGTATTTCATTAACTTGCACATTTGCTTGCATACTTTCATATGTTGAGTTTCCGTAACTTTTATACGGCGCTCTTTTGCATTTCATAGGCAAAAGCCTATAAAGTTTGTAAGGATATACACTTGGCTTCAAGCCGCCATTGGCCGTTTTCTTATTAACTCCAAGCCGATGGTCAATTGCATGGAAAGATTTCTGGTGGTTTTTGAGTATGTAATACGTCATAAAGGTCTCAAGGCAGAAGATACACTGGTATCGCCTTTCTCCTGTGTGCCAGATTTCGTGTCTGGTACGGTATTCCGCCAATGCAAATACTTTGTTGCAGTAATGGCAAGGGTAAGTCCTTCTCCACGAATGGACATTTGAATGTCTTCGGAGGCTAGACAAGGTGACATAGGTCCGTTTGCAGACATTGCAAGTATAAAGCATTTGTCCATCAACGACGTTAACAAAGTGGTCCGTTTCTGGCATTGCGGAGTTTGTGACAGAATAATCGGGAAGATTGTTTTCTGTCATTGCAGGCTCTAGGTTCACATATGAGGTGCCAGTTTTTCCATTAGAAGCTGCAAAATTATCTAAACAACTCTGCTCATTTTCACTTGGAGCACACAAGCTGCCCAATTCCCTGCATACTTGCTCATGTGTCTCTAGTCCGGTAGCACTTTCAAATTGTTTGCTGCAGTACCTGCAGACTAAAGGTTCTTGGGGTTGTGGGTGAAGTTGAAGATGAGTGCAGAACTGAGTCCCATCATTAAGTGGTTTGGTGCAACAGTTATAGACATGTGGAATGACTGTGACTACTGATCCAGAAATGTGATCCGATTTATTTTCATCTTCCTTCGAAGGGAGGACGGTATTTGGGTGGGATTTAGCGAAAGAAATTGTGTGATCATTTACTGCTTTGTGGTGACCTTCCGCACTGGTTCCTTTGTGGTTTGATCCCTTTGCTGCAGGTACTTCACTGTCATGGGAGTTATAAGTAGCCTTTGGCATACTGTATGTTTGAATTACGGATTCAGCCAGAGGCATTGACTGGACAGCTTCAGGTTCTTCTTCACCCATTTTACAAGCGGTGCTATTTCATTGTTATAAAAGGAATTTCGTTGAAAAGAATCAAAACCTGTAGTAACAGCATAGGAATGTTCCGCTAATGTGCTGGCTGGCTCCACATCTTTGCAAGCCCCATTCCTATCCTGACCAGTGCTGGGTGCTTTATTTGCTTCTGGAATTTTTTTAAAACTTGCTCTCAGATCAAGAGGAGAAAACAAATTATTACTATTTTCTGTCTCAAAAATTGAGTATGCATTTGTGATTCTTGGTCCGTTTGTGATAGCTGAATCGTCTTGTCTTTTTTCTTCTTTTACTTCACCCTTTTCACTATTGCAAAATGAGTATGGGCAAGGAGAACTTGAAGGCCCTTTTTCCATAAGATCTTCTAGAAAGGATATTCCCAGTTTTTTCCCTGCAGCTGCAAGGTCTAGGACAGTCTCCTGCTTTTTAACAACTACAGTGGAACTGTAGATATAATTGAGTATTTCTGTGAACACTTCAGCCTTGAGGTCGTTTAGCTCTAGTACATGTCCAGAAATACATGCAGCACGACTCAAAAGTATATTTTTGAAATAAAGGCTTGAAGCAGCCAAGACGTTGCTGTGGGCTTTAAATTTGGTGTCTTCCACAATTATAGTAACATCACATAAAACACCCCGATTGCGTTGTTCATTTAGGATGGAAAGGACTGTGTCACTGTGGAAGTTGTCTTTGAGATCCTTTAAGTGGGACATGATGGTCAGCTGTATAAAATAAAAAGAGACAAAAAAGTTAACTGGATCAAAAAGCAGTATCATGTGCTGTTCAGTGACATCTCAATGCTTTATCTGACAACATTGCTCTTTCAAAAGACTATTGCACTATTCAATCTATAAGGATAATAAAATCATTTTCTCTAATAAAGAACTTGGTGATTCTATATGCTAACCAGCAGGTCAGTGAAAATGTAGACAGAACAAGAAATTCTGCATACTCATATGACTCCTCAGTTTTGCAGGAATTTTTTAAAAATTATTATTCTTTAAAGACATTTCTATGGGGAGGATTGGAGAGGAAATGCTTCTTCCATTCTTAATTTACTACCCCTCCAATATCTCTCTAAAGGGGCAGGCAGAGTCCCTAATAGCTTAAAGTAGTCTTTGACAACCTGATGGAGCAATCTAAAAATGAAGGTGAAGGCAAATAAATTTAAAAGGGGAATAAATGGATTTTAAGCTCCCCCTAATGGATACTGTGTACAGTATTTTCTTAATTTTTTTATATCATTATTATAGGTTTGCCCCCCATTTATGTGCAATCAACTCACACACAACCATGTACACAAACAGCGCCAGTAAATAAGTAATTCAAACCCGGAAATGGCGGGGGAGAGCTGGAGAGTCCCTGTGGCTCATGAGGAGAACCTCCGCAGAGCCAGAAGAGGATGTAAGTGAGGGCGAAGGAAGCCCCTAAGAGACCAGAGGTGTAGCGGGGCTTTGTTTGTGCTGCTAAGCCTCCCCGCCTAACAGCCACCGCGGCCTTTCAATGCATCCTCCAGTCTCCGGCTAGTCCCAGAGCTTCAGTTCTAGTTGTGAATAATTTTGGTGCAATTCTTCTTTGTACCTAGCTCCCCACTTCACGTGATTTCACTTATGTGCACAGAGGCTTGGAACGTAGCCCCCGCGTAAGTGGAGGGACACCTGTAGTAATTTCATTTATGAATCACTTTATGTGAAGCATCTCAAAGCAATTTCAGCAATGCAATAAAACATATATAAACAGTTGCATATATAAAAACAATTACAGATATGAAAATGGTTAAAACAATTTACATATATAAAAATTTCAGATCCAGTACAGATATTGAACGTCTGCTTCAAAAGCTTTCCCCCCCTTGTGTTGTAGTAGTACTGTGCAGTTTTCTCTTCCGACTTAGAAAGGTTGTTGTCTGCACATCATTGCCAACTTGTTCAGTTTAAATATTTTGATAATCTCAGGATCATGGGGTTGAACCCCATGTTGGACAAAAGATTCCTGCATTGCAGGGGATTGGACTAGATTACCCTCATGGTTGCTTCCAACTGTACAATTCTATGATTCCATGATCACTGTACAATGACAACACCGGGCAGGGGGTGGGATGGAAGGAGGCACAGAAGAAGCAAAGTGCACTGGGGAGGGGAGGCAAGCACATGGAAAAGTACCTTTCCTTCCAGTAATCACAGGGGTCCAGCTGTGGTCAGGAGGTGGGGGTAATATATCTACCAGAGAGGAGGGAGGTTTTCATTCTTACTCTCCCTTTCACATCAACTATGTCACTAAAGATGGGAATTATCTGTGGGATTGAGTGTAGGTATGTTGTAGGTATGTTGTAGGTATGTAGGTATGTAGGATGAAATGTATGTTTGTTTGTATGTGTATTAATGTTGAATTATTTTAACAATAAAAAATTAAAAAAAAAAATAAAGTACAAAAAAGAAAAAAAGAAAAGATGACTCTCAGCGCAAACCTAGGCACATTTACTCTGAAATAAGTCTGAATGAATTAAATGTGACACACACCCAGGTAAATGTGTATGAGTGTACCCTAAACTATTCAGGTTTCTTCCCAGGTAAGTGGGTACAGAATTACAGTTTACCATCCTTTGCAGCAAAGAGCAAATATCTTGTTCCCCCACTGCAAACATTCCCTCTGAATGAACCGCTTCACTCCCGTAACCTCTTCTAGAAAGACATATTTCATATGCAACAAAGGGAGTAAATACAGATAAAGTGAGTTTTCTTCCGCACTGATTTGATGGTCCTTCATTTTCATTATGGTTAATAATAATAATTTATTATTTGTACCCTGTCCATCCAGCTGGGTTGAATCTTGTGCACCAAATTCTTTAAAAATAAACCACCATGGTTCCAAGTTTTTATGGATACAAAGCTTATCTTAACCATCTCTGTCAGAGACTGAGAAGCGAAATTATCACAAGACAGTGTAATAAGCTTTAAACAGGCCTGATCTCTAATTGCCCTGTTCCAATTAAAGGCCTAGAAGTCCTGGTGAGGAAACTGAAACAGCTGAGCAATCAAAATCCATAGGATTGTTAGAGCCTGTGAAAACAAAAACTGCACTAAATGAGACAGTTTCAATTAACCCAGAGACAGAGAGGGAAGCACTTGTGTATTAGAACTTGCAGTAGAGGAGCATTCAGACTGAATGTTTGGAATTGAAAGACAGGTTATTTGCTTTTGCTGCAAAGGATGGCACACTGAGGCTACAATTCTTTACCCACTTACCTGAGAGTAAAACTGTTGAACTCAATTGGGCTTACTTTTGAGTATACATGAATAGGCCTGCACTGTGAAAGACTTAAAGTCTATTTTGTGTAGGCAAAAGCAGTCAGGGAGTGGTAATGGAAGATGTACATTAAGAACTTTTATGCCCAGTCCTGGAAAACAAGACAAGTATTAAATGGCAATTTCGAAAGCAAAGAAGCTGTGTATATAAAAAGGTAAAGGTACCCCTGCCCGTACGGGCCAGTCTTGCCAGACTCTAGGGTTGTGCGCTCATCTCACTCTATAGGCCGGGAGCCAGCACTGTCCGGAGACACTTCCGGGTCACGTGGCCAGCGTGACAAGCTGCATCAGGTGAGCCAGCGCAGCACACGGAACGCCGTTTACCTTCCTGCTAGTAAGCGGTCCCTATTTATCTACTTGCACCCGAGGGTGCTTTCGAACTGCTAGGTTGGCAGGCGCTGGGACCGAAGGACGGGAGCGCACCCCGCCGCGGGGATTCGAACCGCCGACCTTTCGGTCGGCAAGTCCTAGGCACTGAGGCTTTAACCCACAGCGCCACCCGCGTCCCTGCTGTGTATATACTTAGATAAAAAAGACCGTTGTAGTTTAAATATAAGGGTTAAATTTTTGGCACTACCTATAAAGTATTGTTATATGTTGTTTATAAAACTATATTAAGATGCTAGCTTTAAAATATAAAACAATTTTGAAATGCATTTGGCAAAGGTCAGCAGTAAAATCAGTGGCACCCCCCCACACACATATAGCTTAAGAGGAATTGTGAAATACAGTCTTATCAGAACAGCAAATGGACAAATTTCATAGCATTTTGCAAGTACAGTTTACAAGGTACATAACTTAAATCAATAATTTATGTCATCTTTATTGGATAATTAATTTAGGACCATATTCTGAAATTTGAATATAAAACCACACATATAAAACCAACTGGACTACTTTTTGTAGAAAACTGTATCTGCGCCATTATGTTGGCCATTAAAAATAATAAATCAAAACTCAGTGGATGTATCCCGATATATGCCGACACTAAAGTTGTTCCTCCTCTTTCATATCCATAGATCTCAAATATTAACACAGAAAAGGAAATGTTAGCTAACAGTAATCAGAAAGTTACTGACCTGAAATTTGCATTAGTTAACATAGCTCTGGTTGGTCCCATATATGGAAACTTACATAATTATGGAGCTGGATGTACAAGAAAAGATCTAGAACATAAAAAGTACTGACAAGACTCCTGCTTTAGGCAAGCAGCCACAACCCTACAGATAACACTGTATTAGCAACTGTTCTTCCTGTAGACAAGGTCTGAGATTACGTCAGCTTTGCTCATGTGATACGGAATTAGAAGCACAAGCTTCTGACGTCTAAAGTAGATTTCACAACTGAAGCTATTGATAGGGGTTATTTTTCAAGTCCAGAAATACATGTTGTCAACTTTTCCTCTGGATGTTCATATTGACAAAACATTACTGAGCTGATCTCCTGCCCACTCACTCCCGTGGATGATGCAGCACAGCAACCATGCTTTTCAAAGGAAATACGGCATAACTGTTCCTAAGTAGTAAGGTACTGGTGCTTGAGAATACAGAGGAAGGCTGATTTCTAATAAGTAGAGGAAAATAATAGGTGCCATATAAACATGTTGGGAACCCAATTGAGTTAGGAGGAGGAGTTTGGAGCAATGATGTAGTGGAGCAGGGATGGACAGGGACGAAGTACAGTGGTACCTCGGGTTACATACGCTTCAGGTTACATACGCTTCAGGTTACACACTCCTCTAACCCAGAAATAGTGCTTCAGGTTAAGAACTTTGCTTCAGGATAAGAACAGAAATTGGGCTCCGGCGGCGCGGCAGCAGCGGGAGGCCCCATTAGCTAAAGTGGTGCTTCAGGTTAAGAACAGTTTCAGGTTAAGAACGGACCTCCGGAACGAATTAAGTACTTAACCTGAGGTACCCTGTAATGCTATTTATTTCACAGCTGAAATTATGGGGTCATTTCCTGGGGTGCTATTTACCAGTCCTCTGCATGACAACTAAATAAGGGTTTTCCCAGAGAGAAACCCAACTAAAAAATATGGAGCCCTCCATTGCTTATGCTACTTTTAAAACCACTCTGATGAGCCATAGACGCTGTAGTAATAACTGAAGTGAAAGCAGTAATCATTTTTGTTGTAGCTGTTGTTGACACAAGAACCAGTCAATCAGCTGTATGTTCAACATTTCAGAAAAATAGCTTTCCCCTCCTTCAGATCTGGAGAAGGTTGTAACGTACTTCTGACCAAAATGTGTTGAGCAGACTTCCATTGCAACCTAACCCCTAGAAGGATGTATGTTTTGAATTCCCCTCAATTCCATGAAACTCTATATGAAATCCCACACAACCCACTCGCCAATTATTCAGCATATCTTCTGTTTGTCTGTGTCTCATAACATATTCTCTGTCTCTTGCATACATAACCACAAGATGGAGCTAGGTACAAAGAAGTATTGCAGCAAACTAGTGGAAAGAAAAATTCCTGACGTAATTTCAATAATGTGAATGAGCTATTCATAAATAAGCTGTTAGCTATTAGCGGCTTATGATTAATAAACAACACTTTTTATTTTACCCTTAGCATCAGCATCTTTATTTACTGAATTTGTTGTGGAACTAGAAATTGTCTTCACATTTCTTTAACGTGGTGTTTCCTGCTTATGGATAATGGCTGTCAAGCAATAATTTAGACCAAGGCTGTGTGTCTGTTTCAATACAGCTATTTCCCAAAATTATCCTCAAATCATTATCAATATCCCATTCTGCGTTTAATATGGCTAAAATAATCTTTTTGTTTTTGTTTTAATTGGAAAAAAATAGTCCTAGACTGAAAGAAGTCATGGTCGCCATGTTTGTTGTGGGCATGTGGGCTGACAGTATAGTAGCAAATCAAAGTGTAGGGATTAGCATATTGCACACGTCATGACAACAATCATGGGGCTGTGTTTCAGTAACCATATAATATCGGTTGTTCTGCAATTGGCTGAGACATCGTTGTTATCTCTTTAAATGTGAAACTGCTTTAGAAATTGTGGGAGGCAATGGTATATCACATCTCACTTCTTCTGCAATAGGGCACAAGGATTGAGCACCAGTCTAGATCCTTAAAAGAGGCTAGCTTTTGATCTGTTTATATTTCTCTAATATTACAGCCCTGACAAGAACCCAAACCACAAATAACACCACTGGGTATTTAATGTACTGTACATACAAAAGAACATAGCCAAGCTTAGAATAACACAAGCAAGGTCTTGGAAAAGTAGGGTTTTGTCTTATAATTTGAAATGTATTTGTTTGCTGCCTGCATGCGTTTGCTTAGAAAGGTATTTGCTGCTATTTGGGGCATGATCCAGTTAAACACTTTGAAGTCGCTTGTTTTCAAGCACATGCTTAATCTCTTCTGCTGAAATCCATGTGATTCAAAAGAGCTTTTGGCTGGATCATGTCCTATGTTTGTTTTCTTGTACTTAAAAAAAGGATATTGGCTAAGCATTTACAGGCTTAATTATTATTATAATAATAATACACAAAGAGAGAGAATTTACACACAGAGAGAGAGGGAGAGAGGGAGAGAGAGAGAGAGAGAGAGAGAGAGAGAGAGAGAGAGAGAGATGAACTATGACCTGGGAGACTAGGGTTCAAATCTCCGCTCAGCCATCCAGCCAACTGGGTGACCTTGGGCCAGTCACTGCCTCTCAGCCAAACCTACTTCACAGGGTTGTTGTGAGGATAAAATGGGGAGGAGAACCATGTGCAACATCTTGAGTTCCTTGGGAGAAAAGGCGGTATATAATGAAATAAATAAATAAATAAATAAACATCTATACATACCTATACACACACACAAAATGTAATTTGCATGCCTGCAAATGATGCTGCAAAGAAAATGAAGCGCTCCCAGAGATAATATCTGTAAAAGAAATACATACATTACGAAATGCAGTATAATTGAAAAGGTGCTACAATTAAAATGTTTGAGTTTGCAAATGACAGGCACAAAATTAAGGGCACACGTGCCACTATTTCCTGAAACACTCCACAAATGATACGTATTTTGAGCTGCCTGAATGGTCAGCATTCATCAGCTCCAGCTGCCGAGGCCTGCAGTCGCTGTTGGCACATGCTCAGAACTTGATTACTTTAATCACTTACTAGGATTCGGCCAGGGAAACCCAGGTTCAAATATTTTCTCAGGCATTAAGCTAAACTAGGTGACTGTGGATCAGTCACTACGTCTCAGCCTAACCTCGTTTCCGATACCATCAGATGTGGAGGGAATGGTGGCCCAGGAGAGTGCTTTTTCGGTGGCAGCCCCTAAATTGTGGTTTCAAAAGAATACAGGTCTACTTCTCTGCTGAGTCATTTCCCCTTCTACTTCTGTCTTCTTGCAGCAGCTCTTCTTGCAAAGGACCAGAGCTGCAATTGCAAGCTTTGCACTACATCAAAGCTCTTTCCCCTCTCAACTGAGCAGGCAATCAGGGCTAGGTCCCTGGGACTTGTTCTGCTGCCGCCTGCGCTACAGTTGTCAAGAGGCACTGCAAGCATGCACATGCACAAAATAAGAACTTTGAAAAAAGAATCCTAAATTGCGTTTCTCTCTGTTAATTATAGAGAAAAAGTCATGATTAGTGGGCCAAAGACTGTTTGAGTTGATGGAGGCTTGCATATCATGAAGTTGGTTTGTAGTTCAAAATATACATCTCCTAGAAAAACGCAGAACAATTAAGGGAATTAAGGAGCTAAAAAATATATATCTAAATGTTGACTGATTCAGTATACCTTCGGCAGTCTTACAGTTATGCGTTAACTGTAGTACAGTGGTACCCCAGGTTAAGTACTTAATTTGTTCCGGAGGTCCGTTCTTAACCTGGAACTGTTCTTAACCTGAAGCACCACTTTAGCTAATGGGACCTCCTGCCGCTGCCGCGCCGTCGGAGCACAATTTCTGTTCTTATCCTGAAGCAAAGTTCTTAACCTGAAGCACTATTTCTGGGTTAGTGGAGTGTGTAACCTGCAGCGTATGTAACCCGAGGTACCACTGTATACGGTATGGCATACTTCATAAAGCAAGAGTGAGAAATGTGGGTCAAATGGTTTTGTGGACTCTCACCAAGCCATACATCCCCCTGAACCACACACACTCCACCCAGGACACACCCCTCACCCGTCCTCCTTTCCACCCTCCTTGCCTCCGGCCCCACCCACCACTGGCATGTGACCTCTAGGAGATTCCCCCAAAGGGAATGTGACCTTTGAGCTGAATCCTCCACCACACCAGAGGACCTCAAGCTAGTGTAGGGGGTGCCGGACAGACCATGTGGCACACATAGCTCTTGTCATCCAACAGATGGGATTGCTTGAGAGCTGCCACCCTCCGCAACACTCCATCAGCTGTTGCCTGAGGCAGTCACCTGACTCTAGCTAATAGGAGGTCCGGCTCTGTTAGTGGTAGAGCACATGCAGAAGGTCCTATGTTCAGCATCCACTTAAAGGATCAGGCAGAAGTAGACCTGTGCTGTGCAGCTTCATGTGAGAATAACCAAGAGCAACCAAAACGCATAAAAATCAAACTTATTCAAGGCAATGAAGGAGTGGCTGATTGCACGGGTATTCTTTTGAGATGCATGCTGATTTTTCTGATTGCTGGGGTCATTCAACAGGCCATGAGCACAGTGGGCCAGCACAAGACATTCTTGCTGGACCTGTAGGTGCCTCCCTCCATTGCACATATAGATGTTGACCAGACTGCCAGTTACTTCAAAACTGGGGGAAGGACAGCATCTTCCACTGCAACTGGGGGCAGTTTAGGGGGCAAGGGACAGGCAGCACGCACAGATCTGCCTTCCAATACTTCATTGCTGCTTGCTATCTGCTCCATTAGGCAGTTGGCAAAAGCTGCAGTGCAGCAGCAGTGGTGCCAACATGTACAATGTGAGCAGAGCAACACATTCACACGTGCAATGGCTGCTGGGTGTGTGGAGCTTGTACTGGTAGCCTCACAGTCTGCTTGCTCAGTCTGGGCTTTTTTTCAAGCTGCTGGAAGAAGGTGACGTAGCCAGACAGAAGAAGCCAGAACAAGCAAGCAAAATCATCACCAGCTCATGGGAATTAGGGTGGCTGCTGCCATATCACCCAGCCCAGTATCTACCACCTGAGGCAGCCGCCTCCCTTTGCCTAATGGTAGGGTTGACCGTGTGAGCTTCCCAAAGCATCTTGCCGGCCATGGCTGGAGGCAAAAAACTGGTATTGATGGGCTCTTGGTTTGTTACAGCTATGAAATTTTCAATGTTCTTTTCCTTCTGAGTCTGCTGATGATAGTAAGAAAACTGCTTGGAAAATTACATTAAAGTGAGATAGTTCCCCTAATCAATGGTTTTTATGTTTAACACTGAGCAATGGATTTTTTTACTTCTTTATTTCTTAAGATATTAAATTTACACACTGCCCTTCATCTGAAGAGGACAGAGTGGTTTGCAGCAAGTAAAGGTTAAGCAGGCTCAAATATAAACAAGATTTCCTGTGTCCGTCCATCCCGCCCACCCTCCTGCATTCGCATTATGGAGAAGGAAGTTAAAACAGCTGCATGTAGCCTTGTGCAGGGCAAATAAATTAATCCACATGGTTTAAGTCTGTGGTTCCATGGTGGAAAACACCATTTGCTGTTTCTGCTGAAGAGGTTTCAATATTATATCCATCTTTGCAGTGTGATTTTTCCAGCTGACAGTAACTACTGTTATGAGGTTGTGAACCAGAACTGAAGGTGCCCATTCTCTTTTGTTGTACATTTTCTTGTGTTTAGCTGTTGCCTCAGCTGGTAAGCTTCACACAAAAGCACCAAGTAAGAGCCACAACCCAACATATAAGAAGTCACACTAGACCAGGGGTCAGCAAACTTTTTCAGCAGGGGGCCGGTCCACTGTCCCACAGACCTTGTGGGGGGCCGGAATATATATATATATATATATATATATATATATATATTTGGGGGGGAGAGAATGAATTCCTATGCCCCACAAATAACCCAGAGATGCATTTTAAATACAGTGGTACCTCGGGTTACATACGCTTCAGGTTACAGACTCCGCTAACCCAGAAATAGTACCTCGGGTTAAGAACTTTGCTTCAGCATGAGAACAGAAATCGTGCTCCAGCAGTGCGGCAGCAGCAGGAAGCCCCATTAGCTAAAATGGTGCTTCAGGTTAAGAACAGTTTCAGGTTAAGAACAGACCTCCGGAACGAATTAAGTACTTAACCCGAGGTACCACTGTAAAAGGACACATTCTACTTGTGTAAAAACACTCTGATTCCCGGACTGTACATAGGCCGGATTTAGAAGGCTATTGGGCCGGATCCGGCCCCCAGGCCTTAGTTTGCCTACCCATGCACTAGACCATGTTTTATTGTGACGGAAACAAGCTCACAGTGTGGGCAAAGCTGCTATGCCAGCTTCCAGGAAGGTCGGTCACTGTTGCTTATGGGGAGAAGTTGGCATGGAACAATCCAGCATAGCTGAAAGTGGTTTGGGAAAACAACCTGCAGGCCAAACTGGGATCCATGCCAGGCTTAATTGAGTCTGTGGGCTGCAGGCTCCCCACCCCTGCTGTATCGTATCAAGATATAAACAGGTGTGAGGTAGCAGCACCCTGATGTCCACTGATATCCCTAAGGTATATAGCAAAGCATCCTGACAAAGCTTCGTAAGTGGTAGCAATGTGTTCAGGGATGTGAATGACAAGAGATTTGGGAATTCAACTCTTTCCATGATCGGGGCCTTGAGCGAGCTTCTGCAGATCTGTTTTCTTCAATAACTGCAGTACCAATCCTTTGAGAATGGAAAATTCTCTCCCAGGTACTCTCTTCCTAAGCGCAGCTCTGAGCAATTTCCCCTCCCCTAACCATGCATTAATTATTATGAGCCCATGCTATAGGAGTGCGCATGCCCCAGCGCACCTCTGCAGCTTTGTTCGTTTCCCCTTTATTGCTATGTGGTTGTCAGGAAATGGGTGACGGCACACATTAATCCTGGATAAAAGCTTGAGTAGCCGCTTAGGGCCACTGCCTATACAAAATTCATTTATTTCTTCTTATTTTTTAATTAAAATTCTATACCGCTCTTTGTCCAAAGATCACAGGGCAGTTTACAATATAAAAACACAAAAAAATCATGCCACAGTAACAAACAAAACAGTTAGGTAGCCGTGTTGGTCTGACACAGTCGAAATAAATAAATTAGTCCAGCAACACCTTAGAGACCGACTAAGTTTGTTCTGGGTATAAGCTTTCGTGTATCTGAAGAAGTGTGCATGCACACGACAACTAATACCTAGAACAAACTTAGCTGGTCTCTAAGGTGCTACTGGCCTATTTTTTTTTATTTAAACAAAACAGTAATAATAATAATAATAATTTATTATTTATACCCCGCGCATCTGACTAACACACCATAGATAGTTTAATTAGCCAAAGTTGTGGGAGAAGAGGAATATTTTTGCCAGGTGCCTAAAGATACATAAAGAAGGTGCCAGTCAAGTCTCCCTGGGATTTGTCGCCAATCTATAGCTGCTCCACCATACCCTCAATGATATATCTTGCTATAGGGTCATGATAATATAGCAATCATAGATTCATCTAAGAATGGTGCTGTTTTACTACAGCAACATGGTTAGTTGCTCACTTTATTTACACACTGGGCCAAGCTGTCTAGTAAAACAGTGTTTTCTATACAGAAATTATAGACTTAAAGGCTATTTTCTAAAACATACATTTCCACCACATCTTTTGAATGTTCTTTTTATGTTGCTGCTTTAAATCAACTTCATCAAAAAAATTAATTGCTGTAGTAATCAAGTAGAAAAGTACTCCAACAAGGATTTGTTTCAGACCAATACGTATGCCCATTTCCTATCACTATCTAGTTGTAGACGGATCATAGCTGAGTTGTCAAAGTCAAGTGGATATAAATTGGTCACGTGGCAACGTTATCTCACTTACCAACAACTGTACCCGAAACAGCCGGCAACCATAGGGCTGGAGCCTGAAGAAGAAATCTAGGCGAAAAAAGGATGGAGTTGCCCAAATCAGAACTTGAATCAGGATGACACATTAACAGCACAATCCCATGCATGTTTTCCCATAAGTAAGCCCCACTATGCTCAGTACTCCTTAATCTCAGGAAAGTGGGTACAGGATTGCAGCCTAACTGCCCAGACTGCCCAAGGTTTATAGGTCAATGTCAGCAACCTAAATTTCATACAAAAATAAAATAAAATACTGGAAGTCAATACAGATCCAGACTCGGGCATAATAGAAAAGGAGAGCTTCTTGCTAAGAGAACAAGCTGCAGCAGTCCTCATGATTACATGCTCCATAATACATTTCTATTATGATTTGCGGCACTTACGATAGCGGCAGTTTTATTTTCAATGTCTTTCCTAGTGATTCCTAGTATGGAATTTTCCTGTAGCAAGTAAATTTCCTGTAGCAAGTAAATTGCGGGGGGTGCAAAAACCTTGTGTGTCATTTCCATCTGTTGTGGCACTCAGTCAGGAGGAGAAGGGTTAAGAAGGCACGGGTGGATGCAAAAGAGGCAATAGGGTGCGATCCTATGAGGCATGTGCTTCCATGCATCTTCAACATGTTGCCTGGGCCTCTCTGGAGAAGCACAGGATTAAAATCTAACTAAAAATAGCAGTTGCCTGCATTTGTTTAGAGCAGTGTTTCCCAACCGGTGTTCCGCGGCACACTAGTGTGCCGCGAGGTGTTGCCTGGTGTGCCGCGAGGTGTTGCCTGGAGGGAGGCGGGCGAGTCCAAAAAAGGTTGGGAAACACTGCTCTAACACACGCCAGCCGGGGTCTGCCTCCGCGTTGCATCAGCTTCCTCGCTCTCGGCGCTCTGCTTGCCAGCCTGGTGGCCTCTGCCCCGCCCCGAGACTGGAAGGGAGGGGCGGGGCTTCCACTGCGGCTGCGTCTCTGGCTCTTTCGACTCATTCCTCCTCCGAGTGGGCTTGAAAGAGCGGCCGATGGATGAATCGGCCGGCGACCCTGAAGCCTTGTGCAAAGTAGAGGAGGCGGAGAAGCGACGGCAGGGAGCTTAGGCGCCGCATCCGGCTCATTGCGGGAAGTCAAGATGGCGGCGGGTAAGTGTGGGAAGCAGCTTTTTCCCTCCGCCGCCCCCCTCTCACCGGGAATAAAGGGGGCCCCGCTGGGGGGTGACGTTGTAGAACGCAGAGTTCTTATTTTGGGAAGGTTTGAGGGGTCGGACTAAGCGGGTTGGGGGCTGGTCTGGGCTTCCGCTCCCTCCCCTCCCCACGGAGTGTACCTGCGGTGCAAGGAGGCGCTCTGAGCCACTGCTCTGGGAAAGGAAGGAGGGCGAGGCGGCCTGGCCAAGTGCAGGGGAGACCCGTAGTGGGGAGCAGGGGGAGGAGGAGGCACTGAGGAATGGAGGCGGGGGAGACTCCCTCGCTTTGCAGAAACTGCAAAAAACGAGGCAGGAATTGGGTTTGTTTTTGTAGCTCAGGACGTGCTTCGCTTCTGGTGTGCCTAAGGCGGCCGCCCCAATTATCCCCTAGCCCGTCTTTCCAGGTGCTGCCCCCCCTCCACAAAGGGCCATAGAACTGTAGAGTTGGCAGGGATCCCAAGGGTCATCTAGTCTTAAATTTCTCTTTCAAAAAGGAAACGTGGGTTAAAGCGGCGACGCCGCCCCCCACTCACTTTCCTGCTCTGGCTTCCCTAACAGTTTTCCGAGTTGCGTCACTGGATCCAGCCCCCTTTTCCACAGGTGACACGGGGCTGGAGGGAGGGAAAGAGGGCTTTACATCGCGCACAAAGGCAGCCTCCTAGAAGCACTCTGGGCCGGCGCCGTTTCGCCGAAGGCGCCGGAGGACCCCCACCCTCAGCTCCTTCAGAAAGGACTGGAGCGGAATAGCCCTTTCTCTTCTTCCCCAACCCTTGTCGTTGGAGGAGTCCCTCAGTCCCTCGCTTTGCTGCCTCCTCCCCCCCCCACCCCCAAAGCTTGGAGGTTCCCCGGCAAGGGGGAGGGAAAAAAATTGAAACTTACACTTTCGTGCGTCCCTCCCGGCGTGACGCTGCGCGCTGACGTCACGGGGCTGTAATGGTGGTGTGCCTCGAGATTTTTTTCATCAAACAAGTGTGCCTTTGCCCAAAAAAGGTTGGGAAACACTGGTTTAGAGGGATTTGGTTTTTCTCGCATACAAATTTATGCAGATTAATCAATCAATGGAGGATATGATGGGCGGGGAAGGGCTGTGGCTGTGAAGGGTCGTGTCTCGGTAATAAAGCATCTGCTTTGCATACTTTGCATGCTGATGGTTCCCAGGTTTCAGGAAGGGTAGTGAGACCCAGACTAACCACCCACCCCCATTTAAAACCATATGGTATGCATCTGTGACAAAATAATTTTTGGAAATGGCAAGTAATTCCAGCATGAACGTTTGCTTAACTTGCTAAAGAAAGGAAGAAGAAAATGTACCACCAAAAAGGGGGCATGTAAAAAAAATATGTGTATGGTTATTTACATGGGTGGTTGTGTGCCCTATTTTGCAGAGGACAGTCCTCTATTTGAAGAGCTGCCAGGGGACAGTGGTCTAGCTGAAGGATAGGACCCTTATCTTAAAGGCTGGCAAATCTAAATCCTGTTTATGAAACAATAAGAAGGGATAGCAGAAACCTAGAAGTTATCCACCAGCAGTTAGGACCTGGACAGCAGACACAGGCCATCTAGTTTCCCCCATTGTGGAGATATGCATTTCTGTTTCGTATTTAGAGCTCTCCAAGTGGTGCACAAATATAAGTTAAAATTCACAAACAAAGAAAACACATACACAAATATCCATAAAATGCATCATCATTAAAACAGAGATAGAAACCAAGCAAAAATCAATTTTAAATTATTCTTTCTAAATTTCTATCTATGCAGATAAATGTACACACACCCATTTTAAAATGCCCCCCCCTTAAGGTGATACATTTCTTCTTACTTTTTTAGCAATGCAATAAATAGACAACCTAATTTGATCTTGAATATATGCATCCACTGTGGTCTTGTTTTCATGAGAGCAGAAGAGACAGGAACATGCAAAACATTTTAGAGACAGAATTATACGTGAACAGGATTTTCCAGACCTGCAGAGAACAGCTATGGAACCCAGGCAAACATGATCTTCAAATTTACATTGTTTATATCCTTTCTTACACACATCCTGCCTCTGTAGTTTTCGACTTGGAGCCAACCGTTAGCAAACGTCCTTTTCCCAACCTTCCAGAAAGTAGACACGTCATTCATTTTCCTGCCCTCTGCCTCTTCCGTTGCCCAAACATGAGTTCCTTCCCCGTCGTTTCATATGCATGGCTCCCTGTGCTTTACTCTTTCCTACAGAGTATCACAGGTTCATGTTTTTCCACTGAGCTCAAAATGATTCTATGATCCACTCCCATCCAGATTTCGCTTCCCCTCAGCAATTTATTCAATCCAAAAAAAAGCATGTATGACAGGAGCTGAACCAGACAAAACCGTGTCCTTTTCCTGAAACCTGACTTAGGGTTGATATTACTATCTTTAAAAGCATTTAACCAAACATTGGAGAGCATATATTAGAGATCTGAATGGCTTTTGAAGTGCATTGAGGGTGGAGATACTGAAAAATCACCTGCAGGAAACATCTTTACAAATACATGAGAATGCATCGGAACATTTTATTGACATGCCAGGCACCAAAGCCTACAGGGAATTTAGCAGGAGCCGAAGCAATCCTGAATGTACTGCTACGGTGATTCAGAAACTCTGTGGATTTTTACGGAGGTGAAGGATATAGGATACAAAATACATATTGCACAATATACTAAACATCATCATCATCACCAGCCCATCCCACTTCATTTCAAAAGCCATTTGGAAGAACACGTATTTGCATTGTTTATGTTCTGAGAACTATGAAGCACATTGCTGGATTGCAAGTAACCCACTATAGCTATATGGGTGAAATGATCTAACATCAGACAAGAGCATGTCTCCTTCCTCTCCTCCCCATTGCAGCAGCACCACCCCAACTTGCTCCAGAGGGTCCCCAACCCTCCTGAGCATATGGGGGGCGGGGCGGGATATGGGGAGCTGCCGGGAGGAAGACAGAAAAGTAAAGTTCTGCAAGTCCATTCCACTCATAGATGGACCCAGTTGGCTGTCTCCCATAGATAGATATGGGAAGTTCAAGGACTGCAAGCTGAACTAATGACTTCATGCAAGACATCTCTCTCAACCTCAGCCTTCCCACTACCCACCTGAAATCTACTGCTGGAAAACAATGCTGGGCATGGACTACTAAGATAATACCTGTGACACCCAAGTGCTATATGAATTCTTAGTACCTTACTGATTACAGAAGAAAGGGAGATAGCTGTAAGCACACATACACACACGTTCTTTGTGGAGACTGATGGGGGTCTGTCTGATGTTTCGTACAGATGGTGGTTCAGTCTCCCACAGTCATCTCAGTTTATTTCAGCGGCCATTTGGAAGGGCACTGCTTTTCTGTTTAGCCATTTGAGGTTGATCCCTAAAGACCACTGTGTAAACAGCCAGTCCACAATTGCTGTAATACATTCCCATGGCCATTTGGAAATCCAGTGTACTCCCCATGGCCATTTAGAGGAAAATAATGCATTCCTATAGCCCATGCAGCGTTGTTCATTTTTGTGTGCCAAAATGGCTGAAACGGAGGAAAGGATGGCTGGTAAGTCTTTTGGGTACGTGTTGGTATGTTCCAAATCTCATAGCAAAAGACAGCATTTTCCTCACTGTAACAGCCAGTCAGCATTCATGCTAAATATTCAAACGAGGGAGCACTTTTATCATTAAACAAAACACAAGGCACCACCACTACCATGCAAATAACCCAACTCTTTTGGCATAGGAATTGCTGGCCGAAAACTTCTGATTATTTTCCTCAAAAAGGCAGTGTGAATTTAGTCTTCATAAAATGAGTGAGTGAGTGAGTGAGGGTGAGTGAGAACGAGAGAGAAAATACTCCTTTGATGCAAGAGAGGAATCAAAACCCACCATCCTGAAACATATTAGACTGAAGCAAGAGGGAATTCCAAGAGCAATACTTTGTAAACCATCATTCACATCCTCTCCTGTGCAAAAGCTTAAAATAAATGGACATATAATAATATGCTTGGCAGTAAATTACTTTTTTAAAGTCCATGCGTGAAATAAATTATGTTAATGCAAGCATCAAAGAACTGATGTGTAAAAGTTATCCCCCAAAATAAGTAATCAAAATTAATCACTTACAGATAATCAAATCATGAACCCCTGTACTGAAAAATATCGTTCAAATGAATTTGTTCTAGAAGCAACTTAATAAAAATAGAATGGGAAAATCTAGCTTTAGTAAATTTATCAAATATCGTTATTTTGGATTTAATGTTGTTCTATTATGTCGTTCTAAAACAGCTGTTATCAGCCATCCTCTAGAACAGATGTATTATATTTTTCTTTAGTGAATTGGTAATCTTCAGAAAGAAGAGAAAATTAACATTGTACCTTTAAGGTTGCTTTGCGATTTGCAGTAATGTAAACGTCCAATAGAATTATACTTTTAGTATTTCTATTAACCCAGTGAATCTGTTGTTGTTGATCGCGATCGATACATCAGCTTTAGTAGTATCGAAGTCAAGGACATGAAAAGAAAATGGCTACCATGCAGAAAAATAGCTTTGCAGTGAGATGTGCTTCAGTTTGAAGGAAAGAATCCATGTTTTCAAGAAGCTATATTAAATGTGTAGCAACGATTAACAATACCTTTTATCCTAGGTTTGGTTTTTACAGCTCCTATTATACGTGAGCTGCTTTTCATGAAATATTATAAATTTGAACTTGCATTAGTGTTACAGTAAATCACATATTAAATTATCCCCTCTCCCCTCTCCTTCTTTGTCATCTCACAACGTTGGTTAAACTGATTGATTCTTTTAGGTTCTGTCTACTAAAAAGTCTCTAATTGCTGCTGAATGTAACGATGGAGAAAAGAGATTTAAACATAATTACAATTTTCAGCTGCTTACAATTTCAGCCATGTTCGTTCAAGACTGAGATGAAATTAACTATTTTAAGAACACATACATGTCCTGCGTGTGTCTCACTAAGATGTACTACTTCATACTGTGTGGTTGTTTTTGTGAGAAAGACGGTTGCATTGCTTGAAACAGTCAATTCAAGATGAGAGAAAGGTTACTGTTACATGCAAACCTCCTACCATTTAATGCATTATAGCTACCCAGAAATGCAGTATGAGATCATAATTTGCATTGTGGAATTAAACAATAATAACTGTCTTTGCATCTCTGCTACTGCATCCTTTAACAGGATTTGGTTGCCAAGGAAACTGGTTTTGGCCCAACGTTAACATGAAGTACCTATGTCCCGAAATATATCCAGCGTCACACCATGATGATTTAAAAATTAACTCACAGGTTAGCATATCTATACATGGCTGGTTTTAATTTGTTAACCCTTTGAAATAAGCCAGACTCAACAATCAATATTGAGTTCTAGATGAAAAGGACATCTTTAGGTGTTTCTCTCTTTTGACATAGCCAACATCTTAAAAGAAAATAAAGACTATAATGAAATACGTCCTTACTTTATTTCCGCAATATTTATAAGATAAACGATAAGACAAATGTTTATAGCAAACGTTGACAGACCGCTTCCTAAGGCAAAATTAAAATATTTTTTAAAAATTTTCACAGCTCTGTCCACAACTTACAGTTTTGTCTCTTAGCATACAGCTTAATCATGTTCATAACTGGGATCAAAATCCTTTGGACGATAAGCTTTTAAAAAACGCCTTTGCTGCATAAGCGGTGCCACGCCCCGATTATCTAGTAGACGGGGTATTTTTAATTTCAAAATAGAGGTATGCTTTTAAATAGGGAAACCCATGCAAAGTCACAACATTTAGAATTAGATCCTTTCGGGGGGGGGATAAACTGGTTTAATAGATCTCGGTTATATTTCATTTCCTTGCATCATGGAACGAGAATAGGTAAAAGCATGCAAATCTCCACCTACCTGTGTATATGTCTTAATGAAGTCTTAGCACGCCATTGCACCCAGGCATTTGTATACAAAGTGAGGGAGAGACGCTGAAATCTTAGACGTCTCAAAAAAATAAAATAAATAGCTCTTTTCAAAAAGCAGCTTGCTTGAATGGACTGTGATCAAGATAGCTGAACTTATCAATGGGGAGGACAGAAGTGTGTGCGTCTGTCAGGGAGGGAGGAGATGCCCTCATCCAAGGTGGTGGGTGGTTTTTTTTAATAAGCTGCAGCAAAGGGCTTCCTGCTCACCCCCCCCTTTTCCCTTTTGAGGGTTCAAAGCTGACCACTGCAAAGGCCACTTGTCACATTTGTTGAAAATCAGCCCAGTGCTATCCCTGTTGAAAAGGAAAAACTCAGCAGCCAAAGCCCCCTGCACAACACACGCAGACTGCGTAAGAGTTAAAAATAGCTTGGACGTGCCTGCATAATAAATATGTCACTTCCAAGGGCTTTAAATTTGATATTGCCATTAATTAACAATACAACATCTATTATTTAAATAGCAGTAAAGGCAAGAGGAATAAGACTGACCCCACCTGGAAGCAGAGTTCGCTAAAAAAATAAATAAATCCAAATTTAAAAATAAATAAATAGAGCTAATGCTGGTTTAGAATGCGACGATAAACTCACAGCCCACTGCACTGAAAATGAAATTGAATGCTAAAGGTGGCTGCTTAAATAGTTATGCCCATCAGGAAGCCCAAGTCTTCACTACGACATGATATGGCACACAGACCATTTACATACTCCCATTCGAAATACTAGGCATGGCATAATGAATTCTGTATCCACAGCATGCAGACAGCACAAGCAACATTAATCCTGCCTGCCATTTTAGGCTCGCAGCAGCAGCAGCATGATGCACACACTCCAGCAGCACAGATCTGGTTAAACGGGAGGCAAGGAACCGCTCACCTTAAATGCAGTATCTGATTAATGTTGTTTAAGTGATATTGCAAATCGGCTGCTGAATCTTAGAGCAACTGGGTGGGAGGGAACAAAGAAAAAAATGTCATCAACTGATGATGCAAGACGAATCGTTACTCTGCACTGCTCAGTCAAGCTCCATGTTCTTCAGTGATACAATCTCAAGTATTTCAGATTCTGTAGCAAAAAAACCCCAAAACCTGTCTGCAGAGTGGCTGTCTCCATCTACCGAGAAAAGCAGAAGATTCCTTTCACTCGCTGGAGGGAGGGATGGAAAGAATATCTGCAGAAATATCTTACTGACGGAAGAAGATTTCATATAGTACGTATTAGGTCCTAGATATGTATCCCTATTGCTGTCTTTTTCTTAACCCGTGTAATTTGCTTTTTGTTGTTGTGAAGCACGTAATTGCCAAGCATGTAACAGACGAAATCATCATTGCTTAAACTCTCATTCTGCACCGGATTATCGAAAAGCTGAGCGTATTGACAAAATCGCAAGCGCGCAGAGGGTCTGGCTGCAGAATCAGCTGTCTCCTTCTGTGCTGCTGCCTGCTTAACCACAAGCAAGGTTAGAGCTAAATATATCTGCAAGGCATAAACGGAAGCTATTTTGCTGTACAGATTACGTTACAAAATGCTCCATCCTTAAGAGCTCATAAGATGAGTGCCTATTAGAAAATGTTTTGCTGCTACCCTGCATCGCACTACACATCAGGCAGTGAAAGGCTGTGGAGACTGCTCTTAAATCTAGTGACCTAAATAATGCTAAGATGGCTTAAGTAATATACATACATACTCAGCACCAAAGGCAGGAAACGAAACAAGGAGTGTCTCATCAGAATGCAAGTACAGTACCAATTCTAAATAAAATGCAGCGCCCTGTATATGCACATCTTATGCTAAGATGGAGAGGATGGGATGCTTACTCCTTTCATTTTTTGTTATTGTCAGGATAGGGTTTTTTGTTTTTATCATCAGGGGCTTTCCTTAGCTACGGCATCTGTGACATCTTGATTCCTGGCATCATGGAGGTTAACACAGGCACATCTTAACGGTCCAATTTTTAATTCTGCAAATCCAAACAAGCTTTTAAAGCAACAACATTGAATTAAATTCACCAAAACACTATACTGCAACACCTCTAAACAGGCACTGATGCTTTTGGTCTTGGTTCTTGAGTTTTGTTGTTAAGATCAATAACACGTTTCACTGCATAAATAAGACTGGTATTATTCTAGACCTAGTCTGTGAGAATTAGGTGTTTTTTTTAATGAAATTAAATAGAGAATTTTGAAACAAGGGAAGCTTAAACTGCATTAAATATGTAAGATGGAAGGAGAGAAAGAATAAAAAGGTGGATTGGTTCACTTTTTTTCTTAGAATGTGAGAGGGTCTTCTGCTTCGTATTCAATGCCAGCATCTCCCCAAGGGGGAAAATTAGGGAGGGATAGAACAGCTGGCTACGGCCACTGCTGCAGTCCCTTAAGGCTGAAGTGTTAGTTAAAAGGAAAAACAAACATCTGAAACGTACCTGCCTGGCTATATAAGGACAAGATCCTTTCTTTCTACTGCATGACACTTTTCTTTTAAGCAGGTCTTAACTACATCCTCTCCCTCTCCTCTGTGTGACACACAAAATTGAGAGCTGCTGAAATCTGGAAAAAACAGATGAATATATTTCTGACCTTACTGGAAAATTCTCCTTGAATGTTATAGATCTGTTTAATGCTACATTAGCTCCTGATGCATCCACACTATTTATGGGAGATTAATTCAATAGGCAAACATGGTACATATTTCTGTAACCCCAAAAGAAATGCTTAACAATAAATGCAGCCACATCCTCCAACACATTTATTCATGAGCTAGTCACGAGAGGTCATTGCTTGCAATCTATATTGTCAATTACGAACAATTGCCACTTAAATAACTGAAGACTGCCATGCAAATAAATATTTCATAGAATTCCAGTCAAAATGGTCCCACCTTCTCAGAACATCATTCCCGTTGTTTATGGCTCTTTTATAAGTGGAATGACTTTCTCTGCCTTTTTAAAATCCCCCTTAAGACTTTTTTTTCCAAATTTTGTACATTGTGTCGCTGGGTTTATTGCTTGAGATTCAAAAGACCTAAAAGCTGGCATTTTAAAAATGTTCTTCTCAAATGTATGACATCAGTCAAGCAGCGGCAGAAGCAATCCAGAGACAACAGAGGCCGGGCTCACGAACACACGTGACACAAACAGGCTATTACAAACTGTGTTCTTTCCCCCTTGACAGGCTTATTGCAGTATATTCAGCTAACATTTCAAAACTAGGGACTATATGCAAGGGCAGATTTTGCATCTAGAGAAGAAAAATAATGGCTGGCATATGGCTATGCTAATTTACGGTTTTACGCTATTGTCTGCTAGTAGCAGCAGCAGAATTCACATATTCACAGACTATGTATAATTACAATACCGGTTTTCATTTGGAAGGACTCTTTCCCCGCTTTTTTATTTTAATGAAAAGCCCTCTTGTACTATTGTGTGTAACGCCAAGGACAATTCAGTCAGTTTCCAGGTGATCAAGGCCCGTATGAAACATCTGATGTTCTGTATCAGACCCGTGCAAGAATTCTTAAGTGCGAGAATTCATCATAACAATCCTCATATCCATTTAAAAATAAAATAAAAAACCCAGTTATTAATGGGGATGAATTAGTGAAGAGGGAGGGAGGGAGGGAAAGCATTGTGTAGTGTTTAGAGTTTTGGACTGGGGCTGGGGAGCTCTGGGTTCAAATCTGCACTTAGCCATGAAGCTCACTGAATGACTTTGGGCTAATTGTTATCTCCCAGTCTAATTGACTCACACAGTTTTTTCTGAGGAGCGGAGGGGGGTGGAGAGCACTATGGGAAGGAGGCTGGATAGGAGGAAGGAAAAGAGAGACCCTGGAGGGACAGAGAGATTTGCAGGGAGCCAAGCACTCGTACTTACCTAGGGGATAACTAGGCGCAACGGCTGTAGCTCTCAAGGTGCACGCTGTAGCCGTGACTCCTTTCCAAGCAATTTAGGCAGGCAGGGGTGATGAAAGAATCCTGGAAAAGACATATGCAAAGGCTAGATTGGTAAGACATAAGTCTTATAGCAAAGGGCTATTGTTGATTGATTCTGGAAGCCAAGAAGGGGATCGTGCCCCTAGTTTACACTTTTGTTGATTCATTACATACCGAGTACTATTTTCATTAGTGCTGTAAACCAAAGGGAAATAAAACATGTACTGTTTTACGGGTCCGTCCTGTGTCGTCTGTGGTCATTGCTGGGAATATGGATGCTATGGGATCTGAGGTGCTCCTCCCCCCATCCCAGAACCCATGACATTATGCATTATCAAATCTGCCTCCTAATCAAATATTTCAGTTCATTTTTTATTTTATTTTTTTGCTATACAGCACATAAAATTAACATGGCATTATTATTTTTAAAAGTTTATTTACACAAAACATTATTATTTTTATTTTATAAAGATTATATGCCACTTGATTTTAAATAAAGCAATTTACAGAAAGAATATGTCAAGCATGCTAAAACAGCGAAGAAGATGCCTTTCTTTGTCTGGTCCTGGTTTGAGGCTGACATGGGAAAGCTGACATCAGCAGAAGCATTTCTTGGTAATGGTATATCACATTCAGCCACATCCCACAAGGCAAAGCCTGTCAGGACCCTGGACAGAACACTCTGGTGAGGACCACCTAAATTGAGAGCTCTTGCCTCAGCAAGGTACAGGTGCCTTTCCATAGCTGGCTGGTTTGGTCCTGCCGTTGGTGGCGACGAGGGGGCTGTGTTTTTAAAGCAGGGTTTCTCAAACTTGGGTCCGTGGATCTTGTTGGACTACCACTCCCACCATCCCTGAACACTGGTCTTGCTAGCTAGGGATGATGGGAGCTGTAGTCCAACAACAGCTGGGGACCAAAGCTGTCAACGTTTCCCTTTTTTTAAGGGAAATTCCCTTATTCCAAATTGATTCCTCACAAGAAAAGGGAAAAGCTGACAGCTATGCTGGGGACCCAAGTTTGAGGAACTGAACTTCCGATTCTGCAGAAGTTGGCTCCTACTGTGTGGGGGTGATGGGGAATGCAATAGAAACCTGGTGAGTTTGGAAAGCCAACTTATCTTCTGACCAAGAAGGTCCTGCAGTGTGGAATGTCAACTCTCTGAGGGGCACCTTCTCCTGATCATCTTCCTCCTCAAAGTTCAAGGGAGGACTGAGGTCAGAGAACACGGCACTGCCAAAACCAGCCCCTGCCCTAGAAGTGAGCTGTCATTGGCACCAACACACCAGGCTCCACTTCCATGCCCCTACATAGGCCACAAACCAGATCCTTCCCCAATTGTAGGAACCGCCTGTCCTACTTTTGACCCATTTGTCTCATGAAAGGATATTAAACTTCTAAATTTTGTTGCACACCTTACGCAACCTTACGGGAAGATGAAGGACACTACCAAAGAGATGTTTACCACGTGCAGGCTCACTGATTTCCTCAGAAGCAACACCAGATTTGCAATGCTTTACAGAGGAAAACACCAGTAGCCACTTATATCTCAGTACTGGCAATGAAGTGAATGAGACTGTGTGGGTAAAGAGGGCTGATGGAACATCTTCAAAATCCATGGGTGCTTCCAGATGTTCTGTTTATGCTAGATGACATTGCGTCAAAGCAAGTGTTACCCAGCCCTTACCATTGCATATTTCCATCACTTTCCATCTCTCGAAAAGCCCAGTCTTTGGGGGAAGTGAGCATGTTGTGCAACGCCTCCCAGTCAACTATAATTGAACAAACTTAAACTTTCTGATTTTTGAGGCGCAAAAGGGCTGTAGGGGAGACTGACAAAATCACACACCCTCTTCCACCGGTAGAATTCTGTGACCACGTTGGTAAAATTCCTGCTGGTAGAAGCTTATTTGGGATTTAAGCCATTAGCCTTATTCAGCCTTTTTCTTGGCTCCATTGTTGAACAGTTAAGGAGGAGATAGGCCATGCAGAATACCCTGTTCCAACACTGCAAACTCTTCCCTTGACATCTGTGCACACAACACAAATATCTGAAGCAAGGGGGCCTTCACACATGTAGTTACACACATGACGGCATCCCCTAGAATCATAGAATAGTAGAGTTGGAAGGGATGAGTAGGATCATCAAGTCCAATCCCCGGCAATGCAGGGGTTTTTTTGCCCAACGTGGCTCTCGAACCCGCAACCCTGAGATTAAGAGTTTCATGCTCTACCAACTGAGCCACCCCTCAGGAATTAAATATAACCTGATTGTTCAGGGGTGAGATTCCAGGGAAGCCTCCATATGTCCGTAAGCACAAAGGCCCATCACTACAGATGTTCATGCTGTATGAGCGAATGTCAGGTAAGGATTGGGCAACACTAGGGGTGAGAATTCTCAGCGTAGCCCACCTTCTTGTTGCTATATTGTTCAATGCAGGCATGAAGAAGACCCATACATAGCTAACATATTTTAGGAAGATGCATCCTTGGGCAAAATGAGTACAGCGCCTTCTTCTCACGCTGCCACTTTCCGCAAGGGTGAAAACAATGTTTAGTTTGGGCCTAACCATCACACCCCCAGTTGCTTGCACCCTAGGCAGAAAGGTGAGGAGGTAGCTTCCCAGCTTTTTTCCGTCTTCTCCTTTGCTTTGCCTTTTCAAAGCAATCTAATAAAATATTATAATCCAGCCTGATTTCTCCTAGGTATTAACATACTCATTAAAATAAACCTCGCGCTTCTTGGGAGGTTCTGCCACACAGAATATGCTGCTGCGAGTAGAGCAGATGTACTGAAACTCGTGCGGCAGGCCTGGAGGTTGACAGCTACAGAAAAGACATTCGACGCACCTGTCAAGATACGTGGGTTTTCAGAACACAAGTCGCAGACGGAAGGCCCCAGCAGCATCTTGTTCAAAACGATACTTGGCAGCTTAAATTACCTTTTAAAAGACAGAACTGAAATTCACACTTGAAGATTTCCAATTCTCTGACACATATATACTTTCGTATACTGTAGGTCTTCCAGCAACATTACCAACATAACACCGCCAAGAACAAATCCATCTCTTGGGCTAGCAGAAGTACTTTGCACTTTGAAATCTGTTCTAGCTGTTGATCAGTGCAATAGCTGTTCCTTTTTAAGGCTCCTTGCATGCTCAATTAATGTATGTACAGGTGTGTGCGTGTGTGGCCGAGGGGGGGAGAGACTAATAATAATAATAATAATAATAATAATAATAATAATAATTTATTATTTATACCCCGCCCATCTGGCTGAGTTTCCCCAGCCACTCTGGGCGGCTCCCAATCAGTGTTAAAAACAGTACAGCGTTACATATTAAAAACTTCCCTGAACAGGGCTGCCTTAAGATGTCTTCTGAATGTCAGGTAATTATTTATCTCTTTGACATCTGATGGGAGGGCGTTCCACAGGGCCTCCCTCCAGCCTATGCACATTCATAAGAAAGTCTACAGAGGAAATTTCCACGTTAGGGAAGGGGGGCTTCTATAAGGGTTGATTTGAACTTGTGTGGGTTGTGGCAGAACCTGATGCTGTGCTGCACTCACATGTTCAATGAATGCATGAACAATGCCTGCAAGGATCAAGTGCCGAATGGTCTGGAGACAATTGCACCCTGAGAGACAAAAGTCGGAGGACAGATTTCAGCCCAACACGAGTCCAAACAGCAGCAAATTAAAACCCCAAGAAGCACAGCTTATCAGAAACGAAACATTGCAGCCCAGCAAGAAATCCTAAGGTCGGTCCGGGCCCACCCTCACAGACCCAGAAGGAATGAGCCAAAAAGACAAGATGGGGGGGGGGGGGCTTTGCAGCACTCACAACTGAATCGTCCCCACATAATTTACATCACTTCTCCCGTATCTCCTTCATACAATGCCTGCTCGCTATTTCTTCTGAATGTGTATCCTGTACAATAGTACACATACACCCTGTACAATCAACCTTTCTTAAAAAGCCTAGTATTTACTATGAGCTTGAGCAAACCGTTTCGGCACAGCTCTTCCCACGCTGACCTGTCCCTGCAGAAGCAAGAGCAGCAGGCAAGGCGACTGTGGGCCGTCATTCTGAGGCCTAAGGCCCAGCTGTTCTGCATCCGGTGCACAAACTCTGCTCGCAGCCTCCTCTCATCGCTGCTGTGCAGTGTTTCTGAGCCTCCTGGTGTTCAAACAGGGGACTTGCAGTTTCTACAGCAAGCATGTAAAAAGCCCAGATAAGCTGGAGGGCCAGATTCTTAAGAAATAGTCGCTCCGGAATCTCGCCCATAATTTTTTTTCAATTCCGCCTTCATTTTATGAATGTTGTTTATTTTAGGAACATCAGCTGGCTACATAACACACTGCAAGTGTTTCACTTCCTCAGATAAACCTCATGCATGGAAAACACACTCTGGGAGCAGAGGGGAAACATGAGGACTTGCTGCAAGATTGCTTTGGCACGTGAAGTAGTGTGAATGACAAGCTGGGGCCATTTCAGCTGTGGATTTACATATGAGTAAGTATGCCAGCTCACCCCTCATGCCTCCTTGGCCCTCAAAATTATAGAACTGTGTGGATTGCTGTGGGCTTTGTCCAGGCGTCATGGAAGCCTGAGGGCTTTATGCTTGTGATCCCAGAAGTACAGGAGCCTTGAAACTGCCTAATGGTACCAGCTGACAGGGCATCCCATCACTGTGTTGGGCGCACAGTAGTGGCGTACTTTGGGCTCTCAAACCTCAGTGCCAACCTGGTTGATGCTAAAATTCAGCGCTCCCCCCCCACCCCCGCCTCTCATGCTCCATTCCGCAGTGTTCTAAGGCCTCAAATATAAAATAAATGTTCATAACTGTACAAGGCAAACACATACATAACTATATAAACGTGTCTGAAATATTACAGGAGAGCAATCCTGAAGCCATTTTGACTCTCCCAGTGACCCCAGATAATCCTCTGCAGTAAGGGGGCGGGGGTGGGGAAAGCCCTCCCATTGTCTTTTTGCTTACAAATCCCGTCTTAAAGGGCGTATTTGTGTGTATGAATAGGGTGAGCCTGTGACCTGGATTCAGAAAGTGATTTACCATCACAAAAGAATAGCCAAGCTGCCCAGGCAAAGCAATCAGTGACCATTATGAGGTATCCTGGCAGACAGGATTTCTGCTGTAGACTGCCTCCTGCGATGTATTTCTGCTGTAGACCACCTCATTTTGTGATGTATGTATGATGTCTTGTGGGGTGGGCTACAGGGTGGGCAATTTCAAAAGTCTATGTAAGGGCTTGCACACCATTGTTCTGGGTTCTCTCCTCCCTCCTGCGTGTGGGGAGTGGGGACCCTCCCAAATAAAGATCAGGCTTGCTAGCTGCTTTGCTTCTCAATATACCCTGGTTGGCCTCTGATATTTTCTCCTCCCAATAGGGAACCCACCTAAAGACTCTATACAGGCTCTTGGATACCCCATAAGGGAAAAGAAGCAGGTTTTTCTTATAACAGCAGCATTGTTTGGGTGGTCCCTGCAGCATGGCACCCGGTGCGACCATACTGGTCACACCACCCTAAAAACACCTCTGCCAACAGTTCATCGGGACACCATGGTCACTTCTCATTCTATAAATGAACATTATTTCAATAATAATCTGACCGGGTTGCAGATCTAGGAAAAGGGTGTGGAACTTGTGTGGCCCTCCTAATGTTGTGGGACTCCCATCAAGCCCCAGCCAGCAGGGCCAATGGCCAGGGAAGATAGGAATTGTTACCTAACAGCCAGTAGTGGTCAGTGGGGCAGAGCAGCCAAGCATCACCGCCAGTAACCAACAGTATCCAAAGCTGCGGATGCCTCTGGGCAGGCGGCGACGCTGGCGCAGCTTCGGATTCGCCACAGGAAGCTCCTTCAGCCAATCCGAAGCCGTGGACGCCTCTGGGCGACTCCCCTTCCTTCCTGCTGAGCCGAGTGGGAGGAGGTGGCGGGAAAGTGCCTCCGTTGCCCAGGCCAGTGCTATGGGCTCTGAGCCCTCGCGGACCCCTGGTTGAGGCAGAGGACGATGACTACGCTGCCAAAGATGGCAGCAAGCCCCTAATGAGCGCATTTATTTATTTATGGGGAAAAACCTATTTACTGCCCATTAATACAATATAACATGGCTGTGTACAGCGGAGTATAGAATAAAATGTAAGGCATCGTAAAAAAACAGATCAAAAATATTGAAATGACTGGCTGATAAAATTGTAAACAGTTACATGGCTTGCCTGCATAAAAAAGTTTTCAAGGGACACCTGAAAGTAAAAAGCAAGGATGCCTGTTCTGAACCGCAGGCCCAAATGAGGGCTTGTGGGAGTGGTTGGGTGCAGGAAAACGAAAGGATATCAAGGACACCCAGAGTGATCAGTTCTACTGCTTTATAAAATACAGGTGCAGACTTAACAGCAAAGCAGCCTGCCTGGTCTCCCAGCCTTTGCAGAAGCGGGATGGACACCACAGCACAGAGGAGGCTAGTCTGCGCCCAAGCAAACATTCATATATTCTTTATACGCAAAACAGTATATGTCACTTTGGCCAGGACTTCCCATCACTTCACTTGACCAGATGAGGGCATAGGTGGCAAATATCCAAATCTTACAGATAGTTCCCCTTTCTGGGCTTAGAGCCCAGCACCCCAAGCCCACAGATAAGGATGACATCAAAGCAAGCCAATTAGCTTATATCAAAGCATGTGAATATAAACATATAGCAACTATCAGTTAACAACTATTAATTAATGGTGGGGTTATCTTTTAATTAACTATCAATTAATTAACTATCAATTAATGGTGGGTTATCTTCACTACCAGGATGGTGTTTGCAGAGCTTCTGGTTCAATGCAATGCCTACCAAATTCCTGCTGGAAGAGTGCTCCGTAGCACAGGACCAAAGCACATCCATTCAAAGCACATTACTTGCCTCAAAGCATCCTGGGAAGTACAATTTGTCAAGGATGCTGGGAATTGTAGTACTAAGAGAGGAAACTTTTGGGGTGCAAGTGTGAGCTTTCATTGCAGGGTGTGTATCTGTCCTTCTAGCAGAGGCCAGTTGGGCCTCTGTAACATGGGGAACTGCTAACAGCACCAGTCCAGATGATCTCGCTTTGAATATACATGTGGCGAACCTCACGCCCAGAGGCCAAACGCAGCCCTCCAGTGTCTTTATCTGTTTGGATTATGCCAATGAACCGTGAATGGCTCTTGCTGAAGATGTAGATGTGAAAGCATATGAAACCTTATTTCTGCATGGGTGGAATGTAGCTGACTGTAGAAAGAGAAGCGTTACAGCCATTGCTCCAGCCACTTTTGGCTGTGGCCCCTCCCACTACAGGCATGTGGTCACCAGAAGGTTCCCCACAAGGGAATGTGCCCTTCAGGCTGAAAAAAGTTCCCCACCCCTGTTTTAATGCATGAGGGAAAGGTAGATCTAGACAGCCAAAAGACCACCTCACCAGAAAGACTGTCTCACCTCTTCTATAGCCAGTCCATCAGTGTGCCCTGCAGGTGAGGGCCTCCTGCAGATAACATCTTCTCAGGAGGTCAGTTCTGCACCATATAGGAATTGGGCCTTTATTGTCATGGCATCTGTTATGTACTAAGCTTAGATCCTAGAACAATAGGCAAGTAGGATCCTAGAATGAAAGTAGGATCCTAGAATGAATGATTTCCTGATAGGCTTGCAGGAAAAGACCAATCAGGCTCCAGGAGGGAAACAGAATCAGCCAATCAGACGGGACTCACTGTGTAAATCAGTGTTTCCCAACCTTTTTTGGGCAAAGGCACACTTGTTTCATGAAAAAAATCTCGAGGCACACCACCATTACAGCCCCGTGACGTCAGCGCGCAGCGTCACGCCGGGAGGGACGCACAAAAGTGTAAGATTCAATTTTTTCCCCTCCCCCTTGCCTTCCTTCTGTGCCAACCGCCAAAAAGCCAAGAATCGCGGGACCGCCGGCGGAGGGGGGGAGGGCGAGCGGAGGCAGCGGCGAGCCCCGTTCCTCCCCATCCGCCCCATTCCGTGCAAGGAGCGCGAACAGGTGTGAGAAGGGGGTCAAACCTGCGGGTCGGCGCCGGGGAACCTCCAAGCTTTGGGGGTGGGGGGGAGGAGGCAGCAAAGCGAGGCAGGAAGGAGAGCGCAGCTTGGCGAAGTACTCGGCGGCGAAGGCCAGCAGGTCCGGCGGCCGGTGCCGCAGCACCTCCACCGTGTAGCCCTGCAGCAGCTCAGTCAGACCCGGCGGGATCTCGATGCTCATCTTGTAGCCGAGGCGCGCGGGAGACTCAACGGACGGGCCCGGGAGAGAGAGAGAGAGAGAGAGAGAGACACGACGGAGAGAGAGCGGGAGTCCCTGCTCGCCGTCGCCACCGCTACAACTACTGTGGCGGTTGGTCGTGGTCGCCGCCGCCGCCGCCGCCCACCTCTATCTATCTCTCCCCCTCAGCTTTCTACGCGGGCCTCGAGCCGGAGGTGGGGGGTGGCTGCCGCCGCTTTCTCCGCCTCCACGTCCTGCCTCCTCCTCCTCGAGCCCTCCGTCAGCCCTGAGGGAACCGCCGCGCTCGCGCCGCCGCTCTCTGACACGCGAGAAAGAGAAAGGAACGGAGCGGCGGGGTAGTCGGGGGAAGGAGGGGCCGGAATGGAAGCGCGAGGCGAGCTGCGCATGCCCAGCAGGAAGCGGCGGAGAGCGCCACAGAGAGAAAGAGAGAAGCAAGGGAGGGCGGGGAGTGGGCGGGAACACGCTTCATGCGTCACAATAACGGACAAGAGGCGCTCGAGGGATAGATTAGGACCTAATTTGACTTTTACAAAAAAAAAAAAAATCTTTCGAATTTTCCCCACGGCACACCAGGCAACATCTCACGGCACACTAGTGTGCTGCGGAACAGTGGTTGGGAAACACTGGTGTAAATAATGTATATAATAGCCTGAGTTTGGGGGGGCAATTCAATCACTGTTTTACAAGCTGCAATAAAGAGCATGAAATCACTACAGGACTCCCGAGTATATTTCAGCATCTAACCCTTTGGAACCCCCTTCTCTTAAATATTACACAAACCCCCATCTCTGTTTTCCTTTCGCACCTGCTGACGACCTTCCTCTTCTAACAAGCCTTTTTCAGTAGAGCTTTCATAGATTTATTGTTTGTTTTTTGCTAGCCTGGGTTCCTTTGGAAGG